GAGTGTCTTCCTCATTAAACAAACACATCTCAATCAGTCCAAATCCGTTAATTCCTTACCAGTACCAGCAATGTTTTTGCTCGTTTAAGGCTGTACTCAGCAATCTCCCAGGCATACGATGTCAGTCTTCCTTTATATATCACTGCAGCTAAACGTATTATTTGTTACTGGCATAAACTTAATAATCCTGGAATGCAGCAGAAATTATCAAAACTGATCAACAATTATGCATATGCACAAAGTATCTTTGAGAATGATTTTGATCCCTGGATGCATCATGTTAAATCTTTATTAGATAAATGTGGCTTATCTTTTGTGTTCTATAACCCTGTAAGCGTACCATGCCAATGGCTAGTTTCACAAGTGGAGACTGTATTAAAAAGACCAGTTCCAACAAAGTTGGAAAGCTGATATTGAAAATAGCTCTAAGGGATTTACTATAAACATATTAAAGATACTCCCATATTTGAAAACTATCTTCTCTTCCCAGCTTATATTTACTATCCTATTTTGAAATACAGAACCTGTAATCACAATCTCCCGGTAGAAACTGGTCGTTGGCATGGTATCGCTAGAAAAAACAGAACATGTAAACTTTGCAAGTCACCAGCAATAGGCGACGAATTTCATTACTTATTTAAATGTGAAGCCCTTACAGATATTAGATTGAAATATTTACCAACTAGACATATGTACTTCCCCAATTTATCAACATTGAAGAAAATATTTAATAGTAGAAATTCAAAAGAAATAAGAAATCTATCCAAATATCTGCTAGTATTAGATAAACTCTTTGTCAAAAATGGTGAAACCTCAAACAGCTCTTTCTATAGACAACAAATCACTTAACAGATCTTAATTTATGGCATTATTATGTTTCATTTTAAACTGTTCTACCTGTCATTTTGTCATGTTTATTTATATGTATTTAAATGGATTATGTTTGATTTTCCCTTGTACCACCAAACGTGGTTATCTGAGAATAAACTGAACTTGAACTTGAACTTTGAAAATAATCGAGCCTAGACCAGACAATCCAGTGATTGACATCACGAGGGAATGAGTGAGTGAATTTGGTTTTACGCCACTTTCAGCAATATTCCAGCAATATCGCGGCGGGGAATGGGCTTAACACATTGTACCCACGTGGGGAATCGAACCCGGGTTTTTGGCGTGACGAGCGAACGCTTTACCACTAGGCTACCCCGCCGCCCGATTGACATCATGAGCATTGGTCTGCACAACTGGGATACGATGACATGCATCAAGCAAGGCAGCGAGACTGACCACCCGATCCCGTTTGTCGCCTCTTGTGACAGGCATGGGTTGCTGAAGATCAGTTCTAACTCGGATCTTCACAGTTGTATGTGAAATGTACAGGGGAGGTTTAATGGAAGTTCATGGCTGGGATTTTGTGTTACTTTGTTTCATTACTTCGATAAGTTCAATCTTATTGTCTAAAAGAATATGACAAAACAATTTTAAATGGTGTAAAACTCCGTGTTTTTGTGGAATGAAATCCTGTATTGGCCCACGAGACCCGTGTTTACCTCCTTTGCTCCTATATGATGCGGGCTGTTTAGGTGTATTCAGTCGGTTAATATATTTCACCTGAATCTGATTATGTAAGTGTGATACAGATTGTTTTTGTTGCTTATCACAATGCTACAATGGCCGTGTCTATACGCCACCGGGTGCAATTTTAGAGATATAAGAGACCTGGGGAAGGGTGTGGGTGTGTGTGTGTGTGTCATCACATTTGTACACATGAAGTTGTAGGGGGTTCATTGATTTTTGTAAACGACATCCTATACACTTTGTACATATATTTAAGGGGAAAGGGTCATTCACATTATGCATGCTGCCCCAAAAAATCATCATACACCCAGTCCCTAAGCCCGAGTCCCTGATGCAGACACACACACACACACCGATATCATTTACTTGCTTTTCCAAATTCCATATGATTGGAATTTAAGAAAACCGATTATAAAGCATATCAAGACAGGAAGAGCGGTTTATACTGTGAGTTTCCTAGAACGAGCTTTGTCCCAGACATGTATTTTATCCCTCCGAATTAAAAATATATATGAAATAACATAGATGTTATGTGTATTTCCAGATACAAAGGAGGATCTCAGGTTGGTGTTGATTGGTAAAACTGGCGGTGGAAAGAGCGCTACAGCAAATACGATAATAGATAAGGATTTTTTACTTCCAACACATCGCTTGCATCTGTCACAAAGACGTGCGAGTATGCATGCGCTGAACGCTTTGGCCGTATGGTTCAGATAGTAGACACGCCAGGTCTGCTTGACACGAATATGAAGAAAGATGTGGTGGAGACTGAGATCAAGAAAAGCATTGGAATGTCCTCACCTGGCCCGCATGCCTTCCTGTTGGTCACATCCTTTACGCAGAGATTCACCGACGAGGAAGAGAAAGTTTTCAAAGAAATAGAAGGCATGTTTGGGAAGGGCATGACAAGGCACATGATTGTTGTCTTCACATGTAGGGATCAGATTGCCCCGAAAACTGAACCTGAGTTACCTTTCGAAAACCCCTGAGTGCCTCAAGCAGTTAATCGAAAGCACAGGCGGCCATTATCTCACCTTCAACAACAGAGGAAAACATGAGGAGAAAGAAAGGGATGTCAAGGCTCTTTTTTCTCGCATTGATAAGATGATGGCCACAAACAAAACCCCTTTCTCTTCCACAATGTATCAGCAGGGAGAGGGACTGATGAAGGAAACAATCAATAGGAGATGGAGGGAAGAATATGAGAACATATATGAGGATGTAGTACAAGAACAGCTAAAAGAGGATGTGGAAGAAAAGATGAAAAGGGAAAAAGAATTCTTGCAGAATCTTCAGAAGGCAGCGCCCCAAGATGTAGAGGCTATGAAGAAAGAAAGGGAGGCAATCAGACAGAAAAGCCACCAAACTGACGCAGCTACAGAGAATACTTTGACTGATATGTTGGAGAAGGAGGCGAAAATATTGGTTAAAACAGAAGAAACAAAACAGCAAATTCAAAATGCTAAGGGGGCAGAACGAATGAGGATGCATATCGAATTGGCCCGTGATGAGGAGAACATCAAGAAAATTATAGCAGAGAGAGAGAAAGCTGAAGACAGGGTGAAAAAGGAACGGCTGATATACTCAAAAGCATTAGTAGCACAGATGATTCGGGAGCAGGAACGAGAGAAAATTCAAAATGGCGACATCTCCACTCTTCATACATTAACGGCTGCAATTAAGATCATACCACACTTTCTGAATCTGTTCCGGGAAAGTTGACATTTGATGTTGTAAAACATCCATTTGGGATAATATTAGGTCTTTGCCACCAAGCAGCCATTTTTTAAGATAACTTTGTGAATTTGTTATCTTACTGAAATCTTAAAGGTTGAGATAGAAAATTATTTTATTTGTAATGCATAAGTTTGTAATTATACTTTTACTTTCATTGCACTGAAAACATAAGCGATGAAAAAATCTCAATAAAACGTAATAATCTTTCATGAGAAAAGGAGTCCATATGACTAAACATCATCTGTGTATGAATCTTTATCAAGCTGTGATCATACCATGTGTTCGCAAAAAGGTGAGCATGTCTTGGTTCATCGGTAGCACCTCCCAGAATTTACACATGCAAAAAAGCAAGTCAATTCACAACAAAAAACAAAATATATAAATACCCAAAATAATAACCTCCATAACCCCGTCAAAATAGGAACTGCGTCAGATTTCACTTTGGTAATTGATTAATCAAATCTGGAAATGTCCTCCACATGCCAATGTAAACAGAGATGTGTAATCTAGACATGAAAGGCTGGAACTGCTGGAATATTGCTCCATATAGAAGGAAAGCTGGCAATTGGAAACCTGAAGTAATCTCTCAATATTTTTTTGTCGCTTTCAATAATTTGTCCACCGATCTAAATATGAAACTGTGAGGTGGTTACATTGGTTTCTTTTAATTCTTCCTCGGGTTAGTATATCAGTTATGTAATCAATGAGAAAATCAGACATCATCCCTGAATTTGCATGCATTTTGGTATATCCTATGCACAACTCCTGGAAGAACTACAGCAGTAAAAATATAATTGTGTTGATTTAAAAAAAGCAAATTCAACATTCATTTCATAAAGTGATGTGTGCACAGTTTTGATCAAAGTACTGTTACTTCCTAATTGATATCCTAACTGCTTTAGATATACCGCATATTACTGTAGATAAGCTGCTTTCATAGATAAGGCGAGGTTCGAACTTGACCCTTAAAATCAAAATGTCAAAATGGTGTGTTCCGTAGATATGCCGAAAGATAAACCTTCACTTGTCTTTTCGACGGGATCAGTCATCGGAAATAGAGTGTCAACAAATCCATATTGAATTACGCCAGTTAATCCAGTTGTTACACTATCACATAATATTCAGTTTATATCTATTCTTATATGACAAATACCCTAGACACCTTTCTTACGTTCATGTTGATGTTACTTAACCATTTTCATCTCTCAGTTATTACCAACTGTACACAGGATTTCTCTTGTGTTTGAGCTAAACCAAGAACCAGTCACATCAAGACATTATTGCTGCAAATTGTTCTTGGGAATGTATCATAATAGAAGAGAGATACTACACTGGACATTAAAGAATGCTCCAGCTAGAGACCACCAACTGTCTCCACAGGCAGACTGTAAACTGTGTGCGAAATGGTCCAATCACTTTATATAATCCATATGGCTCAGTACAGAAACTGAATGAATGTGTCTGTGAATAAATATCCTAGTCTCTGCCTGTGTCTTTTTACTTTTGTCTTCTAAAGTATGATTTCATAGGTACATGTATTGTCTGTTTATCTGGCAAGGCACTACCCTGGGTGCCTGGTCAGTTCCTGTAACAGGGACTCAGTAATAAAGAATATTGATTTTAAAAATCCCAACTTGATACAGTCCTTTGAATGAGTTTGAATTTCTCCAAAAACAGGAAAAAGCTTAGTGACAAAGTCATATTTATTAAAACATTTTTCCATATTTTAAATAAATAGAAAGTATAACAATTATTGTAAACATCACAGATATCACAAACATATGTTAGGATACATGGGTAAATAAACACTTTTCTGGCCTAGTCATTAACAGAGTAAACAGGATTCATCAGCACATGGCCAGATTTCAAAGTTCATAAATAATTAATACCACTGCAGTTTTATGGCAGAACATTGACTTAAATATCACAACTTTCATAGATATTTAAGTCTTAGGAATGAGTTGACTGTGAGTGAAAATACAGTTGCAAACTATACACATTTTTACACACAGCAGTAAACAAGTAAACGTTCTGCTGTTTTAGTTTTGTTGTGCTTCTTCCAATGGACTTCTTTGCATGAAAAATGATGTGGATAAATTCTTGTGTGACTGTTGATGACCAAATCTTGAATCTGAAACAGAAATTACCAAATCATGTGAAATGACAGATACTAGGATACACATGAATACTGTCAGAGACCTGTGCTTTCTATTTAAAACCACACTCAGCAATATTCCATCAGTAAGATGAGGTCTGTAAATAACTGAGTCAGTCAAGTGATTTATACAATGGGCAATCAATGGTCCAGTAGGGTATGTGGGGATGCAATCAACCAACAACCAGCATGGGATGCTAGGTAGTCCAACCATGAATCCCACAGGTTTCGCAACTAACAAAGTGGTGCTCAGGACATGTTCTACCCTCCATACAGAATCAACACTATGAATACTGTTCATTCACTGTTTACAGAACTCAAATCTTAAAGAGAGCCCTCATTGCCAAAGGATAATATGGACAAATCTCATGAAACCAGAATCTACGTATGCACATTACATTGATCAAAGGAAATCTATGAATCTATTGACAAGTAGAGCCTTCTCGTGATGAAAAGAACTGGCCCTCCAAATACAAATATTTTTTACAGTACAACGGTAAAAAAAGACTATCAATTGACACACCAGGCGACTGACTGACCATAAATAAACAGGGGTCCTATGCTATATCTGCTTGCCACAGGCAAGGATAGGAGATAACTGGACCCTGGCAAACCTTGGGAAGACCGAAGGAGAGAATGTTTAATGTTATATTCTACTTCAGAATCCTGACTGATTTTGCTTGATGTTCTCAAGCAGGTTTATGGAAGGCAAATCTTGACATAGTTTGCAAGATGATGAATCCTTGATCCTTGAATTTGCAGTCCTAATAATCACACAGACATATGATTCACATACACAAGCAGTTCAAAAGTAAATAAATTTTGTAGTTACCTCGCAGGTTTGCCTAGGTGGATGCTTGTTGCTCTGCACATGTGAAGATAAAGAAATCATCAGATCAGTGGCTAACACCAATAGCATGATAAATGAGTAACAACAAAGTACAATGTACTAAAAACATTTACATACATAAATAACATCTAGATCAGTGTGAACTTCATTTACCTTCAGATTTAGTCTCTTCCTTCTGCTCAGTTTTGGTTTCATCATCTTTCTTTGCATCTTCCTCCTTTGTATCTTCCTCCTGTTTAGCCTCTTCCTCCTTCTTCTCTGACTCCTCTGCAGCCTTTGAAGCATCTTCTCCCTTCTGCTCTTCCTCTGCCTTGTCCTCTGCTTTGTTTTCTCCATCTTTGACATCCCCTTCTTTAGCATCTTCTCCTTTGCTGTCATCAGTTTTGTCCTCTTCCTTGGCTTCTGAGGCAGGACGTTCTTCAGACTTCTGCTCTGTGACACCTGTAACACATAAATATGTTTATATTTTACACAAAGCTACCCCAATCCATATCTAGTCTGTATGCAAGGACCAAGTTCTTATATGGAAGTGCTACAGAACATAAATTTCCTCGGGACAGACAATCTGTAATTCTGTCTGAATTTCAATTACCGGTAGCTAGGTTATTCTCTACTTTTGTCTACTGTGTTGTTTTTTCTGAGGCGTGTAAATCATCTTCCAGAATGCCATATGGTGAGAAACATCTCCCAGCTCTCTGAACCAACCTTCTTGATCTGTTTTGGACTGAGATTCAGTTGTTTCCTGATTTGCCTGAGCCTCCTCCCCACTCTCCCCCTTAGCCTGAGCCTCTCCCTCATCTTTGGGCTGCTCACTCTCGGTCTGTTCTGACTGAGCCTGAGCCTCCTCCCCCTCAGGTTTGGCAGCCTCCTCCCCCTCAGGCTTGGCAGCCTCCTCCCCCTCAGGCTTTGCAGCCTCCTCCCCTTCAGGCTTGGGAGGTTCATCCTCCTCCTCCTTCTTGACCCCATCCTCCCCTTGTGCAGTGCCACCTAGTGTCAGGTGAGGAAACAAAAGTGCAGTGTGTGAAAAACAAATACATAAGTGAATAATGTGAACATGTGTACCATGAACAAAGTTGAGGAAGAAGTACATGCAGTATCATCAGGTACTTATAATAGGCATCAGGTTATAGACAGTGAAATGGAAGCATGCTTCAAGTATATTTTCGACTGGAATAACTCTGGAATAATACAGATTTTCATGCAAGTATGACATGCAAGATTAAAACATATTTATGGAATTTTGTACAAATGTACATTGGCTTAGCCTGTGTGCCAATTCACAATTGATTAAAATGTAACGTCCTTCAACATAATCTTAGAAAAGCTTAGTTTTTGAGAAGAATTCTTGCCCAGTATACACAGTACCTGATGTCCAAACATCAATCTTAACTGCTTCAACTTTAGCACATGTACACAGATATTACAAGTGACTGACATGGAAACATAAACAACACAATTTCACATCAAACATCTTCCCCATATTAGGAGACTGACTGAGTTTAATTTTATGCCACTTTTAGCAATATTCCAGCAATATCACAGCGGGGGACACCAGAAATGGGCTTCACACATTGAGCCCATGTGGGGAATCGAACCCGTGTTTTCGGCGTGACGAGCCAATGCTTTAACCACTAGGCTACCCCACCGCCCCCATATTAGGAAAGGGGAACAGGCATCATCAACATAGAAATACACCAGTGCTGTGAGTAAACTGTGCAACAATGTTAGTGAATGTTGTATTGCTGAATCATCGTTAATCATCACTATTCCAGTTATCTTAGAATGAACTATAAACACTTCTAACTAAGTGTTAACCAGACAAGTAGCATATTCAACAATCCATGGTGGTGAGGTACACCAAGATCTGACACTGTACAGACACCCAACACTTCGCAGTTGGCTCTTATGACATAGATGGATACAGAGGCATCTATTCTGTGCAAAACTTGAGAGTTGGAAGAACATGTTACAAAGACAAACACCTGTTATCCTTCAAACAGTTAGTTTCTATAGTCCGTTTGGCTCAAAAGCGGACCGATGAATTGCAATCTAACTCGAAAACTAATAAACATAAAATACTCAATAAAACACTGATCATAATCAAAACATCATACCCACTCTGTGAGGTTTTTGCAGAATTTTTGTCCTAAAAATTAAAAAGTTGTTTAACAATCTATCATTAAACTATTGACACAGTTCACAATTTGTTACGAGGGAGGAGCGCAGAGAAAGGGACAGCCAGGTGTTCGAGAACGGATGGAGACGGCACAGCACAGGTTAATGAATAAATAACTTTGTCTGTGAACGTGCTTCTCGAACACCTGGCTGTCCCTTTCTCTGTGCTCCTCCCTCATAACAAACAGCGAACTGTGTCAATATTTTAATGATAGTTTGTTAAACAACTTTATTATTTTTAGGACAAAAATTCTGCAAAAACCTCACAGAGTGGGTATGATGTTTTGATTATGATCAGCATTTCATTGAGTATGTTATGTTTATTAGTTTTTGAGTTAGATTGCAATTCATCGGTCCGCTTTTGAGCCACTTTTGAGCTTTTGACAGTACCACAAGGTGAAAGAAACAGGGAGGGCATTTACTATTGATAATTTGGTTTGCAGATCTGCTGACCATAAACATCAGGAATATTTTACATTAATTACGTAAGAGCCTGAAAGTCACACATAAATTACAAAAATATGCATCCCAAATGTAGAATTCATGATGTTGACATAAAGAAAGTACCGGGGGTATATACATTTTTAAACATTCCTGAATAATAGAGAATTTTAACTTATTTCCCCTCCAGTGTACCAAGCCATCTTTTTTTCTCTAAAAATATTTAAAGGGTCAAGTTTTAGTTTCCCCAACACATCTCCCGAAGTAGTAAACCGACAAATATCAAAAGGCAACTGACTTATTAATGGGAATTCTAAGATCTATTATTACCAATACTCCAGGATGATATACTATATTTCAATTCTGTTATGATAAATACAGGGAAATCACTCACTACAAGAACGCCATTTTATGAAGGGACATCACCATTTCCTGCACTTATAATAAGTAACTTTGCATTGACTGATTTTTGGTCATGAATGTAATTTGCTTTGTTTTAGTTTCATATTAATGGATTTATAGTCGAAATGAACCTTGTGCAAATTGGTCTTGGCTATTTCCAGACAAAAATGAAAACTGAGGAGGTTGGACTACTAGCTGAGATTCCGTAATGATTAGATAGACTTGGACACTTTGAGATTATACAGAAACTGATCTTATTGAAGGATTATAGATCATTTTGATGATCCTTCATATACAAATGTCCACATAATCTATCTTATAGGTCTCAATGGGAAATTAGTTTTAGAAATTTGGGATTCATCAAATGTAGTTCGGTACCTCTCAAATGATGTGACATGCTTCATTGGGAAATGAACTACAGCTGATTTGGTAGCGTTCACCCAGGTGAGGTCATCTGCTACTGTCAATATAATGTGTGTTTAGGATGACACTAAAAGCTGCATTGTCCCACCTTGGTCTCTGTGATATGAAGGTTTACTCTAAGATATATATATGTTCAACCTATGCTCTCAATGGACAAGATTCTTTTTATACCTTCTGCGTTGTCTTCGCTAGTCTCTTGTTTAGTCTCTCCAGACTCTTCCTCTGTAAAACAGCCATTAAAACTACATTCTGCTCCAGTCAGCTATATTACTATATTTACCATTTCATCATTTACAAAAACATTAGTTTATTTCTGCCAGTTTGACTTGCTCAGGTCAAGGCCAACTTCTCATTTCTTGACAATGTGGTTACAAAGGACAAACAAACAATGAGAACAATTATTGAAGTGAAAACATGCCAGAATGACATTACACAGTGACATTAAAGTGTTCTGAATCAGATTAAAGTTAATTGTTAAAAAGCTGGGCATGTGGAGGTTTAGGTTCAAACTTGGTGAGGAAAAACATGCAAGCAAGGATGCAGGGAGGTCTAAACAGGCCATTTTTCTACACCAAATCCCACTTAAGCAGGTGTTTCAGTATGGTTGGGATTGGGTCTATCAGCAATATTCTATCTATAAACCCATTGTAACTGGACCAGGCAAACCAATGATTGACAGCATGAGCAGTCCTCCCTGGTGTTTGTATACGATGACACAAACATCCAGAGTACTATTCATACAGATCTTCAAGCAGAAAGGAATTGAAGCAGAGTTAAAGATTTTAGTGGGTACTAGGGAACATTTCCTTCAGGAATGTCTACAAGGTCAGTAGTATTGATGCTATGTACAGTTAACTAAGGTTTTAAGTAAACTTTAAGTATCACTCAGGTCTGTATATAATATGTAAAGCACTTCTTGTAGCAGGAGGGACGTATAATACTAGTGGCATGCTCAATCATGACACATATAAGCAGTTATGCAAATGAGACATTAAAGCATATATATATTAGAAATGCAAAGTTGTCCAATATGGCGAACATTTTATGGGATATGCATGCTGCTGGATATATTTAGGTGAAAAAGGAAAAGGGATATATGTAACTAAAGTGGGAAAGAAATGAAGTTGAATCATTGCAGAAAGCTGACACCTGATTGGCTCTAGAAGCCACAAATCTTTCATGAACACTGGACGGTCAAAGTTTGCTTAGGGTCCACCTAGCATGACCTCCTATGAAGGTGTCTCCAGATCTTCATGCATATTCATAAGACATCTGATTTTAAGGAGACAGAGAGTATAAAGGGTCATGATAATGTGAATGTGGCAGTGGTAGGTGTCTAGTTACAGTAGCACTATGGGCACAAGCAGGGTTATGTATGGGGTTTACAAGGGTCAGTAGTGCGGGTTATACTCTCTAACCTGTTCCCTCTTGTCGGAACTCAGGAGCAACATCATTGGCCTCAGCTTGTGTCTCTTCCACAGCTGACAGGGAAACATGGACATGTCAGTAGTCGAGAGAGCAGTTCAAAGTTTGATATTGGACTAATAATTATTTGAAATGTTTCCCCAAAACATTTTTGTGACATGTTGTAATGTTAAAAGAGGACTTCCCCAAAAAGTATTAATCAACATAAATCAAATGGAAACTGTGTTGAGGAAGTGTGTTGAAATTCTCTTTTGTCTCCTTGTACTCCCTATACTTGTGATGTTATTCATCTTCAAAGAAGACAAATAGAGCTGTTATTTAAGGATTTGAGCAATAAAGAACTCTAAAACTTTAAACTTTAAAACTATATTGTCAGACCTGTTCATGCCCTCAGATCCAAAATTTATGAACTGAGATTTTTTGCAAAGCACCAAACCTCTGAAGTGCTGTTTAAGTCTACATAGTGTTTGCGGAAACACATGAGTTTTGCATTCATAGGGCAATCTTATTAATGTTTTGGTAGTGAAACTATCTATCAATATTTTGTCTGAGGTTGACAATTTTGTGCAAATACCGTAAATGTATTTTTCATGTTAATGTTAGTGACATGTTCCAGGAAGTCATTTTTTACTTTGTGTTAGAACTACTTTAAACCTTTAGAGATTTATACAGTTACAGCAGTTGAAATGTTGATTTTCTGGATTAACAACATGTCTGTTTATACTTGTTACAGCACAGACATGAAAAAAGTGGTGATATACTTGGTAGTAGTAAAAGAATCAGTAATGAAATCAAAGAATGGAGTTATCATCTATAGGAAAAGATTATATATTAGTCACCACGTCTGTAGAATAATTAGAACATGTACATGTACTGAAAACATGTACTTAAAAGAGCCACATAAACATACATGTACTTAAAAGAGCCACATAAACATAAATGTCAAATGTTATTACATTAATAAGGGTACATAAATCACCAAAGCATCACACATACACAAGCTGGATTGAATATTTTAGGGCATCTGAGTTCCCACTGAATATCCAATCCCATCTGGCAATATATAATTTACTGGAGAGGTTAAAGAAAAACAACAAAACATACTGTGGTTGATAGAATGGGTAATGTGTTTGTAGAATCATGCAAAAACATTCCAAGATCTTTTTCTGTTTTTGTGTGAGGCACTAAACTGTTCTCTGAAAAGAAATGGTTAAGGCTTTTTCGGTTTACAAAGCACTTACCAGGCTCATCTTGGTCTTTTGTGGGTTCACTCTCTGCAATATCAATTAATTGATACTTAATCATCAGTTAATTAGACAAATCTCTGTAAACAGTGCAGTGTTTTACCCTGGCAATAATTGTAGCTTGAGTCAAGTAAACAAAACTTCAACCTTTCCATGTTAGCAAATTAACTCATGTATGACTGAGGTAATATACATCTACTGTACAAGAAAAGATTAGAAAATTCATCAGTTGTAAAATGAAGTTGAAGCTAACATTGCATCAGATTCGATGGCTTAAAACAGTGCTACAACTACAATATCTACAAGATGAGGTGGACATTGTGTGTGATATGATGCTTGAGAGTATCGTTATAAAGGAAGATAAATTTTAACATTACTCTAGAGAAATAGAGTTAATTGACAGATTGATATCTGTTATTATGAACATTATATGAACAAGCAATGAACATGCAATATACATGTACATTCAGTACATGTTTGTCATGTTTATTCAAGTGCAGATGCAATATACATGAAGGAGACAACAATATTCTCCAGACTGGAGCTTGACATGAGCAGGTTGTGCAGCAGTCTACAAAGCTGGACAAGTGTACCATATGGTACCAAGAGGAAAATATAATAGAATGGTGCCAGCCCTCTATATTTTCATCAAAAATGGGCTTACAAAAAGGAGTGAATCATGACATATTAAAGGAAGCAGAACAAAAATAATTTACATGCAGGAACATTTATGTCTGTAAAACTTGACAGAAAAACACATCCAATAGTTATCATGTGCTACACACATGTGTAGGGTGTCATTCCTGATTTTGACACATTCAAGGATATTAGTCTCTGTGGACCATTACTCCCGTCAACCTTACTGATTCTGCTTAACATACAGTTGTCATTTAGTTGATTTCATTAATAAATATCGTGTTTATGACCATGCAGTGTGGCATCTAAATCATGCAGAATCTCTGTATGCCTTTGGCATGCTGGAAACTGGAAGTCAGAGTTGCAAACTATGGAACAGGTACCCTCAAACCCCAACTATTGATGATCAACCTTGTTTAGGCTTTCCTACGTCAACAACAAGAGTACAGGACTGATTGATCCGAAACCAGGCTCTATGAAATCGAGCCCAAATAGTGAATCAAATGCTGTGAACTTTCTTCAGGCTATTGGAGTATGTGTTAGAGATGAGATGCTAAGAAATAGAAATTGAAATGTTGTTCATCTCCATGCTCAATGGCTGTGTGTTGTGCTGTTAACAAATCGACATATTGTTAAGACATTAATGGTGTACATGATGTCAAAACTGATAACAATCACTGGGGACATGTCATGTTTTCAAATGAATCATGATTCACTTTGGATTTCTGGAATATGAGTGGTCATGTCTGTTGAAAATGACCATCAAGTCAATGACAACTTGAGGCTTCACGACAGATTTGGTGGTGGATTGTTTAAGGTGCGGAACAGCACTGCTATGGCAACTACACCACACTGCACATTGTGCAAGAAAAGGTCAGTGGGCAGTAGGGGCCAACACAACTGACACCCTTTTTTGTCTCATTTGCAAAGCATGTCAGATGACATTTGGTCTTTCAGCACAACACACATGCACTAGCATCCTTAGAACTCTGTGTCCAGCAATGAGACCAGACCTTTCCCTCATGGAACAAGTCTTGGACACTATTGGGTGATGTGTGTGTCAGTGTCATAGGCCACTGATCACATTGGTTGAAGTTAGCACCGCGATGCACGAGGAGTGGAATACACTTCCAGAAATGACTATTGGGAGAATCGTGTACACATTGTGTGAATGAATGTTTGATAAATCATGGTAGTAAAATGTATCACTGATCCAAAATCTGATGTCAGTCACTGGATTGTCTGGTCCAGATTTGATGATTTACGGACTGCCGAATATTGCTGAATGTGGAGTTAAACAACAAACTCCATGTTATGACACACAATGACCCACAATCAAACAAGTCGCTTAGCCTGACCACATGGTCACCTCTCATCACCAGCATAGGATACAGAATGCCTATTCTAACCTGAAATCCTATGGTTTATTTTAATTATCAGTAGAAGAAGGATGTTTAGCAACAACTAACAGAAAGATTACTTCATTCTCAAACACCAAGGAGATAGTAATATGTATGGTGTACTTAATAACAGAAGTGTGTCAAGAGAGCAGGCAAATGTTTGTCTTCCAATGTGTAGTAAGCATGGTATGGTTACTTTCGTCAAATCAAACAAACAAGCACACAAACTGACATGCACAATAAAATGGTTGCAGAGGATTGTTTTGATTGTATGTCACAATACATGTACCAGTTTTATATTTCACAATTTTATATTGTTGACTATGACATGAAACAACATGCATTCATACTCTCCCTGTGTCTACACATGCTTTTGGTTATATATTATAACACAGTATCATAAATAAAGGGAAAACACAACATTTGACATAATCCATGCAAAATATGGAGGAAAATATTAATGACTTAATCATAGCATCTTCAACTGAAGTTTGGTAAATGGGTACTTGGCAAAATGAGATGATAGAGTAAATAAATACTAGTAAGCTCAATACTAGATCCTAATAGACAGCTTGATAGTATACTTCAAAGGGTGCAGAGAAGGCAGTTTAGCTGGTTCACTGAGGTATCAACATCACAGCCTTGGAGTATGCCCCTATTATAATCATTACCATGGTATGCTTTAGAGTTGTCACAGTATGCTTCCTCATGTCTTATCTTTGTGTAAAATGTTCCATATGTTCAGGATTTCATCATGGCAGGTCAATAAACTGGTCCAAAGTGCAGTCAAATTAGCATTTTGTTTATGGCAGGCATTAATTTAACATTGAACTTAATATTTGTCTGGGCTGATTAATGCAAATCATAGCAATTACTACGTTTTGAAAATCGATACATGGATAGAATGTTTTATGTATTTGTCAGGAGAAAGATTGGAATCACTGCTGCATCAGATAACTGTGACAACCCCAGTTTCTTTTCCACTTTAAGGCCAATATTAGTGAAATTTCCCTATTCTTTCATTTCAGCTACAACATTCACAACTTTCAAAAATACCTGATCCTTGAGGATTGATACATACTTTAAAGAACTTTACATAATAAAGATATGTGCATTGGTGAAAGCAAAACAGCTGCCTTGTGGTACTGGGTTTTCAAGAAAAGGAGGGACATAATTAAACTACAAGACCACAGACTTACGTAATGTTTGTGAGTCTTCATCTGAAAGAGTAGTAGACAAGACAGATATGATTAGTAGTTGTAAAACTACTGGTGTTATAGACACCATTGTCACAATACTGACTTCATGTGAGCAAAATGAAGAAAAAGGAAGGTCTTAATCATCAAATACAAAATTTCAAAGAAAGAAAATACTAATAATAATAAGTGCATTTATAATGTGCTAAGCTCCATTCACTAGTGAATGCTCATAGCATGAACAAAAGTTCACTGGTATTTACAAAGTTTGTAATTAGGGGTAAGATAAGGCTTTGTTGTAACATTTGTTAAACGGGTAGGTCTTTAAAGTCCCTTTGAAAGTGCAGGCAGTTCATTCCACAATGTTGCTGCATGGAAGGAAAAGGACGGACTGAGTTTGGTTTTATGCCGCTTTTAGCAATATTCCAGCAACATCACGGCGGGGGACACCAGAAATGGGCTTCACACATTGTACCCATGTGGGGATTCGAACCCGGGTCTTCGGCGTGACGAGCCAACACTTTAACCACTAGGCTACCCCACCGCCCGGAAGGAAAAGGAACTCATGAGGGGATAGATGTATAGACTAATCTTTTCAGGTCAGTGTTCCACAAAGCGAACTTAGTGCCATGACTATAATTAGCTTATAAAGAATGGGAGATAATCATAGCGCTATTTAGGTTGCTTTGTGGAACAGTTTCTAGATAATGGTTGCATGACTAGAATCCTGGAAGTTGCTGGGTATGTAATAATGAACCATACAACTTTATGGATACCTTTGCTCTGTGCAATAAACACAAAGTTGTCCTCCATAAAGTCATATGGTTTGTTAGATGGTGGTTGTCAATCTTTCGACTCTAGTCTTGTAACACAATTTAACAATTTTATTCTTTCTGTAGATATCTACAGCTATTCAGAACTCACTGGGCCTACTAAATATTAGTTGTAATAGTTTTAGCTCCATAAACTCTTTGTGGTATGAACAATAAATTACATCACAAGTACCATACTGTTAATGAAAGCGATGAGTAATTTCAAAAAGATATTATTTAGAATCAGTAAAAGCAAGCCTGTTAAATCATATTTTCTTTGAACACCATTCCCAGATAGCAAAGGTGTGTTGGGCCAATGTTGGTATATTGTTGGTTGGTTGGCCAACAGTTTGACAACATTGGCCCAACGTTATCTTAATGACTTAAAAGTAACGGTGGCTTTTGACACGTTGGTCCAACAGTGGGCCAACATTTGAAAAACTCTGCCTATTTTCCCTGATCTTACATCTATTTCACAAAGTTGGGCCACCGTTGGCCCAACATTGTGAATAATAGAGTGAGCACACGGCCATTTTTAGCCATGTTTTCTTATTAAGATTTTGATGAAAGTTGAAATAATTACACAGACAAAAAGAAAGAATCCATTTCCCTGTCTTTCAACTATGATGCAGTGAATTTTACAGCGTTGTTTTCTCCAAATTGAATACCAAACTTGTCATCATTGATAGCTTTACCTGATATTCAAAGAGCAGACGACACTACATTTCTGGAGGCCTTCAACTGGTAAATATGCATTGTTATTTCTGTGATACTGAATTGCGAATATATTGTGAAATAATTAATTTAAATCATCATTTAGGCTAAAGAAACTGACACATACCGTATTGAAAGGTAATTGATTGAGTAGATAAAAGATTTAATTGACTCTTTTCTTTAGGTAGCCTGCTTTAACCACTTTGATAATCTCATTTCATTTTAAATTATTTAAATTTATTGTGTTTACTTTATTAACATTATGTGTTTGTCAGTTACACTCCTATTTCCATATACAACTCTCTCTATTATTCATGTTTACAACCAATAATTGCTAGACATCATCATATCAGATATATGTGTCACAGTTATAGTAGTTACACGTCATATCCAAATAACACATTGTTTGATGGGTAGTCTAGAAGTTGGTGAGTCAAAAATGAAACATACAACTCTATGGATGACAACTTCTTCTTTATTGTATAGAGCGACGTTTCGATGTAGATTCTTACACTGTTATCAAGCTAAAAGTGACTACAACCAAATGATGAAAAGTATATATACATGTACATAGTATGTTTTGTCAAATAAACATAATTGGGAGCGGCCAGTTGGGGACTAAGAACAACAAATGGATCTAGTGATGAAACCAATTAACAAGGAAGGAGGGGAGGGTGGGGTGTTAGGTTGTAACAACCTGATAGGGTGATTTGATCGAGTCTATAGTTTGATAAGTTCTTCATTAACCAATGGTATGTAGTGGGGTGGTGGGGTAGCCCAGTGGTTAAAGCGTTGGCTCGTCACGCCGGAGACCCGGGTTCGAATCACCACATGGGTACAATGTGTGAGCCCATTTCTGGCGTCCCCTGCCGTGATGTTGCTGGAATATTGCTAAAAGCGCGTAAAGCCAAACTCAGTCAGTCAGTCAGTGGTGTGTAGTATGCTTGGTCTCTATTGATCAAAGGTTTGTGGCGGCTGATTTTGATGGCTTCCAAAAGTTTTCTTTTTCCGAAGTCCTGATTCTTGGTGAATAAGTTTTCGAATTTGTCAAACCAGCCCCCTAAAACTAAGTTTGGCGTCATCTCAACCCTGACCAAGCACGCTAAGAACATTCCTCCAGCAGCCATGACCTAGAACATGAGCAGAACCACCTACAACATGTCTTCAGGAGCCTCAACCAGTAACCCACCAACTCATAGTCTGTTTGATTTCATTTGAAACCAATGAATTACTCACTAACACAAAATCGAATAATTGCAACAAAACCAAATTTTGCAGTCACATGAAAACGACAGACCAATGAAGAACTAATCAAACTATAGACTCTATCAAAGCACCCAATCAGCTTGTTGTTACAACTGGATCCCCCCTTGTTTATTGGCTTCATGCCCATTCCATTTGGTGTTCTTAGTCCCCATCTGGCCTCTCCCAATAATGTACCAGTTGTTATTCAATTACATGTTGTTGTTAATATCAATCTGCTGATTGTCAAAACATACTACGCATATATATATACTTCTCATCATTTGGTTTTAGCTTGATAACAGTGTAAGAATCTACATCCGAACGTCACTCTGTGCAATAAACTAGAAGTTTTCAATCATTAAGTTGTATGTTTCAAATAAAACATAAGGTCAAATACTATGTCCTTTTACGATAGTTCTCGTCTAAAATTATGATATCTGACAGTTTCATGAAATGTTTGGGTTGTTTTTTTCAGGAGCAGTTCGAAAAACCTGTCAGCGGCGACAGCCAAAAGACCTAAGACAAGAATATTTTCAAGAAATACAATAATGTTCAAATAACAATGAAAAAAAGAATTAAATAGTTCACTTGATTAACTTCTTGTGTTGTTTATATATGTTTCTGATTGCAGAGGTCAGGAAAGAGCTAAATGTTGAAATACAGTTGTGCCAACATAAGGCCAACTAAATCACATTGTTGGGCCAAGTATGGGCCATGGTTTAGTACGAAGGTCAAGAAAGAGCCTAATGTTGTAACACGGTGGTGCCAACATAAGGCCAACAAAATCACTACGTTGGGCCAACTATGGGCCATGGTTTTGTGTGAATTTTCATTCGTTGGCCCAACAATGAGCCAACATGATGGGCCACTGTGGAGCCGATGAGCATATCCAAGTGGGCCCATCATCAGTTTGACAACCATGGGCCAACCAAACCGGTGATTATGGGCCAACTATGGGCCAACATATCATTGCTATCTGGGATTATTCGAAGGCCACTTATACAAAGCGATCAATTCTTGTAACCACCTACTTGTCTTAATATAGTCATAGATATTAGAGTTAAAATTGCTTTGTGTAACTAGTCCTGGCCATGCAGGAAACAAGTAGGATGGTTACAACATAGCCAGGATAGACAGCTAGAAGTTAGACTTGAGCTATCACAAGAGTGAACTGCAGCATGTCAATACTCCAATCTGGAACTACTACCTTCCAAATTACCATCAGGTTTGAACTCCAAATGCCCGAACACTTGCTCTATGGTACTTTTGGCGTGGTTGACATCAGAACTTCCATGGAGAGCATTAAGGAGGATATCCTTCCCATATATTGCTCGTAACCTGTGCAGAATTAAATTGTACATTGTAATATCTTTTTATCACAGGCTTTTGCAAGTTTTTTAAAGTATGGATACATTACATGAAACATACATGTTTGTTCACACAACACAAGCATAATCTTCTGTATATGCAAAAATTATATATATATTGTATTGCAAAATCTACCATTGTTGGTCAATCTGTGACAAATGCTAGGCTAAAGACAGAGAAGAAAAACTGCAAATCTTTCATTTTCTCTTCTGTTCACATCATGACATTATCAATTTAAAAATATGCCTAAAAGATAAAAAAACAGAAACTACCTTGCATACATAACTGATGAAAATGTAACAGTTAACTTATAGCTTAATTCAAATGCTTTACATGAAGATGAACAGGCATTTCACTGATGCTGGTAATGATACCCTCAAGAGAACATGATGGTGTACTCACGATTCTGGTGCTTCTGTTTGAGCCTGTTCTGGATTTGTTGGGCCGATGACTTCTCTCCACCCTGACACAGCATCTTCCCTTGATAGCACCATGAACATAGTGGGACCACTACAATGAAAAGTACATGTACAACACAAGTTACAACAGACATAACTAAACCAATACAAAAATAATTCTTAGTTCAAATCACTGGCCATTGCACTGATGGTACTTAATTACCACAGTGAGCTGAACAAGCACATTTTGATCAGATCACAGTATCAATATCTAATTCAGTATCCAGTACAGCATATCAATACATTGTAAGGGAAAACCCAATGTGATGCAAGTCGCTGATGGTAAAACAGCACAGACATGGTGGTTGATCAGGGAAAATCTGGTGAGGTGAGGTGAAATGGGGTTGAACGTCATACTTAAGAATATTTCACTCATATGACAACGTGCATGCGTGTGTACCGGGGTATGTGTGGCTGCGTGTACCAGCCCAAACTGAAGCTCAGGTTTTATAGTGCTATGCAGCAGTTAAGCATGAAAACCCCACTCAGACACATAAACTGACTCCTAGCCGACCAGTCCTTGTTGTACCCATTAATGCTGAGCGCCAGGCAGGGACCAACAAGTATCATATTTTAAGGTCTTTTGGTATGATGCGGCTGGGGATCGAACCTGCAACCTTCCGCTCTCCGCGCCGGCTCTAACCACTACACCATGGAGGCAGTCAGGAAAATCTGGGAAATCAAATCACAGCCCACAAGATCTGACCTGGACCAACAAAACACCAAGGTAGTCTATTTTGACTCAAATGCCCCTTAACACATCAAAAACTACACCAAGGTTTGTATCATAGGAAGTCCTTGTTAGGTGTGGTATTGTATTGTAACTCTCTCCACAAATCAAGGCTAGTAGATATTAAAGGTCACATGCAACGTAAAACACAACTTTGCAGATTCTGATACCTTTCGGTATGGAGTTACCAAAACAAATCATCAAAAATGCAAATTCAACTTATAAAGTTGAAAAATAACGCGATGAAAAAAAACGTCCGAAATCGGAGTTCAAACGATTCACTAATTTTCCCCCGACTTTTCAGGGGAAAACTGGTTTCAACAGCTGGGCTGCACTCATAGCACGTGCGCAGTGAAATAGGTTCGCGCAACTTGGAAGCCATTCTCTTCCCACAGAGGTTACTCCTGTCATATCTTCCTACGTAACCTCTGTTCTAATACGGCCCTTTCATGGTGTGAGCGTTCAAGACTCGTGATTGGAGGCAATCAGATTTAGTTGTGCAATAAGCGACGTTGTTTCAAAAGTGATCATTTGCAAGGCCTCGGTAATATCCGTATACTTCAAGAAAACTAAACCTCTTCCCCTGCACGATGCGTAAACGTTTCTTCTAGACAGAACTCAGTCATGTTATGGCGGATCAGTGGCGTCTCCATCGCCCTCGTTGACAACGGACAAGCTAGCCATTAAACGTCTTGTGTGTAACATCAACACAAGTCCCCGGCAGATGGGGGATATTTGTGGCCTCACATTTGCTTGTGTTGGTCAAGTTGAATCTAAGTCGATGTAACACGTGTTCTGATTGGATAGAAAGAAGGGAGATAATTCGTGTTGCGATCTTTTGCCGCTAGGGGATTTTACGAAAACCGGGAAATATGGCCGTATTAGAACAGAGGTTCGTAGGAAGATATGACAAGTAACCTCTGTGAGAAGAGAATGCTTGGAAGCGGGCTGTCCGGTGAATACTCGGTGAAGGCTATTTTCCTAATGTTTTGTTGATATCTCACAGGCGCAAGCTTTTTATTTGTTATGACAGTAAATAAACTGTTTATATAATTTCATTTGTCTATTTCACCACACGTTCTTCTTACCGAGTCACTTTCTCAGTTCGATACTTACAAGCAATGTCATTATTTAGCGTTGACAGAATTTCTAACTGTGATATAGATATGTCGTTGTCACAGACAAAACTCAATGTCTTGTTTTATTGACACCTGTGTGGCTGCCTGCCTGTCTGCTTATGACAATATTCAATACACAACTGCGATCACTGACCACATGCAATTTGAACTTAACACCAATCAGGCTATACACCATAAACAAAACGCATTGATTTATGGCCCGAGTTCGGTCTCTGTCACATTATGTAATTACACAGACAGGCAGGTGTGATACTTGAACACATGACATGTTATGATGTCTGTTGATTGCAAAATGTTATACACAAAAAATGAGCATGTATTTACAAAACCCAACATCTCTTTATATACACACACAATGAGCCGTGAGGGCATCTGCAAATGAACCAGCCGTTACACTTGAGTGCACACCCACCCGCTCTGACTGGGTTCGGTATCCTGGCTGCTTCGTTTCTTGGGAAGTATACCCAAGTACACAATATTGCACTTTTGATTTGCGATTGTACGCTTATAATTTTGTTTATATGTTTTTTCACAACCAGAAATGTATATTATATGTCATGAATAAGTGATAATTGTGTTGTAATTATGTTTGATTTTTTGGTTGCATGTGACCTTTAACGTATTTTCAGAAATTTGAATGAAGCATTTGTTCTCATTATTCAATGCCCCTTTTAGATTGAAAAGAGGAGATTATGTTAATATCCAAATATATACATAACTTTAGTCTCTAATTCCATAAAACCTCAAATGGTATGCCATTTTTTATTTCATATATGTCCAAGGCAAATGAATGGTACAAGACAAAACATCCCCCCATAGTTCTGATTGTCAATTCATTGCAAACTCTACATAATAGCAGTCTGTATTGTTTTTAATATTCAGCAGCATGATGTCAGTAATTGCCAATAGTCAGGTAATACATGTTTTATGCCAATAGTCAGGTAATACATGTTCTATGCCAATAGTCAGGTAATACAAGTTTTATGCCAATAGTCAGGTAATGCAGGTTTTATGCCAACAGTCAGGTAATACATGGTCTATGCCAACAGTCAGGTAATACATGTTCTATGCCAACAGTCAGGTAATACAAGTTTTATGCCAACAGTCAGGTAATACATGGTCTATGCCAACAGTCAGGTAATACAAGTTTTATGCCAACAGTCAGGTAATACATGTTCTATGCCAATAGTCAGGTAATACAAGTTTTATGCCAATAGTCAGGTAATGCAGGTTTTATGCCAACAGTCAGGTAATACAAGTTTTATGCCAATAGTCAGGTAATGCAGGTTTTATGCCAACAGTCAGGTAATACATGATTTATGCCAACAGTCAGGTAATACATGTTCTATGCCAATAGTCAGGTAATACATGTTCTATGCCAATAGTCAGGTAATACATGTTCTATGCCAATAGTCAGGTAATACAAGTTTTATGCCAACAGTCAGGTAATACATCGTCTATGTCAATAGTCAGGTTATACATGTTCTATGTCAATAGTCAGGCCAATACAGGTCATACATATGTTCTATGCCAATAGTCAATAGTCAGGTAATACATGTTCTATGCCAATAGTCAGGTAATACATGTTTTATGCCAATAGTCAGGTAATACATAGTTTTATGCCAACAGTCAGGTAATACATGTTCTATGCCAACAGTCAGGTAATACATGTTCTATGCCAACAGGTCAGGTAATACAGGTTTTATGCCAACAGTCAGGTAATACATGTTCTATGCCAACAGTCAGGTATACAGTTTTATACATGTTCTATGCCAATAGTCAGGTAATACAAGTTTTATGCCAATAGTCAGGTAATGCAGGTTTTATGCCAACAGTCAGGTAATACATGTTCTATGCCAACAGTCAGGTAATACATGTTCTATGCCAACAGTCAGGTAATACATGTTCTATGCCAATAGTCAGGAGTCAGGTAATACAAGTTTTATGCCCATGCAGGTTTTATGCCAACAGTCAGGTAATACATGGTCTATGCCAACAGTCAGGTAATACAAGTTTTATGCCAACAGTCAGGTAATACATGTTCTATGCCAATAGTCAGGTAATACAAGTTTTATGCCAATAGTCAGGTAATGCAGGTTTAATACAGTCAGGTAATACATGTTCTATGCCAACAGTCAGGTACAATGCCAACAGTCAGGTAATACATGTTCTATGCCAATAGTCAGGTAATACAAGTTTTATGCCAATAGTCAGGTAAATACAGGTTATACATGTTCTATGCCAATAGTCAGGTAATACAAGTTTTATGCCAACAGTCAGGTAATACATGGTCTATGTCAACAGTCAGGTAATACAAGTTTTATGCCAACAGTCAGGTAATACAGGTTTTATGCCAACAGTCAGGTAATACATGTTTTATGCCAACAGTCAGGTAATACATGTTCTATGCCAATAGTCAGGAAATACAAGTTTTATGCCAACAGTCAGGTAATACATGTTTTATGCCAATAGTCAGGTCATACATGTTCTATGCCAATAGTCAGGTAATACAAGTTTTATGTCAACAGTCAGGTAATACAAGTTTTATGCCAACAGTCAGGTAATACATGATTTATGCCAATAGTCAGGTAATACATGTTCTATGCCAATAGTCAGGTAATACATACATGTTCTATGCCAATAGTGGTCTATGCCAATAGTCAGGTTATACATGTTCTATGTCAATAGTCAGGTAATACATGTTCTATGCCAACAGTCAGGTAATACATAATCTATGCCAATAGTCAGGTAATACATGTTCTATGCCAATAGTCAGGTAATACATGTTCTATGCCAATAGTCAGGTAATACAAGTTTTATGCCAACAGTCAGGTAATACATGTTCTATGCCAACAGTCAGGTAATACATGTTCTATGCCAATAGTCAGGTAATACAAGTTTTATGCCAATAGTCAGGTAATACAAGTTTTTTGCCAATAGTCAGGTAATGCATGTTCTATGCCAATAGTCAAGTTATAGTCAGGTAATGCACGTTCTATGCCAATAGTCAGGTAATATATATATATAAACTCTGTCAAAAAAGAAACGCAACCCCTGTATTTTAGAGATTTTGATCTGAAGTTTTAGGACGACACAGCATTTTTATTATTTAAGACAGAAGTCTGAAATTTGGCAGAATAATAACCCAGATGGGCATGTTTAAAATTGTTATTTCAAAAGTCATCTCACAGACACCAGTTTGTCACCAGGGGGGCGTCTTTCTCAGTATCTCGTATGAGCACCACGAGCTGCAATCACTGCACGGCATCTCCTTGGACAAGAACGGATAAGACGCCGGATTCTTTCCTGGGGAATGGCTCCCTCCTCCTGCAGTGCAACGGCGAGCTGTTGCAGCGTCTGTGGCGGCGGCTGACGTTGACGATACGCGTCGATCCAGAGTATCCCACAGGTGTTCAATAGGGTTGAGGTCTGGTGATTTAGAGGGCCATGGCAAGACATTGACGTTGGAATTCTGCAGAAAGTTCATTGTTGCACGTGCAGTATGAGGCGGGTGTTGTCCCGTTGAAAAATCTGTGTCTGTTGGTCAATAATCGAGAAGGTGAAGCTTTAACACGCGTGGTTGGTGTAACGTTGGGCTGTCAGGTTCCCTGGAACGATCACCAAGTCTGATTTCTGGTTGTATGAGATGGTTCCCCAAACCATGACGCTTTCTTCGCTAAATCTGTCCACCTGTCGGACGCAGATGGGCGCAAAACGTTTATGACGTCTCCTATACAGACGCTGTCTTCGGTCGTGACGTTGCAAAAGAAAACGGGATTCATCAGAAAACCAGATGCGCCTCCAGCTTTGTAAAGTCCGTATCCTTACGTTGTTGCACCACCTGAGTCGCCGGGCGTCGATGTAGGGCGTAGTACAGGTCCAACAACTGGTCTACAGGCACGTAAACCCGCTTCTTTCAGGACGGTTCCTAATCGTTTGAGCTGACACTCTCCTCAAACCTGGTATTTGTGTGGCAGTCACGGTTGGTAGGGCATGCCGATTACGCGAGGTGATGGACCCGGATGTACCGATCTTGAAGGGGTCGTGATTCTTGGCCTTCCACTTCTCGGGCGATCGTTGGTCAAATTGAAGTTGTTGTAGCGGCTCCAAAGTCGGGATATCGTTGTTTTGTGAACATTTAGGTGCCGTGCAACAGTTCCAAAACTTTCTCCGGCTTGAACACGACCAATGGCGATATTTCGGGTCGGCAGCACTCAATCGTGGCATTTTTAACACAGCCGGCGACAAATGAATGAATATAATACGAAAGCACATGGGCTTTTATACACCCCTACATTAACTGCCATTTTCATGATTTGCATGTGGTTTTTTTGTGCGAAGTCACCATGAGGGTTATTTCATGCGTTGTGACGGAATAAGCAATAAAATACACTTATGCGTACAAATGCAGTTGTTTGGATGGTAATCTTCATTAATTACGCGTATAATTTCAATACATTCGAATAAAATTTAGTTTGGAAGCAATAACTTCATTCAAACGAATTTTTCATATCTGAGGACAGGGGTTGCGTTTCTTTTTTGACAGAGTTTATATGTTCTTTTGAATGTGATATTTACAACAATTTGTACAAAAAGGTCAGGAAATTAATACATATACAGACTCTTGATAACACTTCATTTACTCACCTTGTCATATGACCAACAAGGTCATCGAAATACTCTTTGCCTTTGTGTTCTCCATAGAATTCCTCTGCAATTTCTTTTGTTATGGTAGTTTCCTTTCTTGCTGCTATCCTGAAGCCTGCTTCATGGATCTTAGCAATGATCTCATCTGAAATGCATTATCAGCATCGCAATTAATGTTATATTCAAATCAACAATGGCACAGCTGTTATCACAGGAACATGAAGTCTTACAAGTATTGTTGGTTTGTTTGTTGTTTATTGCCACTCTCAGCAATATTCAGTTTGAGGCAGCGGTCAATAATTAATTGTGTCTGGACCAGGCAACCAAGTGATCAACAGCATGAGCATCAATCTACGCAATTGGGATATGATGACATGTGTTAAGCACATCAGCGAGCCTGACCACCTGATCCCGCCAGTCACCTCTTACAACAAGCATGGGTAGTGGAAGGCCAATTCTAATCCAGATCTTCACAGGTTTGTTACCGGTATATAAACAGTAAAATAGTATGCCTATTTTCTTATAAAATATTCCACTCTACATAAAGAAAATAGTCAAATATCACTGTCTGTATGCACAATCTATTGTGAGGGTTAAAATGTCATTTAACGTGTTACAGTAGGCACACAAAACAATCATGTGGAATTTGTCAGTTTTGTCAGAGATAACATACTTTCACTTTTCATTCTTTTAATTTGTCATTTGAAAACAGTTTTCAAAAGCAGCCTCGCTTATGGACAGACTTTACATGGCTGGGTTTAATGGTTATTTATTGACAGATATAGTGATTAGGGTTTCAATAGTGACACCGACCTTTAGTTGAAAAAGCATCAGGTTTGATGGCAGCTACTGTTTGTTCCATTGGGAAGAAGTGCTGGATTTCTTTTTCAGCTGTTTCTATGGAGTCTGATCCATGCAGTTGGTTGATGGAGGACTCATCTATAGAAAACTGGGCACGTAAACTGTGGATATAAAAGGGTGTTGCCAGTATAGAAGAGGAAGGATGAAAGGTGCTTCATGCATATGTAACGAACTCACCCTCTGGACCAGTTATATGTTGTTGTTTAATCTTAACCAAAATTAATTGGAGTGTGCGGCAATCTCATTGCCTGATTAAACCTGATTAAACATGATTCAAAGCCCAAGGATCTCCCAAAATATTCACTGCAAATGAATACTTATTTCTTTATGTTTCTATTCCTTTTTATACTATTCACACTTTGCTAAGAATCAAATCATGGATTCAACAGAAAACTATGATGTGGGGTCAAATTTGGTTTAAATATCTAAGCTTATTGTAAGCATGGTTCCTAGGTTTCAGTATGTCACTGCATCTTGTGGATCCCATACTTGCTATTGACAGGTGTTGTTTTATTTGTCAATAGCTCATTCCATGATTTGCCAAATGGTTGATTGGTGTCATGAAAACCATTTTTATGGTTACTCATGTATCAAATGAATAAGGTTAGAATAAAGTGTCTGCCTAAAGAGGGGTTACCATATTATGATATATCCAGTTTTAAATGGATATAATTTGATATTATAAATCTACATTAAAGTAAAGTTGTGAATTTTTGTGATCCTTATCAAAGTGTGAGTAGTACAGTTCTTACTTTAATATCTGAATTAATGACAAACATCCAAATTTTATTAAAGGGTTGGAAGGTTGCATCCAGTTATTCAGTCTCATTAAGAAATACATGAATACTGCATATGTCCACGATTATTTTTACTAAACAATGATGAAAGTTTACAGCAAGTGAAGATGTTACCTGTCTGGTGCCTCCTCTTTGGCATTTGTTGTTGGGCCAAGAACTTTCCTCCACTCGGACACAGCATCTTCCCTGGCTAGACCAAGAGCCATCAGTGGACCACTGTGACAGACCACAAACACACATCACAACACTATCACATGGTCAGTATGTCCGGAGACCATATAATAATAATCTATTATATGGTCTCTGGTATGTCAGCATCTACCAGTGTCAATGATACAAATATAATCATATAGAACTGTTTTCTTGCAACATAGGATCAAGAATTTTCAAACCAGGGGATAAAAGACCGCCCAGAACAAAATAGATTGTATTATCTATTATCTGTTATTATTTTGTTGACAACCACATTCAAATCCAACGTTTTACTACAAGCAATACTTCTCTACTTAAGATCTAAGGACATCTCCACAAGAGGTCAGGTAGACTTTCTCATCAGTCAGTCGGTCACTAGGCTTCTAAATTCTCAGTACAAATGAGTAAAGCATTCAGAAAATGTCAAATCTTGTCTTGCAAATGAATACAGCTGAAGAATTCTGAATGAAAACAAATGTTGTTGTGAATATTTTATAGATTCTATTGTTTCTGAGAGCCCCAGATATAGGCATACTATGAAGGGTAAATTTGTGTTCTGCAGCATTCAGTGGAGTTGAAATCACATGTAATGTAGAGAGGTATGATAGTGAAGTAAAACATTTGATTTCCATTATTTGTAATATGACACGTATGGGTCACCCAATTTCCCACCAAAGTATCTACAAAGTTTCATATCAAAATATTCCCTATTCACCTTGTCATTCTTGCTATCAATTCATCAAAGTAGGGCTTATCAGTGTGTTCCTTATAGAACTCCTTTGCTTGGTCTTCAGTTAATGTCATCTCTTTTTGCAGAGCAACTTTAAATCCAGCTTCCTTGATCTTCTCCATGATTTCATCTGTAATTAACATGTATGTTCATTTATTTGATATCAAATAACATGAAACTGAAATCTAAATTATTTTCATAATTTCATTTCATATCATAGTCTTAAAAATACTTCAAATATTCAAATGAAGTTTCCTTTTGTCCACCTTAATACATCAAACTATTATTATATCATTGGACACAATTATGATAAGAATACTTAATCTTACACAAGCGAGGTGAGGTGAAATGGGGTTTAACATCAAACTGAAGAATATTTTGCTCATATGACGATGTGCATTCATGTGTATGTATGGCTGCTTGTACTAGCCCAGACTTAAGCTTGTTTTATAGTGCTAGTTTACTGAGATACCATGCCACAGTTGAGCATGGATACTCCACTAAGACACATTATACTGACTCCGAGACCACCAGTCCTTGTCGTACCCATTAATGCCAAGTGCCAGACAGGGACCAACAAGTACACTATTTTAACATATTTGGGTATGACGCGGCTGGGGATCGAACCCATGATCTTCCCTCTCCAGGCGGACACTCAAACCACTACACCTTGAGCTTGGAGGCAGTCCTCTTACACAAGCGATCACATGGGGAAACAAGTTTTGTATGATAGAAAGTGAGTGATTTGGCTTTTACCTCTACACAGAGTACATCAGTCATAACACGTGAAGATCTGGGTTAGAATTATCTCCAGTTACCCATGCTCGTCGTAAGAGGCAACTACCGGGATTGGGTGGTCAAGCTTGCTGACTGGGTTAAAATGTCATCATATCCCAGTTCATATTCATGCTGTTGATCACTGGATTGTCTGGTCCAGATTTGATTATTTACAGACCGCCACCATACAGCTGGAATATTGCTGAGTGTGGCGTAAAACTAAACTCACTCACTTCAGTCATATCACAGTGTTTCAACTTAATATCAGAGAAAAGCTAAAGTAGTGTTGGTTCTTGACATTTAAAATCTTGGTGAAATTGTGAAGATCCAGGTTAGAATTGATCTTCAGTAACCCACACTTGTCAAAGAGGTGAGTAACAGGATCAGGTGGTCAGGCTCGCTGACTTGGTGGACATGTCATCGTATCCCATTTGCTTAGCTCGATGCTCATGCTGTTGATCACTGGATTGTCAGGTCCAGACTTGATTATTTACAGACCGCTACCATATAGCTGGAATATTGCTGAGCATGTCGTAAAACTCACTCGCTCACTCCTTGAGACAGGTATCACACTGACACACTAAGAATCCAAATCTGGCAAATTCAGGATTGAAAACTATGGCGTGACAAGGGGAGACAACCCTGCACAATTAATTGTTCTTCCTTTGCTGACAGGGTCCTCCTGTCATATAATAAAAGAAGTTCCAGCTATAGTATATGCGTTTTGTTTTAGAATTTAAGATAACATTACCTTTGTTTTTGCCGAAGGCATCTGGTCTGATGAGGGCCATTGTTCGCTGCAGCTGTGGCTGGGAGCCTGGTGCAGGGATGGTTGGTGTCGCCATGTCAGGGAAGAAAAAGGCCATCTCCCCTGTATAAAGTATGACAGAGATTTATAGAACAGCCAACACCATACAAGAAAGGATGAATGGTGTAAGGCCATAAGCCTGTGATCACACTTTTTCACAAGTTTTTAGTGTGTTATTAGACATTGTCATTTTCAGGAGAAAAAAGTACGCAATTACATCCCTGCAAGAAATCTCATTAAAGTAATCATATTGTTCAGATAATATTATTAAATTTTGGTATCATGAACAATGGATTGTATCAAGTTGTATGGTTCTAAAAAATACAGCACATTAAGTATAATATTGCTCCAACTGATAAAGCATGAATGAACATGTGCAAATATTGGTAAGTTATTTTATGCTATCATTCAACTCCTTAGTCTAAACATTCAATTGTGAATTCAGTTAGTCAGATCTACGGATGCAGTTCCATCAGCATATATTCTTCTATTGTATTTTCAACAAATTTAAAAAAAACTGCATTTTTGATTTGTCATACAAGCCAATAAGCCAATCTTTTTTGTTTCTCCACCAGAGAAAAAAATATCTACAAGGAACATTACATAATTCAAAAACATGAAAAATTGCATATATTTGGTCATATAGCTTGGTGTACAGTGGTGACCTGGCTAAATGTGAACCATTTTGCTCCAGTCACATGAATAATTGTTGTGATATCAACCATGTCTCTGATTTACCATGACATTGCTGTAATATTGGTGACTGTGCTGCAAAAGAACATTCACTTTGACACAAATGGGTGACAGTTGTCGCTGACATACCTGGCTGCACATTCTGGGGAGTCGCTCCCATGAAGGGCATTCATGCACTTTTCAGATCCATACTTTGCTCGTAAACTGAAACAAAATGTGTTTACATGTGTAAGTAGATTCCTATTTTCTTATCAAGATGCTGTATTTTACTAACTTATCTGAGGTCAAAATCTGTTCAATTCCATTCTAAAGCATGCTTATTTGCATAAAAGTGTGTTTTCTCAGATCATTTTTTACTAAAGTTGAAAAATATCATAGCCTATATAGCACATTGTAGCCTACCAATACCTCAGTACATCTGTGCCTCCAATTTCTTCACATCTGAAATCAACTCAAATATCATCCCAGTCTATCCAAGTAGCCCTTTCCTCATATTCCGTCCCAAATCATTTTTTCCTAGATTATTTTTGTTCCTGTTAATGAAACACTATTGATCGCTCTCTCATGAAAAATCCCCAAACCTTGATTCCTCTCTGCAACTTTCCCTTCATTTCCTTGAAGATTACTGTGGTAGAGTTTAAGTCTGTACATAGTGATTATGTTTTATCATTTAGCTGTTTTACTTTAACATGTTTAAAATAATGTAATTTGGATATTTCAGGCAATACAGTGATTAATAACTATTTATTGTATTAATTTCAGATATATGAACCAGCCATCTTCACTGATTTATGAATAATCAAATCTCTTATTTCAGGCTGCATAAGATATTTAAGCAGTTGCAAGTAAACTAGTATCATTAAAGCTCATTTCTCTTGTTAAGTAATTTCATTGGGTAAGTCCACTTCAGTTTCGGGTAGATCAGCTAGCAATCAAAGTATAAGCCCAGGTATTTTAATGATTGGCTAATTTTGAATTAGGTGTCCCACTTTCAAACCCTTTGTTTTCCACATATGCATTCTTGTCACTGGCACTTACAACTTGCACTTGGACACTTGGAGAGACACAGGACCAGAAATTAAAAGGGTTAGTTACTATCATGTTCTTTTTATGCCATTGTAATGTATAAAATCACTTCATGTAAATATATCTATATCAGATTAATGTTATGTTTAAACATGTCACATATACTTTGTGTGTGTGTGTATGTATATAAGAAATACCATATCTGATTGTATGTGTGGTTTTGGTTATCTGGCAGTAATTTGTATTGTTTATTACTGAACTGATAATAGTTTAGATGAAATATTTAGATGTGTAAATAGATTAGTACTCATGGTATGTTTTATATCATGAACAGGTTCATACAAGATTATCTTGAATACGGACAACAACACCCCCGTGGGAATAACAGGGTACATATGTTTATATATATTTGTATAGTATAATTAATTGAATATAACATCATGCATGTCATGCCATATCCGTATTGCATGTGTAACTTCAACGACCTCAATATGTCAAGCTTATATAAAGTGGTGATGTCTGTATCACTTATGATTATGTAGAATTGTTGCTTTTATATGTTAGATTGTGAGATGAACTGTATTCTTATTATCTCATTCCTTGTTACAGGGTGTCAGTTTGTCACCAGCAAATAAACAGTTCTCACACCCTAGCCTGTGTTATCGTGACTTCCACAAGACACTTTAATGGCTATTACATTACTTTGTCCTCTGTATAGCCCACCCTCACACACTCTCCCTCCTGCCATAGCCCTATTCAACTCATCCTTACCTCTCTGGAGCCTTATCCTTGGCCTCCTCAACATTAGTTGGACCAATCAAATCCCTCCATTCTTTTATAACAGTGTCTCCCTTTTGTCCCTTGGTGAGTACAAGAACACAACTGGGACCACTGCTCATGAATTCGACCAAGTCATTAAAATATTCCTGGAATGGATAAAAATGTATGAAAATCCTTGATTTATTTCATTCACAAGAGATTGGAAAGACATGTTAATTATTAGATTGAGTGAGTGTGGTTTTACGATGCTTTTAGCAATATTCCAGCAATATCACGGCATGTGGAGTATTGAACCCGGGTGTCCAGCATGACATGTGGGTGCTTGAACAGTTAGACTATCTCGCCACCCCTCAAGACTGTTATAAAAAACTGTTTAATCCAAGCTGTCAGACATACTTCAAATACTTAAAACCACAATATTCAGTCATAAAAATTCACAAAACTAAATCCTTTTAAATATGTTTGGTCAGTAGTATATATTATGATATTACAAATAGAAAACAAATCTATGTTACAGTAATTTCTGTCACTTTTATGAATATTTCAACCAGTGTATGTTTTTTTCAAAACTTCCATACTGGTGCCAGTCTCTTAGTCTTACTGCCAAGCCTCTTACTTGATGAACTAGACCATATATAGTCCTACTATCATTTCTGCTTCATGTGAATTACATCTGTCAACAGTTAACGTACACAGATGTCTTGTGTAGTGAATGTTAACATGTTATAAGATAAACACGCAATGACTTACTGATTGACGAAAATCTCACAGGTTATTGTGGTCTTAGATAAGCATTAAATGTATATACCTCATCTTTAAGGTGGTCGTAGAACGTTCTGGCTTCCTCTTCAGTCAGCTGTCGCTCTTGCTTTTCCAATATCTCAATACCAGCTTCCTCCATCTACATGTTGTAAAACAAATTCATCCATTAAACAATTTCAAATGTCTCCAGGAGCAGTGAACATCTTCTGTGTTTTCAAATTCTTGAAAGAATATTCTATCTCTCATAATTTCAAGAATTGATAATTATGAAAGCAGAATGGTTTGTCAGAAAATAATGTCAAAGTTATGTTATGAACTTTTAACACTTTCTCGTGTGGTAAGGGACCTTTTATAATTTATGACTGGGGGTAGGGGGTGGGGTGATGATGAATTTTATGGAGAAGCATGTACAATGTGAATGGACCCCCCCCTCTCTGAAATTTATGCATAATGTAAGTGACAGCACCTGCATGTCATGTACAATATCAATGCCCCTCTCCCATAATTTTTAAGCATTACCTTTTAATAATTCTATGTACAAAATTGCTGACCAAAATTTGGAATATCAAGAAAAATCACCAGGAGACTAGTGGTTTCCAAAGGAGAAAACGTTTTGTATAGTATGTTAGACCTCCAATATATAAAGATTCCTTCCTTGGGCCAATTCACCGAAATGGCTTAATTGTCAAGCTTGTCACAACATATAAAATATTACTATCAATTCAAATCACAGTGTTGGTTTCATGGCTGACACAAGCGCTGATATCAATACCTTGTAATGCTTGTTGAGTGCTGTCTAAGAAAATGATTAGAGTATTTTTAGCACAAGGATTTCTCTTCCCCATCTTAATGCTTAGGAAAAATTCTCTTCCATCATAAATATGATCTTTTTGGCTTGTCAAACTCATGTTATAAAGAAGCATATTGATTTGTTGCCTAATTCAAAGTCATTAGAAAGAGACCATCCAGACAATGGTGGTGAATGGGCCCAGGGTATTTATCCTTTTAGAATAGTCTGTATTACTGGGGATGGATCTTAGGATTAGATATTTACTACCTGCTGTAAGATCTCCTCCACCTTCCCATCACGAACAACATCAGGTTTGATAATGGCCACAGTGAAACCTTTCTTTTCTGTAACAAACAAGAAACAATCAATCCACCATATTGCACACCAATGGCACATGACTCTACACATGGTTAAGCAGCAGTTAACTTCTATGAAAGAATCACCATTCAAAACCACACTGGGACAGAAGAAAACCCATTACTTTCCAACAAAATTTTCTCAGATGTAAACATATTTGCATTTGGATCTATCTACTGAAAATATGTACAAACCTCACAAAATATATGTTTTTCAGGAGATGAATATACAATCCAATACAAATGCAAGGCTGTGTTAAAATCGTAATTTATATGTTTAATGACATTAACAAATGGGTAATCTGGAATAATTAGGCAAACACTTGCAGTTGTACTGACATTTCATAAATACTGCATTCCATCATGGAATAACCATTTTTTATCTGGGTTACAAAACATTCATTCAACTCAATGTAACACATCAGTCAGTTGTTATCACAAAACACAAATACATGCAGGATATTTTAAACAGGGTTGTGAAAATGAAACATTCAACATCAAGGAAATAATCTTCATGCAGATACGTGCACCGGCAGAAACATGCACTGCTGGCTCCGAGGATCAAATATTCCCAACATCCTCTTACTGTACATATAACTCATTTTGATTTTGCTTATTTTGAGTAGACCTGTTAGAAGATAGAATTTGGAAATATGGTGATAAGTGATACAATAAGACAACTACAAACTTCTGTTTCCACTGGTCTGATTGTCTTTCTTCATGATATCCTAAAAATTCACTCTCAAGAACACCCCTAAAATGTACATTGCTTGTAGTTTCACAAATGTTGGTAGTGCAGTACGAACCTTTCACTTTCGTTTTATATAAAAATAGCTAGAAAAAAAAAAACGTGTGAGCAAGGCACACTAATACTCCTGACCGTAACTCCCAACTTCAGCCTGAACAACAATACAAGATCTGTATCTTTGCACTGCATCTTTCTCATATATAAAGATGTCATTACCCAAATTTAAAGACAATCCATTAAATGATTGCAAAGTTATTGGTTGAACAAATTTGATGTGGATCTTTTTCCTGAGAACATGAGATGAAATTTGTGACAATTCTCGTTTAATTAAATATAACAAAATATAACTTTGCACTACTATGGATATGGTGGGTAATCCATTCAAACGTATTCAAGTTATTGGTTGAACAATTCCCTTGGGTTTATTTAAATTTGAAAATCAGAACAAAACTTTGCACTTCACTATTTCTTGAGAGAAAGAAGCCGTTTTCCAAATTTGAAAATATTTTTACCAATACTTTATTTGATGAACAAATTTTCTAAGTTCAGATTTTCAAATAGCTGTAATTTTAAACAAAATTAAAATATGATCAATCCAACCAACAATTTTGAGGGTGTTGGTGGAACATACATGTCTTCAGACAGATGGACACAATTCCTTGGTAAAACTATATACCACCCAACCTAAAAGTCATAAGAAAATGACTTTGGTTTAACACCAAGGTAATTTAAACCAGCAGATTGTTTGTCCTACAAATGACAGTTGTTCATGCAATAGTGATGATCCTTGACCACTAAGTGTGTGGTCAGTTGTCAGTGTGTGCAATGGAGAACTGGAGGAAAGGTAGAGCAACAGTGCTGCTTTGAAAAGGATTAATGTGAAGACAGCAAACTGATCAAAGATCGGATCTTAGGAAGATATATTTATGGATCAATATGTACTAAGTTGTTATAAAGATGCACAAAGACGTACATAAATTAAGATGTACAAAGATGATGATGTTCAAGAAGGATGCTTCAGACATGTGAAAGGCAAGGCACTAAGGTTATACTGTGATCATATCATCATTACATGTACCATGAAAATACACCAGGATGATGCATCAGTTAAGTTGCACCAGGATAATATATTTATGTTGTACCAGGATGATGCATTATTATTATGTTATGTGAGGATGGTACATTTATGTTGTACCAGGATGATGCATTATTATGTTATGTGAGGATGGTACATTTATGTTGTACCAGGATGATGCATTATTATGTTATGTGAGGATGGTACATTTATGTTGTACCAGGATGATGCATTATTATGTTATGTGAGGATGGTACATTTATGTTGTACCAGGATGATGCATTATTATGTTATGTGAGGATGGTACATTTATGTTGTACCAGGATGATGCATTATTATGTTATGTGAGGATGGTACATTTATGTTGTACCAGGATGATGCATTATTATGTTATGTGAGGATGGTACATTTATGTTGTACCAGGATGATGCATTATTATGTTATGTGAGGATGGTACATTTATGTTGTACCAGGATGATGCATTATTATGTTATGTGAGGATGGTACATTTTATGTTATACCAGGATGATGCATTATTATGTTATGTGAGGATGGTACATTTATGTTGTACCAGGATGATGCATTATTATGTTGCGTGAGGATGGAACATTTATGTTGTACAAGGATGATCCATTATTAAAGTTGCACCAGGATAATACAATTCTGTTGTACAAGGTTGATGCATTATATTAGTTAAGTTGTACCATTATAATACAATTATGTTGTACCAGAATGATGCACTTATGTTGTACCGTAATGATGCATTATAGCCTGTACAATTACTTTGTAGAAAAAGAAAACAAAATTAAAAAAGAAAATATATTTCTATCCATAGGATTTAGCAACTGGAACTACACATAGACTAATCTAGTTGTAGCAGCTTTGAAAAAATATACCTGCTCACAGTCAGCAACCACAGTATTGACTTCTTTTAATGAAATGATAAACTGTGGTTATTTTGCCCTGAAATGGTGTTGCATCAACTGGTGACAATTACAAAACTGTCTCAGTTTCAAAAGCATTGAACTACTAATCTAGAAGTAGATGAGAACCAAGCGCCAGACTGTCAAGATAAATTATTTTCTATTAGCTTCTGTGCTTTTTAATGACATATTTTCACCATTTACTAAATCTAAAAGTAAAGAGAGAAAGAACAAATGTTCTTTGTAAAACTTGGCATTTCCAGTATGAACTAACTAGAGTAGTCAAAATCTGCATGTTTCCATATGCCTCTAATATGTTGTACATGGTCATCTAACTAGAAGTGAAAATATCTGGTAATCTAGCTAAGTGAGAAGATCCCCAGCCAAGGTGTTTGTATTGGCCCAAAGCAAGAAGGATAAAAATTAGAACTGGTGCAATAAAAGACAGTATTCTTAAAAATGCATATTTAGCAGTTGTGTGTAAGATATCATAAAAGCATGTCTTCAACATTATGCCTCATAAAATCTCATAGTCTGTCTTGTACAGAGTACCAAACTAGTGTGGCAAGCAAACTGAGTAATTTACATCATTGTTCTATATACACATCAGATATTATTCTCTCAGCATAAGTGTTGCTAGGTAGTTGCAGTTCATGGGAATATCTTTAAACTGACTTTAACAAAAAAATATATTAGGTTCTACAGTGTTTAAAAATATAAATTTAGGAATAGTTGAAGTAGTGGATGAGAACATCCTGATATGCTTGAAGAATCTTGCAATAGTATTTTGATATAAGATGCCCTATTCTTCAGTTTGACCATTTGGCACACAATTCTTAGAATACAATAGCTTAGAATGACTATTTTGTGTTTAAAAACTTGATTATTTTGAATTTATGTTGTTGGATGCAGGATTACATAAATACTATCTACTCTACATCTTCCATAGGTAAACAAAAACGACATTTCAGGGCATAATGTTGACATCTTGTAAATGAAAAGCATGCAGCTAAAATAAATAATATTTGCAGGTGTGACTATATCTATAGACATAGACAACCTTCCTCCAGCTGGCTGCTCATTGTCAATGTGTCGCCATAGTTACAACGCTCTCCTCGATAGTCTAAGACATTATCGTCATCTTCTGGAAGCAATACATGTATATGAGCCATGGCAATTGTACTAACTAAAACATAGCTGTCATTACAATAAAGATGTCTGCTGGTATCTTGTGTGTATGGTTACCTATGTGTATTTTACCTATAAAATAATGGAACAACTCATTTACCATTTATCTTCTAGTTGGAAGTGTGTGCATTCTGCATGTAAGGGCCACTGTTCCACAACTGGATTCTTAATTACTTCTACAATACAACAAAACACAACCACGCCCCCTGACTATGACTATGAGGCAGGCTTTCCCGTAGGAACCTGGACAAAGTTCGGCATTGGGCCCAGGACGAATACCCTTCATCAGTTGAAGAATTATATTCCATTGACATTTTGTCAATTCCAATGAATGAAATGCATTCAGAAAGAATAAAGACACCTTATACCTAGAAACACTATTTCTTGTCATTTTTGTCGGTAATGCCAACAATTGACTTTTGATCAAGCTCATTTTAGTAAAGGTAGAATTGGTCAGCACATTAACCTTACTTCCTGATCACAGGATCGTATCATATTGTTCTAACGTGAAGGCAGAATGGGAAGACACCGCGCGTACACTGTACAACTTTTACTGTATGAATACACAATGCCATTTAGAAAGTGGTCAAATGTAAATTCACTTTTAAGTAGTGCACAGTCTAGTGAAAATGGGAATTAATTCCCTCTTTGTTTGATATATAAGGCTGTAAATGTCATGAAAGATTTATTTAGAATATGTTGTTAATGCAATTCTGGTGCACTACAGTAAGAGTTTAACACATGTTATATTTGGGATTACATTTTCTCGATAAAGTACAGATTCTAGTACTTTTGTTGGGTTGAGTCCCATTCTGAATTCGAACCCACACTCTCAGTCAGACTGAAGGGGTCGTTGCCGGCACCGGTACTACAGATGTGTACCCCAGGTAAGTTTCTGTATACAGAAACGTACCCTGGCCATAATCAGAATACAGAAACGTACCCTAGGACGATTCCATTCCACACTGTGTCGTTTTATTGATCGGAACCGTCAAACTGTTGTATTAGATACATTTGATTGCGTTGTATAAGTAATGAGAATACACAGTAACAGATATTTCGCGATGCACAATACCACCCGAAATCAGTTGAACGGGAACAACTACATATGTTTCGGATTTGGATTGTGGAATATGGACTCATCCGCCTTTTAGGGTACCGGGTACGTTTCTGTATTTTGACTTTGTTTAGGGTACATTTCTGTATACAGAAACGTACCTAGGGTACGTATCTGTAGTACCAGTGCCGACAACGACCCCTTCAGCCTCAGTCAGGCACCAAATGGCCAGCACACAAAGTCAGCTGTCTAATCTATTCAGCCACCACTGGATAAGTCAGCTGACTTTGTGTGCTGGCGATTAGATATAACATGTGGTTTGCAGCAACCCAATATTCTTCCCTATAACAATGTCACTACGTTCTAGGCTCATTACTTAATGTCATCAGTGAATGCTTTTGCAAGTTAGAAAATGATTCAAATATGTCATTACACCATGTTTTGATCCAGATGCTTAGCACACTAAAATATAGACATTATGATGTTTTTCATCATTCCTACAGATGAGCATTTATTGTTCAGTCATATATAAAATTTAATAGTGTTAATTATGCACATGTATGTAAAACTGTTAATACAGTCAATTATTTCCATCTGTAGTAAAGTGTGAATTTGGTGTGTGTAGTTAATGAGTGTGTCTTTTCAAATAATATGCACAGAAAGCACCTTTTTTACTTCTGGATAGTTAGAATAAATAACTTTAAATTGTTTGATATCAGTTTAGAAAAAGTAAGATACTCCATAAACCAGCAGACATCCATGTGAGACCGGACCAAGTAAGATGAAAGTGTATAACATTAACAATCTGGATTTCATATCAACTCTGTCGGCCTGGAGTAAAAAACTGTGTGTCCTTGTGAGCACATTGTAACATGTTATATTAACTGGTATTAGTGGAAACATCATGCAGTCACTCAAATTATCACATGGAATGCATCACACAAAGTACCTAATTCTGCTGCAGATTTTCTTCCAAGCATAGCAACTGTTATAAATATAGGACAGCTTAGTCAAAGAGAATGAAAAATGTTTAGTACTTGTATTGAAACACTGTACTCTGGAACTGATAGATGTGTCACTGAAATACAGTCAATGTCCGATATGCATTCTTTATACAGTTTTCAAAAGATAAAACAAATGCAGAGTGTATATTTTTCCACTTCTTTACAAATTTACTTCACTTTGTTTACTCGACACATTTGTATAGTAATCCAAGTAATAAATAAGTAAAAAACCTTTTTATTGAGACGAACTTGATTAAATCTCATTTAAGTCAAGGTGCAGATTTGGTGTTCTCTGCTATGACAAAACACTGTCACATCCTACTGAGAAACTCACATTTCTCCATTCAGATTTTGTTATATCGGACATTGCCTGAGTTGAAAGTCAAGATCAGTCTTGCAGGAAAGAAATGTGTTATACATTTCAATGGAAACAAATTCTGCAAGTTAAAAGGACACATAATCAGATGCGCTGAAGACCATGATGGCTTATGGAGTTCAACTTCGTTATTCTTTTAATGCCACCTTTTGGTATTGATGCTAGTGCCTTCTTTATCAACTCATCAACAACTGGCCTGGCAACAGTGTACCAAAACACTGCAGATATTGCATTAAAAGATGAAGGAGTTAAAGTCAATAAGTCTTCTGCGTCTTTCATTGATACTTCAGTTTCTAAATGTCACATGAAGATACATACACAAATTATTAAGACAGAGTGAAATCTTGTTAAATCAAAATTCTCAAAATACTCCGTGGGAGAGAAGTGGAGTGGTTAGACCATAATGGCGACAAGGATTCAGCTGAGGCCAAATTTAGTTTTCTTCATCTGAGTTAACAAGGTGACACTGTAGACAAACATTGTAGATGGATGTCAACACAGTCAAGGACACAGTCAACCTGGGTGCACTACATGGCAGTCACTTCACACTACCAACAACAGTTACCAGGGACTTAAGTGGGATTTTTGTGTGATTAAGTCCTTACTGCACATTGGAAATGAATATATTGTGGTTATGATTAAGAATAAGAATCAGTATCTTTTTGACAATAAAATAATATGCAAAAAGTTATATTTTCACAGTCATGATACATACTACTGCTGAGGAGGGGAGATCTGTTGTGTAAGGGGGAAGCTGGGTCCTTTTTGTATTGCTGTAATATGTGTGTGTATGTGTGACATACCTTCTTCCTCCTTCTCATTCTCCTCCTCATCATACTGAGCCTTCTCTCTCTCCTCCAGATTTGAGATGAGAGGGTCCTTCACCTTCAAACAAATATATACTTGCATAAAGGATGGTGCTTCAATATTTTCAGTCTCATTTATATTCTTTCAAACTAATGTATAGTATTCTTGAACATAAGGGAGCCAGTAGCATGTCGTGTAGAAATATAGTTGGATAAACGTTTTAGTTCATCATTCAAATTCAATAAAATACTGCTATCAGCATAAAATCAGTCCCTGTTATTGGGTTCACGTATTTGTTCATTTCAGTAGACCCTGAGCATATTCTTCGTATGTTTCAACCTGTCATTGCTGTATCTAAGTTCATCCAGGTATACAAAGAAAAATATCATCCATTTGGTTTCAAAACTAGCATTTGTTTCCAATCAACAATAAAACAACAATACATAAAGGCAAGAAATCTGCTCATTGAGCCTTAAATACCAATCAAAGAAGCTAACAATAATTATTTGGATCATCATCAGTATACAGATAATGTATCCCTTTTCATTTTGTCGACCTACCTCCTTCCTTTCCCCATTGCCATCTATCACCTTGTGCTCTGCTTTCAACTGTTCCATGATTGTCCTGAGAATAACTGGAGAGTTGGCGCCATGGACAAACGCAACCAGAACTCCACCCTGTGAATGTAACATCAGTCAATTACAGATATTTGAACACAATATCTGAAGGTCATGGATCAAGAAAGGCTGAGGAAAATGATTTTACAGACAATAATTCATCTCTTGACATATTCACACAACCTTATGACTACCTTATGGTAATAGGAAACAAAATTGTCTACAAAAGCAATTTTCTCCATACTTACAGCAAAGAAAAGGAAGCATGGTTCACACCTTCCCCTGTACTTCTCCAGAGAATCCACTGTATCTGCCTTGGCCTGGAACAAGTCAGTGTTACATAATTAATCCCCAATGCCACATTACTTTTCAACTCGCTGTGTGCATGCACGGAGCGTGTGAAAACTATCCACTGGCATGCTTCCGGTTTGGTCATATTTTTATTAAAAGAAATGTTGAATCTGCTAAAAATGACACCTAAAATACTACAACACTGAGATTATCTTTTTATTGTCTGCTCAGTAAGGATCATCCCCATTCATGCACTATCATAATTGCTTTAACAGTCTAATATATAGAGAATACTACACGAGGTCTCATTACATACAAATTATACGAAATGAGTGGCCTTCCTATGGTATGTGACCGAGCGAAAGCGTGGTCAGATAACATAGGAAGGTCACGAGTTTCATATTATTCATATGTAATGAGACCGAGTGTGGTATTTTATTTATTACCCACGTTTTACATGCATTAAATTGACAAAATAGCGTATTTTTGTTCATATTTTGGTTTCAAACCGAAACCGGTTTCATAAAGAGGTTGCGGAAGAGTTTTGTACTGTAGTACAATATTTGCATGACGTCACACTGTAATGACGTCACTGCCTTGGTAACTGACGTCACGATGCATGTCAGTTGTCATCGCCTCGTACAGCCTCCTACAGTAAACTACTCCGTAGCACAGCGTTTCTTGGTTTGCAGTTACTTCATTAGGCTAACATCACTGGTGGAAACATTGCGCTTATGTTTTTCGACGGATATAATGTCTCATTTTGACTCACAATTAAACAGCGACACGGCAACGTTCGCAATGTTTACATTCCCACAATGCATTTAAGTTGTAGAATGAATGAATTCGCGTGTTTGTTATGAATGAAAAAATAGTTACGTCAGAATGTGACCTAATTGAGAGGTCATCGGTTATCCAATCAAATCATTAGAATCTCAGGTCAAGTCGTTACGACACAGGTCAACGCGATACGACACTCGTGTGACGTACGAGATCAGTATGCAACTACGCATACGTTGACCACGTGGGTAATAAATGCTTATGTTACAGCATATGTATACATACTGCAGCAAAGTGGAGCAGGTCATCTCCCAACTCATTCTTCAACCGGGCGAAAATTTGCAACCATAGCTGCACATGGGCCGCACCATTCTTGGTACACATCCACCACTGAAACATAAACAACAGCTCCAATAGATGCCTGATGCAATATAATCACTGAGACCCAGCCTCAGCATACACTTGGCTATTGTACAAAATTGTGTATGGTGCTCTCTGATTGGTCAAAACTGTTTTTTAAATGGGATAACTGAAACCTGAAAATTCTGTGCATGACCTGTGAGGGTGTATGAAAAAAGGCAAAAGAATTCAAGAACTCTGCCATCATTGGTTCAATGACAGACACATGATGGAGAGTGCTTAAGTTCTTATTAGTCCTGTCACGATTCACTCACATATTCAGTGATCCGAACTGTATTCCAAGATTAATACAATTCATAAATCGTGGTCACTGGAATCTAATAATTACAAATATATTTAAGAAAGCGTTGTACTAATGGAACTAGTTTGTTGTTTATCTAACACAGTAGTTAGTGTTATTTAGCTAAAGCCCCAGCACTGTCATCAATATGGGTGACTATTGAGGGGGAAACAGCTATTGTAATAGCGATTATAAGTCTATTGCAACATACTATTGCCATAGCGATAGTCTATTGCAACCAACTATTGCAATACTATTGCAATAGTTTTTTTCTCCTTGAATTGTCTCATTTGAAGTCATTTCCCAAATGAATGTATAGTTTATATGAAATAAAAACAAGCTGAAGTAGTTTCAGTCTCTTTTAATAACTGACAAGAAACTAGAAACCCAGATCAAGTTTGCGTAAGAGGTAACAGGGGCGGATATCTCTTAATCAAAGTGAACGAATCTGGTACTTCCTGTATTTTTCGCTGCGCATTTATCAATGGAAGTCAATTACTAAACTATTGATAGTCACACATATTATTAATGCATCGATAGCTTTTCGTTTTTAACCATCAATTAATTGCTATCGGAGACTCAACAATTGCAATCCATTGATAGTTCGATGAATCATTACAGCCCTCATCATCAAGCTATAAGCAACATTGTCTGCAATGAATTGCTACCTTTGCTTTACAGAAAATATCATTTAAATGTTTCAGCCGAAGCAATTATACCAATTATCAATTTCTTGATATCAAACATAAAGCATTCATGAATATATATGCATATTCATTACTATATATTCATAAAACATATTGTATTCATCTCATAGTGTATTTATGGCAGCTCTTTTTCAATGTGTGACCCTTGTGCTATGTCTTACCCCACAGTCCCTCTTTGGCAATCATCTCCTCCCACTCTTCTGCTGTCTCAATCTCCTGCTGGAGCTGTACTTCCTGCTTCCGTCTTGCCATCTTGGCTGCCTTCTTCTTCTTATCTTCCTCTGCACCCTGAAGAAGAACATCTCAACACTGTAAGCCACTGACATGGCCTGACACCCCTATCAAACACTGAAACCATCTGTCTTGTCAAGACTACTGCAAAAGTTATTTGTTCAGATAGATAATAATTGAAGAGGGATCCTACAGTTTCATATCATTGTTACAATTATGAAAAGCATGTATTACTTACCCCACAAATAGTAATGAATTTTCGGTGCTGGTGCCTTGAAACATTTTTGTTATCTGATCATGCTTATTTATCAAATTCAAGGATTCTCTTATTGTCAATTTTTTCTGACTTTACATGAGACTAATAAATCAAGCTGAAATCACAGTAAGACATTAGGACATATAGCAACATTCTACTCCATTAGAACTTTGGATTGAATATTTGTTGTTTACAATAGGGAAATATGAAGCATGCTTCTCTTCAGGACATTTCTAAATCTGCGGTATCATTCAAACAAACAAGCCTTGTAACCTATGTTACATCTATATCATTTATCAAGTTCATGCTTGATGACTTGTGACTAATATGGTTTTTAAGTATATCTTCTTTATAAGCACTGAGTAACACTATCCATGCTATGCATCATGCTAATGAATATTTTCTCATGCTTGACTTACTAAGACTTAAGTCAATTACCATCTCAGTCTAGATCCAACTATGATCGTGAAAGTATCAAAAGCTGCCTTCGTGCTAAGTCATGTAAGAAAGGCAGGCTGGTTCTAGCCTTGTTTCTGGAATCCAGTCAATCTCAGACATACAAATTCTAAATCCTATATAGTCATGCCTAGTGCAGTCTGTGCAAGATGCAGGTTTTGTAGCATCTCTAGGCATGTATTTGTGACCTGTGCAGGGATACCTTGTTGCGACGGTAACGAGGTCTGTATGGTCCCAAGACAGGCTAGGATAAAGGTCAAATGTCATGTACTCAAGGAAACATTGGTTCAACAAAATACTGGCCTCTAATGGGGGTCATAATGCCAGGACAGGAACTGCACTGATAACAAATGGTACCTTTCTGTATATACAAAGGTTCCCTTACTAAGGTACTTTATGTATACACAGACTCTACGTACCTTCCTGTACACAGGAATACTGTATACTCCAGATGCCTGTCTGTATACACAAATGTTCCCCCTTTCTGTAACTACAAATCTTCAGGAGGTACCCTCCTGTATACCATGGTAGTGGATTTAAGTTAACCCAGAGTCACAACACAGTTGCTCCTGGATTTAACAATGTGTGACAGTCAAACTGAAACCTTCCTGTACACAGGAATACTGTATACTCCAGATGCCTTTCTGTATACACAAATGTTCCCCCTTTTTGTAACTACAAATCTTCAGGAGGTACCCTCATGTATACCATGGTAGTGGATTTAAGTTAATCCAGTACCATGGTAGTGGTCACAACACAGTTGCTACTGGATTTAACGATGTGTGACAGCCAAACAGAAAATGGTTTCATCCATTATTAAAACAGACTTGTTGTTCAGAGAAAACCATATGATCTTGGGCAGCTAGGGTACATTTGTGTCTACAAAAAGCCACTGATGTAAATGAGAGAGCATAGTTTTCTTCTACAGGTCACAATAGGATTAAGATATATGACAATCTTTATATTCTGTGAAATGGAATAATCATGTTAAATATACAATGCAGTATCATACTTACGGTTCAAATAAGCAAGAAAGAAACATCATCATGAAGCATGTATAAAACACTCAATGATACTGTTTATGTAATGCAGACAGCATTGTAGATGCCATTAGAGAGTCTGCAATGTCTGATATCATTCTGAAGATTGGATCAAGTATCATTTTGTCTAAAATGTTTAATTGATAATATCATGTATATATTAACATTAATTTTTTCTGAAAGTGATTCCAAGGGATAATTCTGGAATGAGAAACTTATAAATCACATTACGAGTAACTTCAAAATGTAGGACTGTACACTCACTAAGTGTGGGGAATAAATTGGTTTTATCCATGCTTAAGTCCTCTGTGTATATGCCAATACATGAACAGTGCTGTATATAGACTCCAGCTAAACCAGTTCAAAGTTTCCACAAGAAAACATAATGCATTTTGACTAATACACCTTGAAAGGTATTGGTGTAACTTTACATACCCCATCAAGGTTTCTTGCCATGGACGCCATTGTCATATAATACATTTTCTTACACTTCTAACATGAAATATATGTGTGTAATTGTTGTCTTCTAATTCCTAATGGCAAGAGACAAAATAATCGTCCTCGAAGAGAGATTTAAACTAACTCAGATTTTCTTGTACTTGAACTGGGTGATTGTCACTGATGTATAATACCCAATACATTCCTTACAGTACACCAACAGCTGAGTTCATTCATTAGGTGTATTGATTGATATGCCTCACAAAGTTTATGTAGAAGTTGAGAAAGAAAGCAATTCAAATATTTGATGTCAGAAAAATAATCACAATTCCTTAAATGTGGTGTATGGAGGGTTAACAGGTCACATCCCAAGGAATTCAGTCTTTTATCCATCATCAAATATTTGACAACCCTCAACCATATAGACAAACTTTATGGATAACAACTTCTTTAATCTGTCAGTGTGACATTTCGATACAGATTCTTGTACCGTTTCTGCCTGACAACGTCGCACTCACAAAATAAAGGAGTTGATATCTATAAAGTTTGCCTATATTGCACTTCCCATTTTCTAGAATGCCACTCAATCAAACAAGTACCGGGTAACCCTCAACTAACTGACTTGTTAAGATCTCTGTCATGCTTCAATTGTCATGCAGGACTGACCTGAGTACTGTCATCAATTTAAGGACCGTTCATAAATACTATACGGTTGGGATGGGGGGGATGATTCCTATGGAGAACCATGTATAATGTGAATGACCCCCCTCTAAAATTTATGTACAAACTAAGTGAACAATGCTCCCCACCCCTACCCCTGCTTGTCATGTGAAAAATCACTGACCCCCCCACATACACAAAATTGATGACCCCCCTACCTGTCCAGAACAAAAGAGGTGAAACAACACACGAGTCACACACCCAAATATAAAAATGAAAATAAAAAAAAAATGAAATGTATTAACATCATCATCCACTCTAGCCATAAATTATGAACAGTTCCTTATTGTTGTACATTGAATGCTTTAGAAAATTGCTCCAGCTTCTATCAGCAATCACAGAACATACATAAATGTTCAATACAAAAAGGTCATTTGTTGGTTTTTGTGACCATTCATAAATCGTTTGTGCATAATCATAATAATGTGCAAAAGAAAGGAGATTGCAATTACTGTTCACAACATGAACGCACATCTAATTCACATGAAATGCAACAATTAGCACACAACATGGATTAAGAATAAAATGATGCTGAACTAAAAATATTGTTTGTTAAACTATCAAATGTTTTTTCACACTTCTGTTAAAACCTGAAGGATCTCCTTGGGTTTCTGATGTTTGCTTTGGGAGATTTGGCTTCTTTACTTTTATGACAATTTCTATTTATGACGTAGTACAGGCAGCATGTAATAAAAGTGTAAAAATGTGTTTAAGATACTGTCTCTGTTAGTTTTGGGGAGAGGATTTGGCTACCTGACCTTTTAACATGTGAGATAGTACCTGGCAGGTGGTACACGATCACAATGACAGCAATCCTTAAAAAAGATGGTCTCAAGAATGATACTCAGTGATTGAGTTGAGTTCTTCATCGCTACTTTATGGCATTACCCTAAATGTACTATGTGGGAACACTACTTCACTATCCACCCACCCAAAAGCAAAACCTTGAGGATCAGTTGTTACATTTTATTGACCAAAGGAGAATTAGTGCCAGGTACCATGAATTCCTATATTTGTTCAGATATGTGCATGTTACAAGCTTATTATATTCCAACAGTTAGCAAACATCTTAGACAGATATAAGTGGTCCAATATAGTTTTGAATGGTTCCTTAATGTCATGTTAAATTAGGGAAGCAAAACTAAATCCCATTCCAAATATGTTATGCCTTTGTACCCTTTGCTACCTTGGTGTATTATTTTCAATTATAAAGAGTATTTTGTCAAACTAAACACATCTAAAATGCTGAATTCCTTCACCACTGACGGAACAGTGATCTTAGAAATAATGTAACCAACTGATGCTATGAATGTTGAAACTTCAATGAGCAAACAGTATTGAAAGTGTATTTATGATGTTTGTACTAAAGCAAAACATCTTTTTAGGAAACATATAACATAAAATACATCATAGCATGCATCAAAGGGGAAAAAATAAAAAAACATTCTAAGAAATTGCAATCACTTCAATCAAACGTGTTGAAAAAGAAATTTTTATATCAAACTGAATATTTTTGATGATAGTGTGATCAAATCCAGATCTCATCACAATTCCATCTTATCTGAAAACAACTGTCAATAGCAACCATGCAAACAAGAAATGGTGAAATGAACAGCCAAAGATTTACCATGGTTGAAGCTCAGGTAGGATCTACGTCAACAAGGATGTCTAAAGAGCATAAGGGAAAGGATGGTATTAATGCACAAAGATGGATATTACCAGTATTCAATTTCTATGCAACATTTATAAGTTGACATGAAACATGGTAATAGAGATGTGCATTGAATATGGAAAGTTACAAGCATATGATATTGAAAGTCAGAAGGCAAATGAAACAGTAACTCTTTATAATTTTTGCAGTAGAATCATTTTACTATCAAGACACTTTTAATATATATTTGCTACAATTCTGATGTTCAGGAACAACCCAAAATCTTGTGTGTTACAGAAAACAATGCATTGATCCATGTATTTGTGATGTGCCTCATTCACATGGAGGAAAAATGCATGTTTACCATGCACACATTTTTCTTTAAGCAATTGGTCTAAATGTTTATAAAATGAAGTCAACAATGAAATCCTATTCTGTGAACAAAATCTGCAATTGTGGAAGATAGTTCTACCAGATAATGATGATGTGTTTTATGAATTATAACACTGGAAAATAATGAAGTTGATTAACTGATAACTTGAAACAACTATAAATAACAATGATAGAGACTTTATTCTCTGCATGGAGCCAATGGATCTGGCTTGAAAATGTCATTGTTTTCAAGAGGTATATACATTATTTTTGTGAAGGGTATAAGAATCTTAACATGTTCAACAGCATTTTTGCCTTTCAACTATGGATTTCATACTCCATTGATACTATTCCAGGAAAACAAATGAAACGAAACATGAAAATATATCACAGAACATTGAATACCCACTTACCTCAAATTTAAATGATTTCAAACAAAAGTTTCAGACAAACTCTGATATTCAGCAACAGAGTTGATAAAGGAACAAGATGTGATTTGTAGCTGCAAATGTTTCCTGTTCAAACACTGGGTTACAACTGGCTTGTAATTTGTGTGTACAGTGATTAGGCTGGGTGGTCTATGCACTAATCCAAACTAAGTACAATAATCCATGGATACCATTTTGCAAGCTCTTAGCTGGAAACAAGTCTGGGCAAAACTGTAGCTCTTTTTGCAGTTGAGGAAACAATGTTACAAGAAAGACGTAATAAGCCCCTTGTTAGTCTGGAATCCTTTTTTCCATATAATTTATACAGTCAGGCCACGTTAATCCGAACAGTGACGCTTTTCATATAAAATGTTCGGATAGTGAAACGTTCGGTTTGCTGAAACATATCAGCACACCACACTGCAGTAGTGTTACTTCCCATTCACTTGACTCATAGAGGTTGTGCTCAATAAATGCAAAATATTTTTAATCATAACTAAGGTTATGCGACAGCTTTTTGGCGCATTGCTGGATAGTTTTATGCATGGAACAATTTGACCTGTCACTGATGAAGCAAAAACAAGTACAATTAACTAATCCGTTACCGATAATTGATGTGAGGAGTCAGAGACTGAAGCATCGGATTAATGAATCAACAATTGATGCGTTAATATAGTAAACAAGATTGGTTACATCTTGAGTCCATTCAGATGGTGCGGGAATCTGAGTATCTGGGACCGGACTAAAGGACTGTCTTTTGTAAAGTTCACTTCTGTTCTTTTAAGGTATTATACGGGGATGCTTATAAGATTACTTACAGACTGATCTATAAATTTGTTGGGGTGGGGGGCCCTTATAAGAGCATGGCACTTAACATGGTAAATACAGTAGTTATATTGATGAAAAGATTCTATCTTAGGAATTTATATGTCATCTAACTATATTAAGACCTACTAGTTATGAGATTTTTAAACATTATTTTCAAACACACAATTTTTATATAAAGCTTTGCATCAGTTTGGATAAGTAAAGGTGACTAAATATTCATGAATTGTTAATGCCAGTTTGATAAACCCATCTGCAGAATTTCGGTAATATCTCAACAATACACTAATTTTTATCAGTACAGTCACCAATCGTGATCACTTGTCATGTCAATAAAATCATGTAATGTCACAGGAATGCAAAGAACATTTACAATGTCTTGCATAATACATAATATGCTATTTCATTGTGAATTTCAAGTAAATATGCTTTCAGTCGGTAAGCAATGTTTAACTTTAAAAAGTGATTGCTTTTTCTAATTTGATGAAGCAGAGATCTCTGTAACACCTAAAATCTGCAATAACGAAACACCAAATGCAACGATCTGTGTAAATGAAAAGTTTGACACATTAAATGGATCCAAGCATATGTCAGAATAATGAATAATTTAAAGCACGCATACCTAGATGTAGAGATATTATTGCGTGAAGATGAAGATCTGAAACTTCACCAGTCGTCTTTCTTGAAACTATGTTTACAAGCGTCGTTTGCCGAGTAACGACAACTTCCGGAATTCAAATTGCAGTTTCGTCGTTTACGGAAAAGGTATATGCAATGATTTAAATTATTTCATGGCTTTAAAACTATCAGTTGATATAATTTCTGCCAAAAAAGTAGATACTTTGTAAAACATAAATAGGAAATATTTTAAAAATCAATTCTGCTTATGATATAAATATAAATGCGTATTTCATATTTTTGCAACTGTTGATACATGGGACATAACTCAGTTAAACAGGAAGTGAACAAGAAAATGTTAAAAAATGGCAGACGATGCTAGATCCGCGACTGATGCCAGCTCAAATCTTATCAACTTTGACATTGACGAAGTGAGTATGAAGCATTGCTTACATATCACAACCCCTATAGGTGTTGTCAGAGTGCAGGGTTGAGTATGTCTATGGCAAATAGCAAACTCCTATCCCTGACAGGTGCGCGCTGCACTCGAAGAGGGGAGGGGCAGGTTTTTGTATTCATGTCATATCATTCTTGGACTGATTGATAAAAGACTCATGTATGAATGCTGTTTGGTTTCTGTTACAAGTGTTTCCATCATCAGCAAAATTGGTAATCAAGAGAAAAATGTGGGTATTTGGATGTGTGAAATGCAGACCAATCAAATCACAGCAATGTTAATATAGATGCGTTATGTTCCTGCTGAGTACTTTGAAATATTTTAAAAATATAATGCTAAAACCATGATTCTTTCTTTCACACATTATACATCCATGCATTATGCATGTATGCATAACATGTAACCCAGCATCCCATGTGTTCCATATTAGCTGCATATTTTGCACTATCATTGGACCCTCTATTATTGATTATCACAGTAGTTAATGTTGTCGCTATCGGGATTATGAACTTCTACTGACATTTGGCATTATATACACTCGCGTAACCTTGATTCGTGGATATAAGGGAAGTGCGGCGAAATTCATATTTTACATGCATGATTTCATTTTGTATACGTACTGATTATTTTATTAATTGATTCAGCAAATTGAAAATGCCTAATATTTCTTTCGTGAATGAAAAGTTTGTTTACGGTTTTTATTTGCAATCATCACTCATTTGTGTGCCCACAAAATGTGACGTCACCTTGTTTTCCGGATTACGTAGTCGGTTACTTTAAACCACTATGTACGACATCCAACTGCAGTAAGCATTGACACCAAGGAAAGCAGACAACTAGAAGTGAGAATGTTGGAGCTAACGGTATCTTTTTTACTTTACATTTTGTAAAAATAAAATTTGGTAATGGTGTTATTAGTGATCTGGGGCTATTTATCTCAATGCTGGACAATTATATTTAGTGTACTTGCATGTAATGCAGAGATTCGGAACTTTTTTGTCAGCGAGGCGTGGCATTGTATGTACATCAAAAGTACCCCTTCGTGACGTCAGTTGAGACTTAATTTACGAGCTAGCATCATTTTTTCCGCGATCCACAATTCAAGGTTATCCACGAATTTAGGTTACAGTTCTGTATATATATTTTCAGTTGACTGATGTTTAATCTTCATATCTGTGGCAAATAATGTGGCACACAATCACAACTTGTTAAATACTATCGCTGCAATCCTAATTGCCTCATTTGACCCAGAAATTGAAGCAACTCTCAATTATTGCGGTATTGCTATTTTCTTACTTCAGCACCTGGTACAAGCTGTCAAATGATTACTTAGAACAATTAACAAATCTAAATAGTTTTTAATATTAAAAATTATTTTGGAATTTTGTTAAGATTAGTATATCATCATGTTTTTAACCAAAGCATCTGAAACTTATTCAGTTGGATACAAGGTAACAAAAACATAACAAAATAATTTTTGCCGCCTTAAAACATGCCATACAATTTGCTGCCATCTGCATTGTGAAGTTGCACAATACGTCACTTCCTGTTATAATTTTAGGACGGAAAATATTCAAATGACCTCATAGTTATCGCAGGATTACACTTGACAGAGTTACTTTTGATTCGTGCAAGATGCAATGGTGGTAGGGGTGATACTAGTTTCAAAATGTTCCAGAAGTTACTTTGAAGATGAATACTTTGATATTTCTATGATTAGTCATGGTATTCCAATGAAATAAATGACTTTTTCAAAAGCGATGAATTTGTTTTTATGTAATTTGTATATGTAAACAGCCAATGCGGGGCATGGTGTTTCTGCTTCTCCAATGTTTTCATGTGCCGCGATAATAGAGAGCCCATGATAATAGAGAGTCCCAGTATACATCAACTATATATCACTTGAAAATAAACTTTTATTTCGGTATATTATGCCTGAATGTGATGCTTACCGGATTATTGAATTAATTGCTGTACACAAATAATTTTACATATTGTGGAGGAGGGAGCCTCCATTTGTGATTCAAATAAATGAATTGAATGAATGCATTTATGAACCCATTGTGAAACATGTAACATACAGTGAGAAACATTTTGGCTCAGGTAAATACTACCTTTGGTTGAAGCACACATGGTTTTCACTTGTTACAACTTTGACCTACTTCAGTCACTCTCCTCTACACATCATGCTAATTCTGATTTTGATTATGAAGTAACAATACGTTGAACCAAATTGTTGTCAATTGTATTAGTTGTATCTTTCATATTTTTTTATAGCTGGATGATGCTGAATTGGATCTCCCAGCTGTAGAAAGCACACCAACATTGGAAAGCATTCTTAATGAGGTTTGGTCACTTTTTGTGCATCCAGCTATATTTAATATGTGTTATGAACATTTGTTCACTATTAACTGTGAGGACTAATTTCAAGTGCAAAAGGAACATTTAGCAGCTAGTTTTTAGCTAGTTTTTATGTCAAAATTGTTACCTGCCATACATAAAGTATCACCACATGCTATCATCAGTATCAATAGCATTTAAATATTTTTTTAAATAGATCAGAAAGGAAAATTACAAAACTTTGCTTAAGGTACGTTTGTAATATTGTTTTCATGGAATACTGTTAAAAGTCTTATAATGTCCATCACAGCCAGATGACTCATCCTCCGTCTTGGATGAAGAAGAGATCCCTCCCAGTGCTGTCCAGCTATTTAAGGCTGATTCAGGGGAAACTTCCTCTATCAGTTCACAAGATAGTTATCTCAATGACCGACCTCGTCAGCGCCGAGACAGGTGAGCTGTTGTGTTTCAGTATTAGTTGTATGATTTGTTGTTTAATGCCACACTCTGCAGTATTCCAGCTATAAAGCGGCAGTCTGTAAATAATTGAGTCTGGACCAGACAATCAAGTGATCAACAGCATGCGCATTGATCTACACAATTGGGATATTTTGACATATGTCAACCAAGTCAGCAAGCTTGACCACCCGATCCCGTTAGTCGCCTGTTGAGACAAGCATGGGTTACCTAAGATCAATTCTAACCCAGATCTTTTCGTGTTTTTCCGGTGTTAGAAGTAAACGCATATATAAAGACTTGAGTGCATTTTCTAAAAATTAAATTTGTTAACTTCTGACGTCTTGTACTCTCTCTCTTACGATCGACAGTTGAGTGGAAACGAACTGTAAACAAAGTTTTTGGCCTCCCTTGAACCCCTTGCCTGAGCACACCCCTACTGCTCCAGTTCCTGGACAGTCTGGTAGCCTCTGAGAAGCATGCAGCCTGTGCTCTTATAGGTCATGTGACCCCTTTGTGTAATCATTCTCTTTCTTGTCGCACTAGGGTGCTGACATGCTGTAAACTGTGGCAAATAAACTGACTTAAATAACCTTTAAGGGGAAAGAAGATTCAACGTGACGGAAAAGAAAATTTGGACTGCAAGACAACCTTCTACATCTTGAACTTACACGTATCGACGGCATTGGTCTTTTTATGCGTTTGAAGAATAGAAGAGGAAGATCAGGTGCAGCCTATGCACGAAGTTAGACGACTAGTATTTCATCCTGTGGATGCCTCCAGTTGTTCACCAAACACCACACAACCAAACCCACCACTTGTCGAACCCTCGTGATTTGTTTACCCAGCTAGATTCAGCGATCCTTTTGGATAGGACCAGACTTTCGATCCCATCTACTTGATGAACATGAACCAGCCAACTTTGGTTCTTACGGTTTGGACTTTGGCTGCACCCTTGCCCAGATTCCAGACCCATATTCGATGAACATTTTAGACTCGGCTACTGCATCTCATTGTGAGTGATGGTCCTTCGTACTGCGTCAACCTTTCATGATTCAGCAATCCCTCCGGACATCTCCAGGCGTTTGCCAATCTCGTCTACTTCAGCGAACCCTCGTATTGCGATGATCTCTCATGAATCGGCAATCTCTCCGGACATCTCCAGATGTTCGGCGATCCTATCGACATCGGTGAATTCTTCACTCTCAGTTCAGCCATCCTTGATGATTACGACAAACCACTACTAATGGAGGGTCCCCCCGTTTGTCATTTTTATGGCCCTTGGCTATAACCCACCTCACGAAAACATCACTCAGTCTCTTCACACACACACATTTTTTCTATGTGATAATACAGTGAAACTGTATAGTAGCCAGCATGGTTGTCTACCGAATTCCAAAGAACTACCGGTGTATGTCCAGACAGCTTCCTGTACATTATAGGGTTGACCTCCATGATATTTGGTGCATGGGAAGTTGGAATCATCTCTGACTTCTTGATGTTGAGAATCTACTCTAGGAGGATGTGTCAATCTCTTTGAGCTCGTATACAATCATTGATATAAGCCTCGAACAAGATGCCTTGACAACATGCAGCCTGGTCTAACTATTGAGAACAACGCCTACATCTTCACTGATGCTGAGGTGTTGTCTTGGATGGCTGACGGTCTCCCGATAGGAACTCCAATCCAGCTGAGACCTACTGTATGCGAGAAGATGACTTCGACTCGATCACCATCCCGCCAATGATGCCTATCGCTCAGGTAGCAGACAACCTGAAGGCAGCGTTTGGCAAGGCATCGAAGACACAGGGGCAGCATCCTCTACCGTTCAGCACAAGATGGTTCCGGCATCACAACATGGACCACTTAAACAAGGCGCCTGAAGAAGATGAGGACTTCTACCTGGTGTCCGACTCGAAGTCTTGCAGTAACAGGGTGGAAGATAAGAAGTTGGCGCAGTTAGATACGACCACTGGAGGGCGTTCTTGGGCTAGTGAGGTCCAGAGCCATCAACAAGGTTCTTCTGTGCGCCTTCAAGAACCCTAAGATGGAGGAAGAGCGGATGATCTTGTCTACGCTTGTCACCCAGCACAAAGACCAAGAGTTTATCTCCGACCACTTGGCGTGTACGTCGGCGGGTATCATTCTTCTACGACGCCACGGGTTGCTGAGTTCCTGTACATGGCCGGACGTCTATACCAATCCTCTACTGAGGAAGCCCTGGGCAGCACCTACCTTATTTGAAGCCGGCAAAACGACACAAGACACCAAGGACTTGATGTTGATCAAGTCTGTCCAACATTTTTCGACAGTTATCTCAGCTTAGTCAGCTCCGGTCCCGCTTCTCCAGCATACAGGGGTCTAAGGAGAAGAAGTTTCCCGCAGCCCGGGGCAACAATTCAGGGACTTTTCATCACTCCAGCAACAACAGAAGTTACTCTAGTCGTGGACGCTCCTCCGGTGGAAATCGGATGTCCCTTCATTGATGTGCAGGTTCAGAACGACTGTTCCCTTCCACCTCCAGCCATTCCTGTACAACTGTCAACTGTGGGTGGACCTCTGGGTCACTACTGGGAAAATTGGAGAGTACTACAAGACGACTATGTCGTAGAGGTGCTACGAGAGGGCTACAGTATCCAGCTGCAGTCGAAGCCGACGCTGACCATCAACCCTTTGATCCTCCGGTATCCAGAGTTGCAGTGGGCCAAGCTGACTGAAGCCAGCTTGTTGCTGACAAAGGAGGCTGTTGAGATCGTCGATCAACGCAGACTTACGCGCGGGTACTACTCTCCAATTTTCCTGGTGCCCAAAAAGAACTCCACAGAGAAGTTTCGCCTCCTTTAAAATATGAAACACTTCAACAGAGAATACCTATTGAGACCAGAAGAAGATGTTACATCTGCCGCAGCTGAGACATCTCATCTGACCCAACGACTTCATGGCCAGCATAGATCTGCAAGATGCCTACCTACACATCCCAATGCATCCAGAATCCCGGAAGTACCTGCGATTCCTGTTCCACTACCAGTGGAAGGTCCTGCCCTTTGGAATTTCGACGCCCCATGGTTATTAACACAAGTAACCAAGCCGATTGTCGCATATCTACATCAGAGGGGTCAACACAATGCTTTCTACCTAGACGACGGCATCCAGGCGCATCAAGAAGCAGATCAACTCAGACAACAGTTATAAGTTACGATCATTTTGCTGACACATTTGGGCTAGCTAGTGAATCTTCAGAAGTCAGAGTTGGAGACATCCCAAGATCTACCGTTCCAGTGCATCAGGTTCCTGACTACAGAGAATCGCATCCTGGTTCCAGACGACCGATGGCAGAGCATCCAGTCGTGCATACCAGACGCTTTAAACTCTCCACTAGAACTGAAAGCGGTAATAGAAGCAGTGCAACATTGGGCAGCGCAGTTGAGAGATCAGGTCCTGATGATACACACGGACAACTTGACAGTGGCCTTCTACATCAATCTGCAGGGATCCACGAAATTCTACTGAGCCTGATCGTTAGTCCCTACTGTGCTCATACAAGTTATCTGACCAGTCGAAGAAGTGCCGACTTCCGGGCCTGGGACCTCTCCCTCATCCTTAGACATCTTGTCTCAGATGATTACAAACCTCTTAAAGAGAAGAACTTCGAGCGCATCACCTTTAAGACCTTTTCCTGGTAGCACTAGCTACTGCTGCATGTATGTCAGAACTCCACATTCTGGCTGTTAGTCAAGTATGTTTTGCGAGAAAAAGCAGAGTTTTTCTGTGTCTCCAATGTGGCTTCATAGTGCAAAATCAACTGCCAGGGCAGCCAGATAGACTTTACACTCTTCTGCCGTTGTCCACCATCCTCGGGCCTGACAACGCTGATGATCTTGCGCTCAGTCCAATCAGGAGCGCTGGCGATTGACATCGCTGCTTCACAAGACCGTTGCAGGTTGCATAAGTGCCTGTTTATCCCGCTCTCAACAGCTTCTTCAGCGGATGTCTCCCGTACTATGTTAATCTTCTGGATGAGATCCATCATCCTGCAAGCCTACACCTTTGCCGGTCTTTCCCCTCCAGCTGTGTCGAACCCTCATGAGACTCAGGCCTTAGCATCAATGGCTTTTCACAGCACTGTTCACTGACATCTATTATGGAGGGATGCTTTTGGAGAGAGACGGTCTTTACCTCACGCTACCTGCCCGACCTCTCAGTGACTGACATAGAAAGACTCCATTAGTTTGGTCCCCTGGTACTGGTGCAGCAACTGTCCTCGACCCGACAATGCAGATAGTGACATCCTCCATCTGCGGAATCGATGTTACTTTGTATAAAGGGAATCAAAATGTATGGAACTCCATTATTCATCTTCATTCTACTTCCTTTGGGCATAGATCGACCTCACTTGACTTCATGCCAGAGCATTGCAGCACAGTCGCCGTTGATCGACTTCATCATATAGGCCAGTCTTGTACTACAATGCTGAGGTGATGGACACGCATACTCACTGACCTCAAGGACATCAGTGGAGTATGAATACCGTATTCCAGTGGATTTTGATGAGTTCCACTCCAAGTTGCTGTACACATCTTCTGCCGTTGTCCACCATCCTCGGGCCTGACAACGCTGATGATCTTGCACTCAGTCCAATCAGAGCGCTGGAGAGTTTTGGCATGGTGGCGCGTGGTCCTGTGCTCCCAGCTCAGGTCACAAATCAGTGAAGTTAAGCAGCGTTCCATACATGTGGTCTCACCTTAAGCAAGTGAGTTTGTTCAAAATAGTCTCTGTTCACCCAGCAGGAAAATGGGTACCCGGTGGAAAAAGTCATATGACTATAACCTTCTAGCGCCTAACAGGCAGCTTGGGTTATCCGGGGTAATAATGTGCTGTGCCTTGATTGTTAGCGCTATGAGCATACCTAGTGTGGAGTTTGGTGCTATATAAATTGACACATTATTATTTATTATTATTATCCTTGGTTAAGCTTAAGCAAAGGAGCTAAGGTTATTCTATGTTGTCCGGAACTGAGCGTTACACAGTTAAGCTAACCAAGCCATTTTCCCTTTCATCTTTATCTGTGACTCTGAGGATGGTTTGAAGCAGGGGCTGGCCAGATTAGAGTTGCAATACTTTATTTACTGGGGCTTTCTGGAAAATGGGGCGAGGTGGGGAAATCTGATTAGCTCCACATTTGTCTATGACAAATGTACGTGGAAAACCACATTTATTTGGGAGCGCCCACTCCCACTCCCTTGGGGTAAACCACGGGGTTATGGAAGAAGTAACCCATCACAATTTTAGGAGTTATGTAGTCAATCAGGAGATTGTACTCATAATAGGCCTCCTTGTGCATCATCATCACATCACCATGGTTGTCATCCACTTGTAGACACAGTGTAATCTGTGGCCCACTGTCCAACCTCGGGATAAATGCCAGACGTGAGATAGGATAAGTTTAAAAAATTAAAATTTTGTCTCATACTATGGATTCCCACTCAACCAATCCCACTGCCTAGATTACGATTATTGCTCCAAGATGAGAATGACTACACAAAGTAGTCACATGACCTTTCAGAGCAGAGGCTGTCCAGGAATGGAAGCAGTAAGGGTGTGTTCGGGTGAAGGTTTCAAGAGAGGCCAAAAAGTTTGTTTACAGTTCGTTTCCACTCAACTGTTGATCATAAGAGAGAGAGTACAAGATGTGAAATAGGATAAGTATTATTAATATACAATTTATTGTTAAAATTTTCAAAATGTTATAAAAGCCATTCCTATGCAATGAAATGCCTTCTATTTAATGCATTTAACACATTTCATGAAGATGTAGACAATACATTTCAGATTTTGATATGTAAAACTGGTTGTATTAACATGTATTATGGAAGTGTTCCTCAAGAAGAATTAGCTAATGGATTGCATCATGTTTTGTTATTCTTTCAGTGCCAAGTACAAAATAATACAAGCCTTTAAAACAGAAGTGGAAATCTGTCTTGTCTTCATTGATATGACCATTCTAAACTCCACTTAAACATGTGAAATGTATCAGTGAGTCAATAATCATGCTAATGATGTTTGCATAAATATTTGCAGAGGTAAAAAGACCTCCAAGCCAATTCACGGCTCTGTACTCAAGCCGAGCAAGCTGAAGAACATATCGGCACAAATCCTGTCTGCTGCAGTAAGTTATAACTTGGATTTCTAACACTGTGACATCAGTTATTCAACGTTGTTATGATTCTGCAACTTTACATATTCCATGATTGAAATATCCTTTAATTAATATCATTCACATGTAAAACATTGTTGTATGAAATGTTCTTAATATTGCACACTTTGTTGAGGCTTCAATGTTCTCCTTCCAGGATCGTGTTGATGCAGGGATGCCAACAGCTATAGTAAGTGTACACATATGGCTGGCAATACCCTCTGTCACTGCATCATAATGTTCTTGTTTCAAGTTTTGAAAAATGCACACATCTTACTGCTTTGGCATTAAAATAGTGAAGAGATAAACTGTACCCAATACACTACACAAAGGAGCTAGAGAAAACCTTATCACACATCTAAGATGCCGAATTGAAGACTAACCTTGTGTTTTACGAGACATGGGGTTAAAAAGGCCCTGTTTCCCTTCTATGCTTATATTGGGGCGGTGGGGTAGCTCAGTGGTTAAAGCGTTCGCTCGTCACGCCGAAGACCCGGGTTCGATTCCCCACATGGGTACAATGTGTGAAGCCCATTTCTGGTGTCCACCGCCTTGATATTGCTGGGATATTGCTAAAAGCGGCGTAAAACCATACTCACTCACTCACTATGCTTATATTAAGAGGCTGGTCAAGAAAAAATTATTTTTTTCATTTTTTGGTTCCAGGGATTCATAAACCAAGTAATTAATACAACACACTGTACAAAAGTTGCGTGTCAGTTATTATTTTCATGTTATAAGACATGTTTCATGTATATTTGTATTTGTTTCTGTTGTCTTTCAGACTGTCTCTGCTCTGATTGCTATTGGCACATCCCATGGTCTAGTCCTGGTGTTTGGTAAGTTAAAAGGATTGCAAGAAAATGTATAGTGACATGTGTGTTTTTAAGGCAACTAGTGCCACTCTTCAGATGCATGTGAAGATATGTTAATGGAATGGATGTGTGGCTTCTTCAGATCCCAAACAGGTCCTCAAGTGGTGCTTAGGGAGCACAGCTGTAGGGGCTCAGTATGGTGCTGTGTCTTCCCTCAGTTTCAACAAGGACTGTACAAGACTGCTGTCTGGCTTTGCAAAGGGACAGGTATGGAGCTTGTTAATTAACCCAGGCCTAAAGTGGGAAGAGGATGCTTATGCCATTTGCGGAGATAGAATGGATACTATTTAGACATGAAAACAGTTGTTTTTTTGTATGTTAACTCTTATTGTGGTCAAACGTTTGTTGGTGTAATCATCATCAGAAATATATATATGCACATGTCAGGTCTGAAATGTTTTAGAAGAATTGATAGAAGCTTCTCTTCCTTGGACATTTCGAGTGAATTGTAGAATATATATATATAATGAATATATAATAAACAATTATTCGTGATTGTAAATAATACTGCATGTGAACTGATGACCTTTACTCAGTACCATCTGTTGGTATTAAAACATGACCTACCATTCGTTTTGATTGACATACATGCTGAGCTTTGATTTAAATTTTCAAGGTTATTAAATAAAGGTGTTATAAAATTGTGAATGAGTCTTACGTGTAAGGAATATGTACTGAGTTTGAAATTTGGATTGATGAGTTCATGTTTTGCAGAATTGATTTTCGATAGATTTAAAGAACACTGCTCCCCCTCCCACACACAATATGACGATACTTTATCTTGCACAGATTACCATGTGGGACCTGACAACTGGCAAACTGCTGCGAACGATCACGGACGCTCATCCACAAGGCACAGCTGTACTTCACGTAGAGGTACACAACATTTTAGCCCACCTACAGTTAAAACAAAAATGAGTCCTTGATAAGGAATGCTTATAAACCCTTGGTGCTAATTTCATAACTTCCTGTAGAATATTTCATGGGTAGGATGTAAAAATGAGTTACTATCAGTATGTTGTAATACCTGTTAATTGGTAGAGGTCACGTGAACTGATTGCATCAAAATGTGTACTTGATAACCTACGACTACTTGTAATCAATGTACTGCTCACAACATTTCACAGTAAAATCAAAACTATGTTTGTTGATCCTGTTCAGTCGGCAATAACTTTGCTACTTTCGATATGCATCGAAAGGTGAAAAGTACCAGATTCTGGTGATAATTGAGAGGTATTTATGTTATCTTATTGTTCGTATTTCAGTTCACAGACAGCTTTGTATTGGCAGTATGTAGTGACAGTGGAGGCTCTGTGTTTGAGCTGGAGTTTAAGTATGTATACTTGTGTACTTGGATACAATAAAATATTTGAGCTGGAGTCACTTTCTTAACATGATGCTCTTGGGAAATACGTTTTAGATGGATACATGATAACATATGTGAGGAGGGTGTTTCATTTTGCTTAGGAGTGCATGTATGTATATAATCCATGATATATCATTGTTGTGTAATATCTAAATTGTTGACACCTACCATATTGATACATCCTTATGACTTATTAAGTTTTATGTTGGCATCAAGGCATTAGTGACATAAGGATCAGCCTTATAACGGTAGGTATAAAAAACACATGAACGATTGTACGAATTGGGTTTTTGTAACTTTGATATGTTGTTATCTTCTCAGACGCTTGATTGGAGTGAGAACTTGTGAGTCCCAGTGCCTGTTTTCTGGAAGGTAGGTTTATTAAATCATCACAATCCTTTTTACTCCTGTGATATTTTATTGCAACTCTAGACTATGTAGATGGACAGTTATCTGGTAGAGCATTAGGATATAGTACTACAAATATACTGGAGGGGAATGACATTATAGACTAGCATAAGGATATAGTGCTACAAATATACTGGAAGGGCAGAACATTATAGACTAGCATAAGGATATAGTGCTTCCATACTGGAAGGACAGAACATTAGAGACAAGCATAAGGATATAGTGCTACAATTATACTGGAAGGACAGAACATTAGAGACATAGGATATAGTGCTGCAATGCTAGAAGGACATAATGGGACATACATAATGTTATAGACCAGCATAAGGTTTTAGCACTACAATACTGGAAGTGTGATACTGACAATGATCAAGTATCAAACATTGGAAGTATAGCTGAAAGTTAATAATGATGCACTGACTTGCTTGTATTCCACTGTTTAGCCGTGGTGAGGTGTGCGTGATTGAACCCCTCCACATGAACCTAACCATCAAAGACCATCCAATGCAGGATGTCATGGTGTTGGCAATGGCATCTCTCTCAAAGGTGAGTCAGGTTAACAGTTGTTGTCTTAGATAAACATAGGGGTTATGCATAGTGAAGAGACATTCATACCATGTGTTAGCATCTTATTGTTTATTGATTATATTGTTTCAGGAGCCATAGGTTATCGGACAGCATTGTTTACTCTCACTATAATGAGGCAGGTTGTGTCATACAGACATTGTAAATACTCAGATGATGGCATGTGTATCATTTTAAAAAAAATTGTTTTTGAAGATTACCCAATATGAGACTTGGTATATTGTATTTTGTTCTAGGTTTTACTGGTGACGTTACGGCCTACACTTAAAGTTATGTTTACTCATCCTTTAAAGGTAAGTGAATTATTTCTGTGCATGCTTTCAGTATCAATGTTCAGATATAGATTTGTCAGAAAATTCCATCTTCATTTCACTTAGTGGGCAGGATGGGCATGTTATTTAAGTCTTGTCTGAAATCTGTGATAGCTCTGATGTTTCTTAATGTATTAGAACCCAACCAGTTTTGATAGGTTTTCACCAAACTGGTTAGCATCTTAAGACTTGCATCACTTTGGACTACTTACCTAGATTATGCTAAATATATTTGTGATTGCATATTTATTCCGAACATGATCCATGGCAGATGTGCTATGACAAAATACTTTTAAGTTATCTCCCTTTGAACAGCTTTAGTTGAAACTTGATCTGTGAAAGTTTGTAGCTTTAGTTGTCCTGGTAAGCAGCTCTCATTCTAGATTATCTCCCCTGTCCAACAAAGATCTGACAATGGATGAGGAATACAGATGACTTTGTCTTGTTGTCGGTTTAGTTTCAATCAGTATTGACTGTCATGTTTTTAAAGGGCGACCCAAGTACACTACCACTGTTGGCGTGGCAGTTTGTGATCATCCAGGTATCAGAGCGAGACCGGGTCATTGACCCAGTGCTAGTGTTTGCTCGTGACCAGACAATCTACTTCTATCAGGTAATTCTTTACATCATCTCTTTCTACATGGATGTTCTTTCAATTTAGCTTAAAAGTGAAAACAATGTCAAGGTTCATGTTGCAAATAGTTTCTTTTGTTCCCATTGACACTTGTGTTATAATAGATTTGTTTACAAGTAAACATGTTTTCATGATTACTTATTTCAAACATGAAGTAAGATGTAAGTTCTACTGTTTTTGCAAATTATTTTGATGAATCAATGACATAATGACATTATGAATTATTAGATTTTCATCCCTTCCACCTCCCCTCCGAGCCATGTCTTTGTTAAAGTTACAAGTCAATTTTCACAGAAATTACGGAGGAGAATATGTATATGTCTCCCTTTGCTTACTTCCACACATGAACTGTCTCAGCATGTATTGTTTCAAACCTAAAACCATGAATCAGATAGAGGAACACTTTACACAACTGGTAGTCTAGACCATGGACTTTGTGTACCCCTCTGAAAAGTGTAACCCACAAAATTGAAGCGGACAACGTAGTCCCACTTTTGTGTACCCTCTGAAAAGTGTAAAAGCTATGAATACACAATGCCATTTAGAAAGTGGTCAAATGTAGCATATGTTATATTTGGGATTACATTTTCTCAGTGAAGTACAGATTAAGACAGGGACTTGATGGCTCAGAGATTGTAAGATGTGTCAGAGTGGGGTATTCATGATAGAATGTGTCAAGGTATCTCAGTCGGCTAGCACTGTAATGCCAACATACATCTGGAGTAGTACAAGCAGCCACACACACATGTATGCTCATGGCTATAAAAATGAAACAATTTTCAGTGCAATTTTTAACCACATTTCGCCTCACCTGTTAATTAACCATGAATTGTTTGTCTCATAAAAATGACCAAGTGTTATTCCCTATAAACACTGTGTTCAAAATTTACTTGTACGTCTTAAAGTCATTACTCTTATACCTTAAAGACTCCAGAACCCTCCTATATTTTGGAAAACTGTTCAATGTGTCTATTCTGCAATGTATCTGTTTTTCAGGTAATCTGTCATGGACCCCAAGACATTCGCTGTTCAGGTCTACAAAAGATGGAGGTCTCATACCAGCTTCTCAGTGTCAAAGTGAGTCATGCTGAGCTTCAACACATCAACCATACATATTTGTCCTTGTCGCTGCTTTATAGTAACATTTCTTTTCGAGTTTATTTATCGAAAAATGTTAAGATTTATTTTAAAATAAATAGATTTTCTGAAAAATGAGATATTTTTAACCATTGTTTTACATAGACAAAACTTACAGAATGTGTACATCACTTCTGTAGCAAAACAAGGTCAGCGGGCTTAAAAATAAGTTTCATCCCAGACAAAAATTACTTGCCAACATTTCAAGAGCTATAAAAACAATGTGAATTATCCTGGTTCAACTGGGTGTAGAATATGTCAGTAAGTGAGTTTAGTTTTATGCCACAATCAGCAATGTTCCAGCTATTTGGTGGTGGTCTGTAAATAATCGAGTCTGGATCAGACAAACCAGTGATCAACAGCATGAGCATCGATCTATGCAATTGGGATATGATGACATGTGTCAACCAAGTCAGTGTGCCTGACCACCCGATCCTGTTAGTCGCCTCTTACGACAAGCCTGGGTTTCTGAAGATCAGTTATAACCCAGATCCTCAAGGGTCGTAGGATATTAGTTATAATATTTACATGAAGAAGTGGTGATAAAGGTCAGTATGTCTGATGAGTGACTGCGGCCTAATGTACAAATCAAGATGTCTAAATGATATAACTATACTTTGCTGTGGTTGAAGATCGAATACAATTTTACACACATATGTAAGATCATGATTTATCAATTATTTTTCGTGGAAACTGTTATCATTCCCACTGTACTTTATTTTGTGGATCTAAATCATGTTGATTGATGATTGAACTTTTCATGATAATTTGTTCACTCTTGAAAGTTATGGATTGATTTATTGAAAAGATAGATGTCAGGGACGTAAATCAAACAAAAAATATTCCACCCTGAGTAGATTCAACATAATAATGATGTGTAATACTGTGTATATGTATCTCAAATGTCAATATTCAACCACAAACTACCACCTTAAGCTACAATATTACATTGTTGTATGTTCCCCTCAACAGTGGATGAACCCACGGACTATTGTTACTCTGGACAAGTCCGAGAAGCTTCATGTCATTGATGTGAGATCTGAAGAGGAGCTGGAGGTAAGACAGAGTACTAGTTTATGTGGGCTGGGTTGTAATTTGTTTTAGTTTTCTTGAACCCCTGGGTACTGTTTTTTTTTTTATCAGATGTGATATAATATGATTTTGTTCTCTGAAATTTATAGATATTGGTTTATGTTTTAGGACAATCGTGAAGATAAGGCACAGAGACAACAGAATTTATTAATCGCTTTCATATTCTTCAGTCTTTCATTGGAACCTCTTGGTTCAGACACTGGTCATCATGTCTTCAGTGATCTGACATTTCTAATAGACAAATTAGGTCATGTTTGCTACTGTTACCATGCTGTTGCCATGGTTACAGGAGATACCTGCCATCAATTTCATTGTGCAAGGTCAAAGTCCACATATTTCCAAGGTGGTGGTGATGATGATGATGATGATGATGATGATGATGATGATGATGATGATGATGATCTCTACCCTCAGTAATACGTATTTCATGCTGCAGGTGATTGACATTTCTGAGGTTCAGCTAGTATATGGCACAAGTTACTTCAAGTCTTTGGCCACAGGAGGGAATGTCAGCCTGGCCCTAGTAAGGAGACTTAAAATATATTGAGGCCCTTTTTACTAGACTGCCAACCATTTCATAACCAGCAATTTAACATGATTCAGTTCCATCAGTAAAGTTACTGTGATAAAAAATAGTATTAGTAATTAGTTCTGTTTGTGCATTCAGAACATTAGTGAAAACTCATCCAATTAAATAAACCTTTTTGAGAGTTATTATTGAGGTATGTTATTTCACTTTGAGTTTTGTTTAAGACTATTCACAGGAGCACAGATGAATTGTATTACATCTTAGACATTTGTAAGATATTATAGATATTTATAAGTAACAATGAGAGGTCTGTCTCCCTGATTAGTCCAATAAGTACTACAGGGAAGTGATCCTGATGACACTACTGTGTTCCAGGCTTATGCAGGAGAGCAAGCCTGCTACCAGTCAATCACCAGCCATGGGGGGACAACTCTTCCTGCAGGGGACTCGCAATGTGCATGTCTTCACCCTCAGGACTTGGAAGGAGGTAAGTACAAAAAACTATGTTTATAAGGAACATGAACAGGAAAATACTGTATTACATGTGTATAGATTCTTAGCTGGAATAAGTCCCCATTAACCTGTACTGGTCATATGAGACAACTTTTACGATCAGGTGCTTAAACTGTTTAATCACTGGAATTTCTGGTCCAGACTCTGTTGTTAAAGCTTAGATGTTGCCAACAAAATAAACATAATTAAAACACAATTATCATTCATTCATGACATATAATATACATGACATGACATATAATATTTTGTACTTGGGTTTACTACCCTCGAAACGACTCACCTGGGATACAGAACCCAGTCAGAGCGGGTGGGAGTGCACTTAGGTGTAACAAAGACTTTCATTGGCTGGTTCATGTGCCGATACGCTCAGGGCTCTTTGTGTGTGTGTGTATAGGCATCCCTGCTCTCAAGCCGCGCGAACCTATTCACTGCGCATGCGCAATGTGCGCAGCGCAGTACAGCTGTTGAAACCACTTTTCACCCCAGATGCTTTTTTTTAGTGAATCGTTTGAACTCCAATTTCACAGGATTTTTTTTATAGCCTTATTTTTCAACTTTAAAACTTGAATTTGCATTTGTGATAATGTGCTACTGTAAGTCCATACCGAAAGGTATCAAAGTTGTGTTTTGCGTTTGTAAAGCTTGTAAGCTTTAACAGACTGCTGCCATATGTTTGGAATATTGCTGAGTGTTGTGTTAACAAAGGAAAAATGGAGGATTGAATGTTTGCAATATGCATCATAGCTGATTTTGTGTCATAATGCCCCATGTGTCATTATTGCCCTTCCTGTAAGCTTCTGGTTTCATTAACCCAGACCTGATTCATACAGGCCATGGAATATACCGGTAGCTGAGGAATTGCGGACAGTGGCATAAAACAACATTTCATTCACTTCTAGATTGATGATGGGTTAACAAACATGTAGTAGTGGTTCTTAATGAATCTGTATGTTACAGAGGCTTGAGGTTCTGGTGAAACAGAACAAATACCAGGAGGCTCTGGCACTGGCTCTGTCCTTCTACGAGGGGAAGGCAAAGGCAGTTGTTGGACTGACTGGATCTCAGAAGCAGAGGAAAGAGTTAGTAGCCCATCTGGTAAGTGGATAGTGCCAGATGAAGTGCAACATGTGTGTTTTACAGTTTCAAGTAGCTTGAACAGCCATTACTCTTAGAACTACCATACTTTGGCAGAGAACGGTCTGCAAATAGTAGGAATATGTTTATTGTTTTTTCATCCAGATCATTACATGATTCAGGATGGACAGCCAAGCATGCTGATTTGGTAGGCATTTTAAAAGTAAAAAATATATATGGAAAATGATATCCACAGGACGTAGTTTGAAGGATAAGAGGAGTTGCTGAAAGTCTTTTTTCACTGAAGGCCTGTGGGTTTTTACAGTACATCATTACTCAGTGTATGTAAAGGCTTACATCCTCACACAGATGCTGGACCTGCTGTTCAACTACGTGGATCTGTCCATGACCCGCCTGTGCCCTGAGAAGGGCAAGATAGAGGAGCTGGAAGAGTATTACCAGGTAGGGCTCTGGTACTTACATCATTGTAGAGTGGTACTTTCATGAAAATGTATGTAGGTTTAGAAACATTAGGATTGTCATTGAAACATTCTTTGCATTAAAGCATTTTATTCCGTGGTACAATAAAAAAATATATATGAAACTTTGTACCTTTAAAGAAGTTTTTCATACTAAAAACAGATAGAATTTGTTTCTTTGAGATGCATTTTTATAAGCTGTAAAGACTTATAGTTGACTATCTATAGAGCTGACAGGTCAGGCCATGAATTTTAGCTATATGACTGCTTCAACATTGCTGACGGAAATTGTTCTGCCCTATATAGTGTCTCACTACTCTGCTTGTTGTCTCTAGGAAATAGTTCCAGTATGTGTGGATTACTCCCTGCATCTCCAGAGAACGTAAGTTGATTCCTTAATACATGCTGGATATTTCAATAAATCAGTTCTCCTGTGTATATCTTTTGTGTAAAATTGTGTTAGTAACATAGCCTTATTATCTTTTAGAGTACAATTAGCTGAACTAATAGTTTTGGTCATAAAAACTTCAACCCCTTCTGAAAGTGCAGAATGTTTCAGAGGTAAATTCTTGGATCTTTTGCAATACTTTTACTAAGATCAAGGTAACTGAAGCTTTTCTGATATGTTTCCAAGTTAGATGTTGAAACAAGCAGAAATAATGTAAAAATGTAAATCTCTGCATCATGCTTTGACAGTTCCTTGTGTTCTTTCAGAGATATTTTGTTTGGCCGTATTTATGACCGTTTTGGTGAAGATGTGATAGCACAAGGCACATTCCTAGAATGTCTGGAGCCATATATACTTGGTGATAAGCTCACATCCATTCCGCCATCGGTCATGAAGGATTTTGTCGGCCATTATGAAACTCGGGAGATGTTGGATAATGTAGAGGCCTGTATTGTTCATCTGGACATCACAAGTCTCGACATTCATCAGGTGGGCACAAGTTAGTGTATGTTGAAAATAGATTAAGACTGAGTATGCACTGATGAAGTTGATAAGTTTATCACCACTCAAAGTGTAGACATCTTTGAACATTCTCACCTGATCCTGTCTTCTAATTGTAAGCTGACACACCATGATATAATTCAAGTAGTGTTAAACCTAACTTAATATGGCCACGTTAACTGTGTGTCTGTATGCAGGTGGTTCACCTGTGCTGGGACCATGGCCTGTATGATGCCATCATCTATGTGTACAACAAGGGCATGTATGACTACACAACACCCCTGGAGGAGTTGTTGCTGTTACTGACGTCAGCTGTGAAAACCGGCAAACAGCTCACAGGTCAGTACCAATTCAGGGGCGGATACAGCTTTTTGAGAAAGGGGGGGGGTGCACACTATTGAGAAAAGGGAGGGTGCACACTTCATTTTCACCAGAGTTTCAACGGTCATTTAATCAACTTTCAGGACAAAGTGGGGTGGGTGGGTGCGCACCCTGCAACCCCCCCTGGATCCGCCTATGCAATTCCTTGCATTAATATCTAGAATGGATGACATGCAAGAAGCAGTGCATGATGGGAACTCTAATTTGTTGCCATGACAGATGTGCAGGTGGGCCTTCCCTCCATCCAGTCTGTGGGATGCAGTTAGAGCTATTTGGATTGAATTCATCTTATCTATTGTCCATTGTCTTCCATACTGAAAATGGGATTGAAGTGCACACTAATCGTTTTTGTTTAGGGTAATAATAAATGTAGCTTACATCAGTGGTTGATTCAACACATTACAAATGTCCATTAATATTCTTTTCTCAAAATTGGACCTTTGTGAGACATAACAGATGACAAGTAGGGAGATTTGGGTTGAAAAGACCATATCTTATTTAACCGGATTCCGGCAATGTCTTTGTGTTCTAAAGATAAGATCTATCACTATTCCATGTAACATAAAAGTAGGTACAGGTACAGACATAATGCAGGGGTGTGAGTATTTCATGTTTGTTTTGTTTTACAGATAGCCAGATTAAACTTGGGAATAAACTGCTGGTCTACATCAGGTGGGTTCACATGTTCAACACACTTCTTCAATCCTCTCTATTAGAAGCATGACAGACATTAGGCTTTTAGAAGTTTATTTTTAGACTTTCATCCCCAGGAATCTCACTACCAAACACTTCAACTCAAACACATTGTTGTATGGCCCCAAGTACCTTCTGAGATACGAAGATTCACTGTGTCCTTTCTGTCTTTATTTCATTAAGTAAACTGTTTAAATATAAATATAATGCCTCCTGCCTAATATCTTTTGAAAATGATGGTAGAATTCTGACTATTATTGTTTGTGATGTTATCATGTTTATTGATACAGAATTTGTATTGTTCATGACAGCTAAGAAAGGATACATTGGTTAGCTTTGATGATGTCATTCTGGTTATTATTGCTATTGTGTTTACTGTGTCACACTCGGTTTTGACATACACCCTGAAACATTTCACCACCCAGAATTCATTTCACCCGTGTTGTAAACCACCTCTATCGCTTTTATCTCTCTCATAAGAGTAATTCAATTTGTTTTCTACTAAAAGTCTCATGCTATGTAAATCATGCTCAAAATGAAGGGTACCAAACAGAGCTACAAACACAAAGGTTGCTAGTGGGAAATGTGTATTAATAATAATAATCATGTTTCATACACTAAAATTCAAGGATGAAAAAGAAAGAAAATGTTATTATATTATTTGCCCTTCCAATGTACCTCTCAAAGAAATCTTCTTGGTTGCCTGGAACTTTGTCATTGATGTAACGGCACTTATGATCAACGTATGTGTCACCTGTTCTGCAGCTGCTGTCTGGCTGGGAGAGCCTACCCCTTTGGAGACATTCCAGAAGAGCATGTGGAGGAGGTCAAGGAAAAGGTTAGTCAGTCTCACAGTCCCTGAACCGCATTATTTCCCATTCTGCTTAGCCCTTTCTGCAATGCTTAAAGGTCACATGCAACCAAAAAATCAAACATAATTAAAACACAATTATCACTTCTTCATGACATATAATATGCATTGCTGATTATGAAAAAAACAAATAAACAAAAATTATAAGCGTATAATCGCAAATATGAAAAGTGCAATATTTTGTACTTGGGTTTACCTCCCTCAAACGAAGCAGCCGATACCGAACCCAGTCAGAGCGGGTGGTGTGCACTCAAGTGTAACGGCTGGTTCATTTGCAGATGCCGCCTCACAGCTCATTGTGTGTGTATATATAGAGATGTTGGGTTTTGTAAATACATGCCATTTTTGTGTATAACATTTTGTAATCAACAGACATCATAACATGTCATGTGTTCAAGCATCACACCTGCCTGTCTGTGTAATTACATAATGAACTCGGGCCATAAATCAATGCGCTTTTGTTTTATGGTGTATAGCCCCGATTGGTGTTAAGTTCAAACTTGCATGTGGTCAGTGATCGTGAAGTTGTGTATTGAATATTGTCATTAGCAGACAGGCAGGCAGACACACAGGTGTCAATAAAACAAGGCATTGAGTTTTGTCTGTGACAACGACATATCTATATCACAGTTAGAAATTCTGTCAACGCTTAAATAATGACATTGCTTTTCTGCGTATCGAACTGAGAAAGTCGGGACTCGCAAAGAAGAACGCGGTGGTGAAATAGACAAATGAAATTATATAAACAGTTTATTTACTGTCATAACATATAAAAGCTCAATGCTTCGTGAGATATCAACAAAACATTATGAAAAATAGCCTACACCAAAGCCTTCACCGAAAGCATTCATCCGACAACCCGCCTTCCAAGTTGCGCCGGAATCTACTAAAACATCCTCACACTAAACAAGCGACGAAAGCCAGAAGCATTCCAACTTCACGCATGGACCCCATTTCACTGGCGCACATGCTATGAGCGAGTCATCCAGCTGTTGAAACCCATGATATGATCAGAACTGTCATACTACTACCAAGGTAGGACTCGACCTCCAAGAGCATGAAATTTTAGCTTCAACACCAATTGCTCTTTGAATAATTTTTCGAGGGAAAATTTGTGAATCGCTTGAACTCCGATATCGCCAGCTGGTTTTTCTATTATCGCTGCTATTTTTCAACTTTATAACTTGAAATTGCATTTTGATGATTTGTTTCGCACGTCCATACCGAAGGTATCAGAATCTGCAAAGTTGTGTTTTACGCTGCATGTGACCTTTAAACCCTCAATGAAGCAAGTCTAGATTTCTTCAGGTTCAGGAAATTTCTCTTCTCACATGGACTCCTTTTCAGTTGAAAAGGAATTATTTGTACTTTTCCTTAACCTGGCTCATATGTTATTGCTTGCTGACACCTGATTTGAATATCACATGTCAGCAAGCTCCCAGGGTTGTAAACAACTTGTTAGAATGGCGTCAGCAAGCAATAATGTATGAGTCAGGATAAGTATAAAATATCAATTTCATCATAAAATGTTTTTCATCAAAATGGCGACGTTTCGACATTCTAATGTCGTTGTCAAGCAAGTGCGTGGATATTTTGAAGTTGTATATCCATAAAAATTGTCATCATTCTTCAGTGTCTGAATATATATATTTCACAGAATAAAAGAATTTGTTTATCCATAAAAATTGTCATCATTCTTCAGTGTCTGAATATGATTATATAATTACCTTCTTCATCAATTCAACTTCTAAAATGCCCATCAAAGAAGTATTCAGACACTATGAAAAGGTCAGCTCCATCTCCTACTCTATCCACAGCTCAAGCATGTTGGCACATCACTAATGGATGGCTTCATCATTGTCACTCTGTGGGGAAATAACAAAGGCTCTGTGGGAACACTGACTGACATTTGTCACACAGACTGTCTGGTTGTTTGCACTATGCATTATGATCTATCAGGTCAAGTGAGAATGATATTACCCTGTTTACATTTGACATAAACAAGATCGACAGTAACTGGTTGCATATTTAGAAAGAATGATGTTATTGGGAATGAGATGCTAAAGATGTTCTTCTGTTCCAGGTGTTCATGACAATCACATGTCTGCATACATCGAAGCCTACAGAAGGTGAGCTCAGCCATGTTGTACAGGATGTATATATTAGCAAGACACTAACCAAGGTTGTTGTAGGCAGTGCACAACTACCTTAAACAGTTGTTGTGTTGAATTCTATTTCTACAGTGATAAGATGGAACAGTAAATGAAACTTTGATACGTCTTCCATTTTTCACATCTGCTTCAACAACGAAATGCAGTCTAACATTTCTGACCATCAGTAATTTGACATTGTTGGAAATCTTCTTTTACTTCATTCAAGGAGCAAAACAAATGTCTGTAGCACCCGAGAGGTAATGAAGTACGCATGAGTTTCAGTATTGTCAAAATGGATCTGTGAGAAATGTAAACAATGTAAGATATCTGAGAGCCCCAGTGAACTGACTTACTGTGTTCTTCCAGATGAGCCGGCCTACCCCAACCTCCGCTCACTGCTGCAGTTTGACACCAGAGAGTTCCTCAATGTCTTGGCACTGGTAGGTGGACATGTATATCTAACATGTTTCTGATCACCCAGCAGTTTGACACTTGAAAGTATTGTTTTCATGAAAATGTGTAAGCACATCAGATGGCATCTGGTGGTAAGGCGTGGTGACTTGCAACAGGTTGCTGTGAGACATTGTACCATGATGAGGCAGTGCATTGCTTATAATGCTGAAACTGTTGAAAACACCCAAGCGCTATATTATACTTCAGTTCAGGAATTGTCTGATTATTTTTAGTTTAGTGGTGGAATTATGACTGACTGACTGACTGAGTTTGGTTTTTAAGCCGCTTTTAGCAATATTCCAGCAACATCACAGCGGGGGACACCAGAAATGGGCTTCACACATTGTACCCATGTGGGGATTCGAACCCGGGTCTTCCGCGTGACGAGCCAACACTTTAACCACTAGGCTACCCCACCGCCCCGGTGGAATTATGATTTTAAGTATTTGGAATATTTTATGTAGATAAAAAGCTGTGTGTTAAGAGTACCATGATTACAATGCATGTCCTTGCATTGTATCACAAGAGGATAAAATAGAGGGAATCATTTGGTTTAGTCATCAATCATAATGGCAGTTGTACTTGTTGTAATTTACGTGTTTTGGTGTACTGAGGCATTTGAAATATGCCATGATTTCTGTGACCTATTTGAGAAGGACATGCTTATCCATGACTTTGTCTTCCTGTTTAGACGTGCATGGATCTTTTGTCTAATAACAATAATTACTAATAATACTGTCTTATATAAATGTGTTTGGGTTTCAGGCTTTCGAGGAAAGTGAATTCAATTCCGAGAAAGGGTAGGTATCCAGGCACATCAATAGATATACTGGTAATGTTGCCTGTAAATGTCATTCTGATTTGATGTATATTGATGGGAGAAGTTGAGATGACAGACAAATATGGGATATTTACAAAGAAATACATAGGTCCTGTTGTCAAGCTATATACAGGTGATTAGAAATATTTATTGTAGATGCATATTTTCAGTGCTTCTTTCATATGTTACATGATTAAGATTCCGGATGGAAAAATGTTAACACAGAGGTACAGATAAGCTGTGTATCTGCGTAAATTACACAAATATTTATGTGAATACACAATTCCTATTTAGTCTATTGTGTACAGGTACGCTTGAATTTTTGTAAATACTCCATAAATGTGATCTTACATGCGTACACACAAAATGTCAAATCTGAGCTTGCGTACCGGTGGATAGATAATATAACTGAGGTATATTGAGAGGTTCTATTTCAGGACATGAACTTGACAACTTGCAGTCTTTCTTATCGTTTCTCATATCACAGATCAAATGTAAATAACAAACACTATCATCTAAACTTTATTACATTTTTAAAATGAACGGAAAATGGCAAAATACCCAATTGAGTTTGAGTGACGTGAGTATAATTTATTTGGTTACTCAACAGAAAATTAGGATACCCAACTGAGATGAACGCAAGCGAGTACATAATTCTGTGACCCAAAACGTTATCTGTAGCTCTGTTAACACATAATATGTATGATGACATGTCTGTGTTATGTGTGACAGGATTGCCAAGCGACAGAGGGTCGTGGACATTCTGCTGCAAATCATGGTGGAGAGTGTGGGTTTTACGGTGAGTCACACCCTCAGCTCCATGTATTCTCTCAATACCAGCAGAAGCTCAATAACATCAGGCGTGTCCAACTGGTTTCTTGTTTTACAAAATAAATCAGCAGGAGGTTTATTCAATTTTGTATTTGTTTTGGTTTCATAATGTGTTTGAAGCTAATTTCAAACATTAAAACAATAATATGTATAAAGTAAGAATTTCATTTTTACTTACTTTTTAAAATGGATTTTAAGGTTGTCTATTCCATGAAACAAGATATGTTTGGAATTAATTTAGGTTGCTGACAGTTAATCATGGGTGATATTGTTTGTAAGTCACATCTGACAATGGACATATTTTGTTTCAGCCAACACAAGTTGGAATCCTCTTCACATTCCTGGCTCGGCAGATGGCTAGACATGAGAACACCATCATTGTCAACAGAGTGCTGTTTGAACAGGTAATGTTATCCTCAGCAACAAACCCTAGTATAGACATGAGAACACCATCATTGTCAACAGAGTGCTGTTTGAACAGGTAATGTTATCCTCAGCAACAAACCCTAGTATAGACATGAGAACACCATCATTGTCAACAGAGTGCTGTTTGAACAGGTAATGTTATCCTCAGCAACAAACCCTAGTATAGACATGAGAACACCATCATTGTCAACAGAGTGCTGTTTGAACAGGTAATGTTATCCTCAGCAACAAACCCTAGTATAGACATGAGAACACCATCATTGTCAACAGAGTGCTGTTTGAACAGGTAATGTTACCCTCAGCAACAAACCCTAGTATAGACATGAGAACACCATCATTGTCAACAGAGTGCTGTTTGAACAGGTAATGTTATCCTCAGCAACAAACCCTAGTATAGACATGAGAACACCATCATTTAGATACTTTAAATACGGACCAGATGTTTAGTCGTATTTTATCATGTCAGCATCTTACTTTTTACACTGCCAAAACCTGCCATGACATTTTAACGAAATCAAGAAGCCTTGACATTTTAACAAAATGAAGAAGCATTCTTTATATGTAAATATATACGTATCTTCTTTATTTAAATGTACATATTGTTCATACCGCGACTATATACATTTTACCATTTCTTACTGTATTTTTAGTGTACTTTTATTGTAAGTCTCTCATAAATCGTCTGTCTGTCTGTCAACATAGTGCTGTTTGAACAGGTAACATTATCCTCAGCAACAAACCAACAAACACCTTAGTATTGCAGGTATATGCCCACAGAGCCTGCGTCATTTGTGTAAATTGTCACACATATCCCAAACTATCATATGTCTTTAGTTGTTTAGTTGTATCAGTATCAGCTTTTGATACTTCTATTTGTCACTGAAATATAGCTGACTTTCACACTTCCGGTGCATCCCCTAGTCAGTACTCTAATCCTTGTACACCGATTGCATTGAAGCAGACTTGATTGAATGACGTAGCCACAAGAATCCAAAGTATGATACATGATCATTTGAAATCAGAAATGTAAGAATATAAATTAACCTCATTCCTTAACTGTTTATATTTGCTGGTAGGTGTTGGAGAAAGAAAAGCCTCATGAAATCAGTTTCTGTGTTGTAGGTGTTGGAGTTCCTCTCAAATCCTGAGGATGAATCTCGCCACGAGGAGAGACAACAAGCACTCATGGAACTGATCCATGCTGGGGGACTGCAGCAGTTTGATGAAGGGAGACTACTCCGTCTTGCAGAAAACGCTAAGTTGTAGGTTGATAGTTATGGATCATTCTTACTACAACCATTCTTTTAAACATGACAATTAGGCTTGTCTGTCAATGTGAGTGCAATTAAGTTGTAGGAATGCTCCTAGATTTCATTGTAACCATTTTAAATCTTGGTAAAGGTTTATCCCATTGGCAGATCCATAGTTTTACGGTATTGGGAAAAAGGTCTGCAATCTAAGTCACTTTTAACCTTATCCAACACTAAGGTAAACCTTGGAAATCGTTGAAATAGTGTTCATTGAACCCAACTCACTTATTCCACCCAAAAAGGAACCACATTCAGATTATATTTGAATGAGTTAACACTTTTGATGCTGAAATTTACAATGAATGATTTCAAGCCAGCTGTTTAATAGTCAGTGATAAGTCCAATGCCACTTCTTGGTGCCATCTTTCAGTTACCGTGTGAGTGAATACCTATATGAGAAGCGGCGTGAATATGACAAGATCCTTGGCTGTTATCTACGGGATCCCTCCAGACGGGTAAGTCCTGCCAAGTGATACCATTGACTTGGTTAACTGCAGGTCAGTACAATCCATTGGTATTTGTTTGATCATACTGAGGAGAGTCCTGTATATATGCATAGTATATGTCCAGTCAACATTATGTGATAGTTGATATACCCATCTTATGATTTTATTGATTACTATGTGCCATTTAACAGAGGACATCATTTACAAGGGTGACCAGTGAGAGATGTTTTTTCCTATGAGGGAATGATCTGTGACAGGCAGTTATTTGGGTGATTGAGTGGTTAACTGTTCAGTAGTCTTGCTGAAGACCTATATTTGTAAGCACAACGTAAAACCCAATTTCACCTCACCTGTATTTGTACAATGTATCAATTCCATTCTTGGTATCCTCAGTGATAAGGGTGGAACATACCTCTTGTTTGTAGCATTGTAACCTGTCTTTGGAATGTTCCAGCATTTACCATTCAAAATGCTTGGTTTGTTATTGCTCATCCAATAACTGTATGGCATAGCAGCATAGAAGCTGCTCACTTGTGTATGGTGGGTCTTTATTCTGTGTATCCAAGCACTGATGTTTGTTCTTCAGTACCATTCCTTCAGTTACATCGAGAGCATCATTCAGAGTGACAGATACACTGCTGTAGAAAAGGGCTCAGTCAGGACAGAAGCTCTCAAAAATCTACAGGTAGGAACAGCTCTTGGTGGGTGTTGGTGACTAGACTACATTATTGTTAACATTGTGTGAAGTCAGAACGATGTGATATTGATTGTTTAAAGTGATTGATTAAAGTATACTTCAGCTTGACATTACAGTACAACATGGCTGCATGTTGACAAAGTGATAGTGATAATTGTCATAATACAACTTAAAATAATGAGCCACTCCCTGATCTCGTAAAATATCGAATGCAATGAAGGCTCCCTGAGCACATGTGTTTTACCACCATGATTCGAGTCACCAGATTGTCCTGGTCAGCATGTACCTGTCAAAATGAACTATGAAAATTAAACTGTATGAATTGGAAGCCTCTCATGTTATCACAATAATTGTGGTCACCACTCGATCAATCTTCTGTTTGTGTAACAGGAGCTGGTGTCTATAGACTGCAAGCAGGCTGCTCAGACTGTTATTACATGCCTGGCTGATAACCTCAGCGATGTCGTCAGGAAACTGCAGAATAAACCAACTGTCCTGTTTGAGTTTCTACAAGGAGTCATATCCTACAGGTAGGCAGTCAGCTTCATGTCCTACAAATAGGCATTCAGAATGGTAATCTACAGAGGTCTGATCAGATTCATATTCCCACACTCACTGTGTGTATAGGAATATGCATGTGACTACATAATTAGGAAGAAAACGTTCAATGTTGCTGCTTGGTGGTTACAGGGACTCTCAGAGCAGTGCTGTCCACACAGATCGCCAGATCACCATCGAGCCCAATATCATCGAGCTGTATATCAACCTTATGTGTGAGCACCGTCCCCACGATGTGTGCAGCTTCATCAAGATGAATGAAGGCTATAGACTTGAAGAGACACTTGAGGTAGGCAAAGGGATATTCTGAAGAATATAGTGGAATCAGTGATAATCTGATGTTAGCCAGATCCAGATGTCTCTCAGACCAAATTTACTGTCCTACGGTAATTTATTGTAAATTGTATGATTATGAGGTACACCCTAAATGACTAAAAACACATTTTGACTACATAGTTAAGCTGCTGTAATAGTGTCTATTTTTATCAGCTGGAAGACTCAAATACCATCCCACCCAAGTCCTGTTTAGATGGAAAGGCTGTATACACATTATCCAAAACTAATTACATGATCAGATATTACAAGTATTCAGGCTGATGTAATGTATGAATCTGTTTTGTCTTGAATGTACATCAGTACATCAGTAATAATAGTGAATCCATAACAGATGTCCAAACACTGAGATATCTTGTCAATAACATCTTATGTTCACTGGTGAAATTATCATTATTTGTTCTATTTAAAACATTAATGTATAGAATCACTGTAAGTCTGTGCTAAAATGAGAGGAGTGCTTTGGACATTTCATCTGTCAGTATATTGTTGTGACTGAAGTGTCATGTTACAGATATGCAGGAAACACAAGGCGTCTGAAGCCACAGCGTACCTTCTGGAGAAGGCAGGAGACATTCAAGGAGCGTTTGGCATCGTCTTGGAGGTTCGGTTCGGTTCTGATAGATTTCTGGATATCATAGGATGATATTTCAAACTTCTGATACATTTATTGGTCCTGCTGAAGGGGGTTTTAATGTTATATTTATTGTTAATAAGGGTGGTAATATGAACATGCAACAATTTTTATGATAATGCATTTTAGTGCATTATTTATGATTTTGTTTACAGAATTATTTAAAGTCAAAGTTGTACTTAAAGCTTTCCTACCTCGTTAAACTGCCATGCCAATATTATTTAACTTCACTTAAGAGTGGAAATTAAACCATACAAACTTGTTTTAACATTCCAGAACATGCAGAGCAAGATAAAATGTCTTATGGAGGTGCTTGAATCAAGGGAGAAATCTCAGAGAGGTAGGTTCTCTTGTGCGAGTCAGATAACAGTGTATAAGCAGTAACTGTTAGGCTGTGTTAGGTATCACTGGCATTCATGATATAGTTCATTGAAGGAAACATGGGCTGTAAACAAATGTTTTCTGTAGTAATAACTATTTGTTTATGTTTTGTGATCACAGCACGAAATACTGAATTGACCTGGTTTGTTTCGTTCAGGGTGGTATGCAGGTTGTCAAGAACCTGTTGACAAAGCAACATAGTATACTTAAACAACAATATCTGTGGCCATGAATTAAAGCAGGCTATGAAGATGCTGACTAGTGTTGTTTATGTTCCCAGATCCAGTTGTTCTGTTCCAAGAGGTGGAGGCCATCCTGTTGGTCATCATTCAGCTCTGTCAGCGGAACTCTGGCAAGATGGATGAAGCTGGACGTGAGGTGAAATGTTCAATGAATTGCATCATCCTATCTTCTGTGACCACTGAACCTAGACATTATCTATAGGATTGTTAGGATTGTAAGAAGTGAATATTTTACTATTTGCTGGATTCAAGGATAGAATAAGTCCCCATTAAGCTGCTCGTGCTTGTTGTAAGTGTTCACTACACTTGATCTGGTAGTCAGGTTCTGTGAAATGGCTTGGGACACCAGTGTTCACGAATGGTGTTTCAAAGTAACAGGACATTGGGTCCTGTAAGTTTAAGATGTCTGTCTGACCCACTGAAAATTCACAGGACCCATGGAATAAAATTAAACACACATTTCAGATTTAACATTTCTCATAATTGGCATTGAAAATATTAACAAACATAAGAAAATTAAGATAAAATAAACAGCAAACAAGTGTCACATGTCACATATAACAACTTCAGTCAAAGTCATTGTGAAATATACAGTCGGACACTGGGGCCGGTGGGTTGTAGACTTCTATCGGACCGTTGACGAGGGTCAGACACTATTCGCGAACACTGGGACACCAGAAATGGGCTTTACACATTGTACCCATGTGGGGAATTGAACCAAGGTCTTTGGCATGAAGAGCAAGCGCTTATCCACTAGGCTACCCCACCGACCCTCAGGTTCTGTGAAATGGCTGATTATGCAGCATTTGTGTCACGGTTAATGTTCGTTCTTCCAGTCACCACTACTATTGGTATGAACTAATCAGTGAAATGTTGTATGTATCCATTTGATCAAAAACATACTTAGCCACAGCTAGAGGTACATTCCAACCTTCCTCCTGTGGATTCATTTTCTGCTGTCAGTGTATTTTGTACAGAATATTATATGCCCCATTTCCTTAATGAGTTCAATTAAATCCTGGAGTCTCAATTGTATGCAGGACTTTCTGGGGTTTTATGCACAGGAATCTCCTCATTACTGCAGTTAGATGCTGGAGTTGGAGAATATCTGAAAGATATATAAGAGAAGGTGTTTTGAGGAAATATGGTGTACTTTGCCAGTATTTGATTTTAACGCCATCCTTTTAAAATTTCCATATATACTGGCAGATTGTAGAAATGATTTAAGTGTTAGTGAAGCGTAGTACTGAGACCTTTTATCAAAGAGATGCTGCAAAATATTGAAGTGAACATTGTTTTCTGTCTACTGTGTGCAGGCTCTGTGGTTCCCCCTGCTGGAGAACATCATGTCCCCCCAGAAGAGGATGAAAGATACAGCAAATAAACAGATCATAGAAGGTGATACATAGCATTATGTCAACTACTTGGTCAATTGTTATACGTCGGTGATATATAGCATTATGTCAACTACTTGGTCAATTGTTATACGTCAGAAAAAGAAAATGCATTTCAGGACACATGTAAGTAAGAAATGATTTTAAAAATTTCAGATTTCAAGCAGATGACCCACCATGTATTAAACAGCATGATGGGATACATCTCCCCACCAGCCATACTGAAGAAAATCATGCAGGTGTGTAGCAGTGCACGGAACTCTGTGTGTTCTGGTGCTACTTGAGCCGTGTCTCTTCATATCCTAATACAGCGCAGCACTGTGATGCACTGTTGCATCTAAGGAGTATGATTTTTACTGGATACATCTGTTTGAATTAAGATCTATTTATCTACAGACAATGTTGACTCTGGGTTTCTGGTGTGATGTTCCATACTTCAGGGTTTGTCAGAACTTCATGCAGAATCATTGTAACATAGTACAAGATTTTGATAAAATTATAACAGAATGGAAGATAGGTAGGGGATAGAGGTTTTGTTTGCTCACCTTGCCTTGTTTGTGGGCTTATTATGTTATGGAGGTAGTCTGTTGTCCATCTGTTATTGTCAATATCTCCACTAAAACTACAAGGGCTAACGGACTGAAACATTAAATGAATGATCCCAGCTATGGTGTCTGAGAAATTTCACAGAATGCCTATCCAGATGTTGTCATTTCTGTATTTCAGGTGAGCTACGGGCCCTGTTGCTCTATTTTAGTTGAATAGATTGACTGTATGTCTTCTACGAATTGTCATATATTTCTTCTAGTATATGTGTCGTAGGAAGGTTTGAAAATATTTTCATTAGGTCTGACATAGGCTCAGTTGTGAATATTTCATCAAGTAGATTCAAAAACATGTTTCTCCATAGGAAAATACCTGCAAAACAAATGATAGCTATTTACTGATCTTATCCACGTGGGCTTCATGGAATTGATTGTAGGGGCCCCAGTGAATGCACCCAGCATGCATTGTTTTGGATTAATTTTATGTACTCTGGATGCAATATTGTCAGTCTGCTAAATCTCTGTGGTTATGAAAGCAGAAAGCTGTACAATTTTCTAACAGAATGCTAATGAATGGGAAATCCCCGAGTTGTGTTGTGACAGTTCCTTGTTTTCCTCCAGGACCCAACCTACAACACTGGTAAGTTCGGGGAGGTGAAGGAGCTCATCATCGGGATGCTGGAGAACTACAACTATGAACAGGTAGGCTGCTGCTCAACATAGATCTATAGTACTTCTATTTTAGGAACTGGATATATTAAAACTGCCCCCTGTTGAGATGCTGGTGTAATAGGAGTATTTCCATGGGTAGTGATATTCTGGCTAAAAAGTTGCAGTGGATTATTTATCCAAAGATATTATTTTTGGAATAATGTCTCATAACATTCTCTCCTCCATTTATTTAACTAGGACTGACTTTTGCTTCAAAAAGCTTCCGGAAGATAGAATATTCATACGAGAAAATATTCCAGAAACTGCCTTTGGAATTAATATCCATAGAAAAAGCTTTACATGGAAAGAGTCTCCAGGGGAATAAATATCCTGTACCGTAGGAACTGTATCCAAGGATCTGGCCCATGTGACCTGGCTCATTTTGTATCATGATATGACAGCTTCAGCAGTGATCCAGCCATGTGGCTGCATTTATTGTGGTATATTCCAGCCATGTGACTGTTGTTATGGTGGTATATTCCAGACATGTGACTGTTGTTATGGTGGTATATTCCAGCCATGTGACTGCATTTATGGTGGTATATTCCAGACATGTGACTGCATTTATGATGGTATATTCCAGACATGTGACTGCATTTATGGTGGTATATTTTTTGTAAGCACTCTGCAACAAATCGATGCTCTGTTGCAGACCTTGATGAAAGCGTGCAAGAACCTACTTTATCATGATCTACATGTTCATCTGCGGAGTCTGACCGGTGCTGCAAGTCGAGGCTTTGTTCCACGTGGTGACAGCTGCCACCTGTGTAACCGCAACTTTGTCAACCCCTCAGACACAGACCCAGTGTCAGTTTTCAGGTACAACATTTATCCTTATACCACAACCCATCCAACACAGGCCCAGTGTCAGTTTTCAGGTACAACATTTATCCTTATACCACAACTCCTCGGACACAGGCCTAGTGTCAGTTTTCAGGTACTATATTCATCCCTATGCCACAACCCATCCAACACAGGCCCAGTGTCAGTCTTTGATTCCATATCTCAGCATCTGTTTATTATGAACACACCTTAAACACCTGATGGCTATAACAAATTGCATATTTTGTCCTGGTTATTTGCTGTATATTTTTGTAAAAATGCAAATAACAAACAACACTCAGGATGAACTAAAATTGGTGCCCGCCTTGAGTTCATTATAACTATAGTTTGCTGTATATGATAAGGCAGCTATACCAGTTCCCCTCCAACTTTAACTATCCATAAACCATAACACTTGGCTCTAGGATACCAATCAAGAATTATTTGTGGTCTTGTTACATTGTATAACCAAACGGAAATACTCAGTTGTGGCCTTAAATCTGGTTTCCCAGTTGTAAGACGATCCCAAATTTACCTTACAATTTATACCCACTTTGTAAGGTCATAACATGCCAAAGACACATGAGGTTATATTGTGATGTGTATGTTACTGCAGGTGTGGGCACAGTTACCACATTGCTTGTCTGAGGGTGCTGGGGTCTATCCATGTGATAGATGGAGAGGAGACATGGGTGTGCTACTTGTGCAGTAATGCCAAGAGAACAGGTCGACTACACAGCTCTCGCTTCCACCGATCTCTCTCCAACCCGAGTCAAGCTGCTCTACACAAGCAGGAGAAGTCCAAGTCAAAGGAGGTATGTACATGTTAAAGGATTATTAGAACTATGTATCTCCTTGCTACAAACTTTCTCACTTTGTGACTATACAAGATCCTTTCAGGTGACACACTGATTGTTGAAAATGTAAACATAATGTTTGTTGTATCCGAAATGAACACAAACAGCTGTGGGGTGTAAAGCTTAACGTATATTTTCAAATGTGACAGCCTGAACGAACATAAATCAACACTATCTTGTGAAATACATTATAAAATACATCAGAACTATTTATCAAAGTACAGCAATACAAAAGACAATTATATAATGAAAAAAAAGTCAAGCCCGACAGCGAGTATCCTGGGGAAAACCCGGAAAGTAGTTCCGGCAAAAGTTCACATGACCCAGATCGTCTCGAAAACGTTCACACACGTATCAACGATGTTTACACACGTATGAACGATTTGAAGGGTTCAAGGGAAATGAACCTTGATATTTAGATCACATGACCGCTCTCTCAACCAACCAACGTTTGGGAATCTGTGTAAACTTCAAAGTACAGCAATACAAAAGACAATTATATAATGAAAAAAAAAATCATTATCTTTTAGGGTATATTATTATTAGTTCAATTATAGAATATGTATTACGCATCTGCTGTGGAGTAAACATACCAGATATGTGAAACCCAAATCTTTGTTACCAGTCAAAAATCTGTACAATAAAACATACAATACTCATACACATAGTCAATCAACCACTTATATCAAACATTCAGGCATCCATTCAAATGTACTAGTATGTAATAAATACAGTTATAATATGATGTTTAGCTGCTTAGTCCATAGGTTAGAGTTTGCTATTTTAATTGTACATGTAATCCTAATGAGTTCATCTTCAACTACAAATATGTACAAGATATGATATATTTCAAGTAAATCAAATTCTAATTACATTATACAGTACATATTTTTAATTCTAAGATGCATCGCTAGAAGATCAAAGGCGCCGACAGTACTTTATCACCTGATAAAGCACTTTGTGCTTTGCATCACACTGTATTGATGTCACTAGGCCATTCTAGTCTGCCCCCTCATAATCAAACGTACTCTTGGTAAACGACGTCACAAAGCATGTCAGTTGTCATTGCAAAGTAGAGATTCCAACGGGTACGAGCATCCTCGTACTTTAACTATAATAGTTCAGGACAAAAGTGTACTTAATTACACTATACATGGGGGTAGAATGAACAGTATTTCTTAATTAAAATAAACTAGAAACCATCCATATATACAAGGTTTGACATAATATGAACCCACCTCATGTCATCGTATGATAAGAAATGCTATCTCTATACATATTTGAGAACAGAATGTGTCCTTCCTTCGGAAGTAAGAGAGCAAGTGAGTTTTAAATCTGAACATTGAGGTTAAGCTGTGGCCAGCTTGGCCTATCAGTGGGACAATAGAACTGACAGGAAGCACTGGAACAAAGAGAGTTGTGAGCATGCAGTGTGACATTTAGTGGAGGCTAAACTGAGAGTAAAGTTAATAGTGTAGAGTTATTGAATTAATGTGTAAAACTTAAAATGTTCATGTATAAAACATAACAAATATTCAACCACACCAATAATTATTCTATTCCTAGTAATAAATGGTAACAAGGTCATACCCCTTACTGCTTAATAGAATACCACTTTAAGCTACCTAATCTAAATTAAAAGCTGTGCACATACATACATACAAATATTTGAGTTTGCCACAAACATGTTGGCCACAGATAGTGAAATTTGATGTCAACAATGTGTAAAACCATGATAACATTATCAACTAAAGGAATTAGAGTTTATGGCGAGTCGAAGCATCTGTTTCATTTGCTTTTTCATATTTTTGTCAGATATTACAATACACACATTGCAGGCCTTGAAACCAGAAATGTTGCATTTCATGTTGTTTTTCTCAGTCGGCACTTGATCCTCAACATGCTCAAGCCTTTGAAAGTGTCCGGCGAGCAATGAAGACTCCATCAAGGGTGAGTACTCAAACTTGGATGATTAGTACAACTAGAAAGGTGTTTGCAGCCAATTGTAAAGCAAGACTCAGGATCTTCACTGCTGGTTCTGGTACCAGTTGTATAACATGCTGCTACATCAATGTGCAGAGTTGATAGAGACCGATGATCTTTGAAAGCCAGATTTGCCCTAAACCTGTGCTCATTGAAGTCATCAAAATGTAAACATTTAAAGTCTGTATCACCTTGGATATTCCTCCCCATCAAAATGAGATGGTATGGTACAGCATTTGATGTGGTGATCCTCGTAGCCTTCATTTCATACAACAGTCTTCCACAAACCATTCAGGTACAAACAAGTCTTTGACATTACTGATGTCCATGCAGGTTTATTTGCGTTGACACATTCAAGAAGTATGTGATGTGTAAAACTCATTGAGTGTAATTCCTGTAGGGAGTAGGAGACTAACAACATACAAGAATACTTTTACTAGTTTATATATGAACCATCTAAATGACTAGACATTCCAGACACATTTTATATGTCTCATCATTTAAACCCGTAAATTTCCATCACAAATGAGGCTAGGATGTAATTGACCCATGAAGATCCGGGGTAGAATAGGTCTTCAGCAACCCACGCTTGCCACAAAAGGCGACTATGCTTGTCGTAAGAGGCGACTAACGGGATCGGGTGGTCCGACTCACCGACTTGGTTGACACGTCATTGTATCCCAAATGCACAGTAGGATGCTCATGCTGTTGATCACTGGATTGTCTGGTCCAGACTCGATTATTTACAGACCGCCGCCATATAGCTGGAATATTGCTGAGTGCGGCCTAAAACTAAACTCACTCACTCACTAGGATGTAATTGGAGGGTCATCACACAAAACTCAAGATGGGTGAGTGAGTGAGTTAATATTTAACGTCACATCAGCAATATTTCAGCCATATCGTGACGAGCTCAAGATGGGAAACCACATAATATCTGTACAAGCAGTGATACATGCAAATCATGTACAGGTAAACATAATGTATAAAGTATTGTTTACGCAGTGGAATTACTAAAATAATTTGTGAACTTGAAATGTGAAAAAAACGTGCTTAACTAAATGGTAAATAAACAACGTTCTTGCCACTCCGACCACCAAACTAAATATGATACTTTTGCCACTCCGACCACCAAACTAAATATGATACTTTTTCTAAACTACATGAACTAAATAAGCTATCTGATAAGATACACAACTATAGTTCTAAATTGTTTAGTATCTATACTATGCCCGAATATGGCAAACTATTTGTGTAATCTAACAACCAGTGTCTCACTGATCAAAATTGTCGACCATCCACTTAGCCGTCAGAAAGCTATGTGCTCGACCCTGCACATGCAGAAAGTGACTGCACGAGGCGTTACGTTTGCGTTTTGATGCAACGTTCATGGTTCTTGTAAAGATTGGTTTTGGCTATCAGATAACAAAAAACCAAAGAAACTAACTTTCTCTCCAGAACAAGTATAACTGATTGAGTGCAACATCAAATACATACAGGGGTGAAATAACTTTAAAATTGCTAGTGTACTCCGGAACAGTGGCACATGTAAAATCACTTGCCCCGTTTTCTTGTTGATTTTTTTAAATAAAGAACATAATTAACATTGGAAAGTCAACTGGACAGAAAAAAACACTGGACTCGAACGTCGGGCAATGGGTTATTTCCACCCCTGATATAGTGTTGAGTTATTTACAGACCGCAGCCATCTAGCTGGAATATTGCTGTGTGAGGTGTAAACAAGAAACAAACAAAGCAATTCTATTAGATAAACAGAGGCCTTGGTTCATGAAAGTCCAAGTAACATAAATACCATCTGAATACAACCATCAGGGGAAGGAGCAAGAATTAGCCCTGAAACATCATATGAAGAATTAGCTCTGAAACGTCGTGTAAAGAATAAAAAAGAAGTTGATATCCATAAAACGTGTCATGTATTCATGTTCGCCAACTTCTAAATGCCTTTCAAAATATTCATGAATACCATCTGTTAATTTTTTTCGCTTCACATGTTACAGCTTGCAATCCTTACAGAGCTTGCAAGTGGAGAACCGTCAGGGCGAAGGAAGGGCTACAACAGAACTGCTTCCAGCATATTCCAGAATGAAACTTTCAAGCTCAAGCTGGCTCCACCCATAGCTATGGAGCTAGCATAACAAAGGGTGTAAAAACATAAGTAAATAAGTGTAAAGACTTTTTATCATGTCAATGATACTTCCTTACATTAGATAAATATCTAATAATGCTAATGAGATTAAGGTTCAAATGTGAATACATGAAGATCCAGGTTAGAATTGGTCTTCTGTAACCCGTGCTTGTCGTAAGAGGCGGCTAGCAGGATTGGGTGGTCAGGTTTGCTGAACTGGTTGACATATGTCATTGTATCCCAATTGCGTGGCTTGATGCTCATACTGTTGATAACTGGACTGCCTGGTCTGGACTCGATTATTTACAGACCACCGCCATATAGCTGGAATATTGCTGAGTGCGGGGTTAAAAATTAACCAACCAACCAAATCAAATGGGAATACTGTAATCGTAGTTATTTTCGCGTGGGATTAATTTTCGCGCTTTTAGCGCAAAATGATTGTGCGTCAATAATCATACCAAGCGAAATATTCATGGTCAAGTCATGACAAATACTCAAATAGGAACAACATGCTATTTGTTTATTCTCTCAGATAACAACATCAAAACAATATATAAAGGGATAGAGGCATATACTAAAGTACTGTCGGAAATGCTAGAAAAATGCTTTTTAGTCTTAATATCTTTATATAGGTGATAAATGTACTATGTTGTCAATATATCAACTCGCCAATAGTGTACCTAATTTTTATTTCAATCGATTTAACATTCCCATGCATTTAATAGTCTTTACATTTATGCTTATAATGCAGGTGGTGTAGAAATACGAATTAACGTTTTTTCCTAAACAAATAAATGTTGAATGTTTGTGTTACTTTACTTAATTTTCGTTTCTTTATTGAAGAAATATTAATATAAATGTTAAGTCTTGATAAATAAGTTTCCCGTCAAGCATGCACATCTTTATCACAGCGTCCACTATGGCCAACGATTTGCAGTCGATTGTTGCAAAGGTTTATAAGTTTTTTCTGCTTGAAAAGGACAGAGATAAACCTTTCATTAGTATAGAAATGGTTATTACAGAACTTGTAGAGCTGTTGGTATGTCTTACCAACAAGTTTACAAAATTGTTAAAGGTCACATGCAACCAAAAAAGCAAACATAATTAAAACACAATTATCACTTCTTCATGACATATAATATGCATTGCTGATTATGAAAAAACAAGTAAACAAAATTATAAGCGTATAATCGCAAATCAAAAGTGCAATATTTTGTACTTGGGTTTTACCTCCCTCAATAATAGAATCCCATTTTAATCTAAATCTAAATTAAAAGCTGTGCACATACATACATACACAAAAAATGTTTTAGTGAAATTTGATGGGTAAAACCATGATAAAATGATCTTTGTTTTGTAGTTCTATTGTCAAATTGAAACTGACAACTAAAGGAATTAGAGTTTATGGCGAGTCGAAGCATCTGTTTCATTTGCATTTTCTCATTTTTGTCAGATATTACAATACACACATTGCAGGCCTTGAAACCAGAAATGTTGCATTTCATGTTGTTTTTCTCAGTCGGCACTTGATCCTCAACATGCTCAAGCCTTTGAAAGTGTCCGGCGAGCAATGAAGACTCCATCAAGGGTGAGTACTCAAACTTGGATGATTAGTGCAACTAGAAAGGTGTTTGCAGCCAATTGTAAAGCAAGACTCGGGATCTTCACTGCTGATTCTGGTACCAGTTGTATAACATGCTGCTACATCTATGTGCAGAGTTGCCAGAGACCGATGATCTTTGAAAGCCAGATTTGCCCTAAACCTGTGCTCATTGAAGTCGTCAAAATGTAAACATTTAAAGTCTGTATCACCTTGGATATTCCTCCCCATCAAAATGAGATGGTATGGTACAGCATTTGATATGGTGATCCTCGTAGCCTTCATTTCATACAACAGTCTTCCACAAACCATTCAGGTACAAACAAGTCTTTGACATTACTGATGTCCATGCGGGTTTATTTGCGTTGACACATTCAAGAAGTATGTGATGTGTAAAACTCATTGAGTGTAATTCCACATATTGTTCGGTAAGAGATTTCTGTAGGGAGTAGGAGACTAACAACATACAAGAATACTTTTACTAGTTTGTATATGAACCATCTAAATGAGTAGACATTCCAGACACATTTTATATGTCTCATCATTAAATCCGTAAATTTCCATCACAAATGAGGCTAGGATGTAATTGACCCATGAAGATCTGGGGTAGAATAGGTCTTCAGCAACCCATGTTGACACATGTCATTGTATCCCAAATGCGCAGTACGATGCTCATGCTGTTGATCACTGGATTGTCTGGTCCAGACTCGATTATTTACAGACCGCCGCCATATAGCTGGAATATTGCTGAGTGCGGCGTAAAACTCAACTCACTCACTCACTAGGATGTAATTGGAGGGTCATCACACAAAACTCAAGATGGGTGAGTGAGTGAGTTAATATTTAACGTCACATCGGCAATATTTCAGCCATATTGTGACGAGCTCAAGATGGGAAACCACATAATATCTGTACAAGCAGTGATACATGCAAATCATGTACAGGTAAACATAATGTATAAAGTATAACTGACTGAGTGCAACATCAACTATATATTGTTGAGTTATTTACAGACTGCAGCCATCTAGCTGGAATATTGCTGTGTGAGGTGTAAACAACAAACAAACAAAGCAATTCTATTAGATAAACAGAGGCCTTGTTCATGAAAGTCCGAGTAACATAAATACCATCTGAATACATGACATGTTTTATGGATATCAACTTCTTTTTTATTCTTTACACAACGTTTCAGAGCTAATTCTTCATATGATGTTTCAGGGCTAATTCTTGCTCTTGATGAAGGAGCAAGAGTTAGCTCTGAAATGTCGTATAAAGAATGAAAAAGAAGTTATCCATAAAACGTGTCATGTATTCATGTTCGTCCAACTTCTAAATGCCTTTCAAAAACTTCATGAATACCATCTGTTAATTATTTTCGCTTCATATGTTACAGCTTGCAATCCTTACAGAGCTTGCAAGTGGAGAACCGTCAGGGCGAAGGAAGGGCTACAACAGAACTGCTTCCAGCATATTCCAGAATGAAACTTTCAAGCTCAAGCTGGCTCCACCTATTGCTATGGAGCTAGCATAACAAAGGGTGTAAAAACATAAGTAAATAAGTGTAAAGACTTTTTATCATGTCAATGATACTTCCTTACATTAGATAAATATCTAATAATGCTAATGAGATTAAGGTTCAAATGTGAATACATGAAGATTCAGGTTAGAATTGGTCTTCTGTAACCCGTGCTTGTCGTTAAGAGGCGGCTAGTGGGATCGGGTGGTCAGGTTTGCTGAACTGGTTCACATATGTCATTGTATCCCAATTGCGTGGCTTGATACTCATACTGTTGATAACTGGACTGCCTGGTCTGGACTCGATTATTTACAGATCACTGCCATATAGCTGGAATATTGCTGAGTGTGGGGTAAAAAATTAACCAACCAACCAAATCAAATGGGAATACTGTAATCGTAGTTATTTTCGCTTGAGATTGATTTTTGCGCTTTTAGCGCAAAATGATTGTGCATTAATAATCATACCAAGCAAAATATTCATGGTCAAGTCATTTTAAATAGGAACAACATGCATTTTTCTCTCTCAGATAACATCAAAACAATATACAAAGGAACAGAGGCATATACTAGTAATAGCGATCACAATCAGCAAATTTTTGTAATCAGTTTGTCAGTTAATTGATAGCTGATTACTCGTAATCACAAAATGAAAGAAGCTCACTTACATCAGTCACAAATCACAATGTTGACACAAGTATAATCCCACATCTCTCTGATTGTTTTAGTTAACACGATTCAATTATGGAGGCCAGCTTTGATCATTGCATGGCTATGGGTTGTGAAAACTTTGTGATGGACACCAACACTCAGGCATTTGAAATGCACGGAAAAAATACTGCGCTAATAGGTCTTTTGTGAACTTTCCGCGAAAATTGCACCCCATGAAAATATATACGATTACAGTATACCATAATATTAAAAAAAAACCAACCAGTCAGCACAATATCTTCATTGCTCCATGTAAATTAAAAAAATTGCTAAATATTGAACATTTCTGTTAATGTCTGCGCTGGAACTATATTGACTTATATTGTATACTGGTGAGAGAAAAATGAATAGAGTTTTCAAGTTTGTAGATGAAGGTCAGCACTCTGTAAAGGCAGTGTGCCATGTTTTCTAGGTCATATATATACATACTGTTATGTGCAATATGTAAATGTTTTATTATTAAAGTATGAAGTTGTCAAACCACCACCTCATTAGAGTGTACATTGAGGAGATCATACTCATGCACCTGCGCTCTGTGCAACAAAAAGGCCATATGTGGGGCATAGTGTGTGAGTTGGTTTTATTGTAGCTTTTAGCAATATTCCAGCAATATCACGGCAGGGAACACCAGAAATGGGTTTCACACATTGTACCTATGTGGGGAATCGAACCCCAGCCTTCAGCATGATGAGCGAATGCATTAACCACTAGGATACCCCACTGCCCCATATTTGGGGCATATATGTATGATTGCTTTCATGATTTTGTAAAAACTGAATATCTTACAAGGTCTTTCTTCCATCATATTAAACCAGAGTGACAAAACACACAGCTTTAGCAATATCAGGGCTGGGGACACAAAATATTGGTTACATTCATTGTACAAATGTACCTTCTAGGAAATCAATTCTGGTTTTTCAGTGTGACAAGCTAACAACACCTTAAACACTAGAAGAGTTTGAGACTTCAATTTAATTTTGAGGATGGTCATGTGAGTGAATGAACATACACCTTACAACACAAAATTCAGAACATTATAATCAATTTTAACTTTAGGTCATTCAAAAACTGACAACATCCATCCTATTATGTTGACACATATACAGGTATCTTTTCAGCGGATTGTGTTGACATCAAAATTACCTTTATATTTTTTCAAAAGATGCAGATTCATTTGGTCACAATCTACACAACACACATTTTTAGTAAACGTGGTGAGTTATGTGAAATCGAACATCCAAATGTCACATTATTATTTTTTAGAGGAATTAATCTTGCCACCTTTGTATCTGTACCCTAGCGAGTGCATCCCTTAAGTTGCTGAGGCAAAACCATGAATGAATTGGTGAGTTTGAATGAACACCTTTAGCAATAATCCAGAAATGTCACAGTGGGTGACACCAGAAATGGTTTCACATTAATCATGATCCTCCTTCCCACGGAAATCACACATTAGAGTGAGTGAGTGAGTGAGTGAGAGTGAGTGAGTTTGTTTTTTCACTTCCTTTAGCAATATTCCAGTAATATGTGATGGTGAATCCTGCAAAGATATACATGTGTATCAGCTGGTATTGATTAACTCTTGTCCTACACCCTCTTAATACAACATAAAATGGGGTAGCCATAGTGGTTAAAGCGAGAGCTCGCCACGCCAAGGATCCGGTTCGATCATCTAATCTGTTACACATGGGCACAATGTGTTAAGCCCATTTCTGGTGTCCCCCAACCGTGATAGTGCTGGAATATTGCTAAAAGCGGCGTAAAACTAAACTCAGTCAGTCAGTCGGTCAGTCTTAATGTTCACTCTGACAGAGGTGCCAACTCTTGGATCAAATACCGTCATTTGGTACTTGTCTGCCTGAAAAACTGTGCAGATATCTCTGTTTGTTGCCCACAGCACACCAATTGTTCATTTGAACAATACTTTCTTCCTCAAGGTGTAGAGTGGTGCTGGTGACTGCTTGTACCGCCCCCCGTCCATCATGGCATTGGCTCTTCCAACCTCATTGTTCACTAATAACAACACACTCAGGATATCATATCTGAAACAACAGTAATCCTGTGCAGTAATCTTGAAAGAGTTTTGAAGACAGACAGACAGACAGACAGACAAAAGTTTATTTCAGTCTCTCTACTTTTACATCTTATCATAAAAGGTATAGATAATCATAAAAACAGCACCACTGCTCTAAGGAGTTATGGGAGACTCTAAAACAGTTTAAAATTCAGTAAAAGGATAAAGAGTTTATACATATAGCATCTAATGATGCTTCAATAGAATTCCTTGGCAGGTTTTGGCTGCAACAAAACAAATATCAACAACATGTAGAATGGTGGCCAGTTTATCTATATCTGGCATATTAACAAGGAAATTTACCCATACATATATTCAGGAGGTCAGATCCGCTAGAATTATATAAAGGACAGTGAAGAATGATGTTTGCCTCATCTTCGTCAACATCTTTACAGTGGAAACAAGTACCATGTGGAATCTTATATTGAATTTGGATGGATGCTACCTTTTCCTTGAGTGAGTGAGTTGGGTTTTACGCTACACTATTCAAGAATTATCATGGCTGGGGACATCAAAAATGGGATTGACACATTGTACCAATGTTGGGAACTGAACCCAGGTCTTCAGTGGGACGAGTGAACGCTTTAACCACTAGGCTACCAACCGCCCATAACATGGTCATCAGATGATGAGAACACTCAACTCTATCCATGATCAAAATGGGATTGTTTTACTCACTTTGTACCATACTTGTTAAGCATTTCGGCGAGTTTGGTGATGTACCAGGATCCATGGCTGCGACTCCTGTATGATACAAAGCCAGGCACAGTAGCGTAGCCAATCAGGAAGTCGGCTTCATTGGGGATTACCTCCCTTGGGATCCCATCTTCCTCTACTTCAGCACTGTCTCTCTGAATCTCTTGACCTGAGGATTGTACATGATTTCATAATTATTTAATAGGACCTTTGATTCACATATCATTGGCAGTTCTGTAGGATGTGTTTTGTGTTACCAGGTATGGTGCTCATATAACTACAGAAACAGCAGCATCAAATATATTGTAGTACACTCCAAGGGGAAGTGAGGTGAAATTGGGTTTAATGTCGTGCTTTAGAATATTTTGCTCATATGATGATGTGCATGCGTGTGTATGTGAGGCTTGTACCAGCCCAGACTGAAGCTGCTTTTATAGTGCTAGCTCACTGAGATACCATGCTGCAGTGAAGCATGAATACCCCACTCAGACACATTATACTGACTCTGAGACAACCAGTCCTTGTTGTACCCATTCATGCCGAGCGCCAGATGGGGATCAACAAGTACCATATTTTAATGTCTTTTGGTATGACGCGGTCGGGGATCGAACCCGCAACCTTCTGCTCTCCGGGCGGACGCTCTAACCACTACACCATGGAGGCGGTCTACACTCCAAGGATACTGTATTTCAGCTTATGGAACACTTATAATGCTTGTTCTGATGAGATACCAGACAGACAAATCATCACATCTGCGAGTTACATCATACAAAACAGATTGGAAACTCTTCACCAGTGTGTATACACTGTTAATCCTTCACCTTTAAAATACATAGGGGCACTATTCTTAACCATGAATTAGGCCTGATTCCAGTGAGAACTCGATCAAAGAGCATGTAGTTTATATGGCACAAACTGCAGTGTTTATTGGTAGACATTGATGTAATATAGTAGCCTTCAGGTGTTCTCTGTAGACTTCAACATGATTACCATAATGTCAAGAAATGGTAGGCTTTGTACAAATTTCATGCACAGAGTTGGCTTGATTTTGCTTCCTGTAGTCTTACAGGGCTTCATTTCTTTAGCTGGGTAAAGGTAGACATGTCACCCCTATCTTTTATCAGTATTTTAACAGGTGATGGAGAAATGCAGTGTTTACATGCCAGGGAAGTAGTGATGATGACAAACACCTACCTTCTTGTTTTTCTCTGCCTTGACAGGCTTGAATAAAGAATAGTTTGGGTTTTCCAGCTAATGATGGGCACACAACAGATTTGAAAGGCCCGGTCATGTCTGTGATGCTCACAAGCCTCCCATCAGTGCCATATATGTGCCCCTGGGCACCATGAGACAGGATGCAACACGCAAAACAGTCATATTCTTTATGATCAACATTCAGTGCCATATTGACCAACACACGGACCATGTCTGTACTTTTCATGTTGTCATATTGGCGGACATCGAAATAGAGCTCCGTGAATGTTTTCAGAAGATTTGCTGAAAACAGTTTGTGGATTCTTAGTGACTGATGCAATTCTCAGCACAACAGAGCATGAAAATTATACACCATTTACTTGATGTGTTTTAAAATTTAAATTTCTTCTTTGCAAAATCTGATCATATACACAAATCTGTTTTACAGAAGAGAGCAGGGTAAATAATAAAGCACACATCAGATTTGAAAGGTCGGGTCATGTCAGCAATGATGACAAGCCTCCACTCAGTGCCATATATGTGCCCTTGGGGACCATGAGACCGGACAGACACACAAAACAGTCATAATCTTTATGATCAATACGTAGAAGTGAACAGTGTAATTTTGCTGATATTATACATTAAAATGTCAGATACAGGTCATAGCATATTCTGATATCAAGTGAATGGTATTTTATACTCACAAAACAACAAGCGTATAAATATAACCATATCTGTCTTGGTTAACTATTTCTGACAAACTCACTTGCATCCACATGTGTCCCCTCTCTGTTAGGCATTTCTCTCGCTCCTCTGTCCTCGGGGTCTTTGTGGAAAACCTCATTGTTGATGATGATGCATATACCTGAAAATGCCATAGAACTCAAATTGTTAGGAATATGTGATAATGTTTGTACAAATCCTTAAAAACAAACTGTTAAGCTGGTTAATACATCTACAGCTATATAAGTTTGTTGAAAAACAGAACTTATAAACTCTTTACAGACAAAAAGATCGTTTGGAAGTTTATTAGTAGTAAGATAACAGCACAACTTGCCTCTGGGTTTGCGGTCCATTCTATAGAATGGCATAATTCTATCTGGTGCTTCTTGTGTATGACTTGAACTAGCTGGAAAGAAAATGCAGAGCACAACATAACAGGCAGACTTGATAGGGGGTGAGTGAGTATGGTCTTATGCACTTCTATATACATTCCAGCAATATCATGGCAAGAACACCAGAAATGATCTTCACATATTGTACACATGTGAGGAATCGAACCCAGGTCATCAGCATCATGAGCCAAAGCTTTAACCACTGGGCTACCCAACCGCCACACGATATAATATAATATAAGTAGGAGTCAAACAATTGTTATTTAAACAACAACATCTCATGATAACATATTCTACAGCCAAGAAAGCAGACGCCAATTGCCTCACACAACCTAAATCAGTAACAGATCAGTTGAAATAGCTTTAGCATAAATGATTAATTTATTGTACAGATCTGTAACTAAGCCAAATAAGTACATAAAGAATACTGTTTTGAGGGGACTACTAAAGAAAAATAATTTTGGAAAAGGACCTAACATGTTACAGTTTTACGGGTCTCATTTACAATATCAGTTGTTTCACCTACCTACAGCCGGTGGGGCTGCTGGTTGGGGTGGATCTTGCTCTGGTTCTCGGTATCTTGCCTCAGCTGAAACAACAACATTCCAAATAACACACTACAGAACAAACTGAACATTAAATAGCAATTGTTTGGACAGTCTAACAACTTTTGTTCAAGGTAACTATAAATTTGCAATATTTAGTTGTTAAGAATTACAGGATTTTAAAACCCATAACAAACTAATGCAGAACCTATAGTCCAAAATTGTCTCTGAATCATTTTCAGGAGATACTAGTGTTAATATTATATGACTATCACTTGGTGGACTAACACAATCCCGCAAAAGGAACAGAATGTTGTTGTTTATTATTAATGGCTCCATTTGTAAATTGTAAATAAATACACCTGTTAGCTGCTTAATTAAACGATTAAAGATTCTACTGTGAATACTGTACGTACATGTATTTACGGAAATGTTGGCATGATTGTGTAGAGATGTTCTCTGTGGTCTTGATGCCAGGCTGATATCCTGAAATCCTGATGTACAAGCAAGCACATTTTAGTCATCAACACACACAAAACACTTCAGCTTATGTGTTTGGGGGTTGGGTTTATGCTTTGAAATGTATGGCACTTACACTGTAGCAAGTAAACTAAATGAAGGACTGAAGTCAGAAGTGAGTGAGTTTAGTTTAGTTTTACACCACTAAGCAACATTTCAGCTATATGGCGGGGTTTGTAAATAATCGAGTCTGGACCAGACTATCTAGTGATCAACAGAATGAGCATCATTCTACACAACTGGGATACAATGACATGTGTCAACCAAGTCAGCAAACCTGACCACCCTCTTACGACAAGCATGGGTTACTGAAGATCAATTCTAACCCGAAGTGAAGCAGGTCACTTAAATTTAACACATGGTGAAACCCAAAAGCATGGGGCCAAGGATCTAAACTGGAGTAAAGGGACTTTAACCCAGTCCAGTTGTGCCCAATTAGCACCCACACAAACAGTTGGAGAGAAACAACTGTCAGTAGGGGTGCATTTGCTGATTGACCTGTCAGTGTACTGCAAGGGTGCATGTACATCAATGAATGACACTGACAGCGATCAATAGTTCAGACCCATATCACATGAGATGACAAACATTTCAACAGACATAATAACCAATAAGGCTGTGTCTCATATATCAAGATGAACTATTCCAAAAGAAAATTTGAACCCTTTTCCAAATCCAATCACTCTCATGAGAATTATTTGGTAATAAAAAAACAAACTTAACACTGCCATTTATGTTATGAGGTGTCAGTTTAATGAGGGGAAACCAACGCGATGCAGGTCACTGACATAAGTGTGAAGATCCGGGTTAGAATTGATCTTCAGTAACCCATGCTTGTTGTAAGAGGCGACTAACAGGATCAGGTCGTCAGGCTCGCTGACTTGGTTGACACGTATCATTGTATCCCAACTGTGAAGATCGATGCTCATGATGTCAATCACTGGATTGTCTGGCCAGACTCGATTATTTACAGATGGCTGTCATATAGCTGGAATATTGCTAAGTACGCGTAAAATTAAACTCACTCACCCCATGAATATAACTTGGTGCTGACAGAACAGAGGGACAGGTTTTGCATTGGAAGCTGTACATTTGTGGAGCAAGACATGTATGGACAACAACCGTGGATGGAAAGAAACACTTTCTTAACAATGGTAGAACTACCTAAGAAAAAAAAAAAAAAAAAAAATTAAGAACAAATCAAATGTCTTTGTGAAACCATTTATTATGTGCCAGATTTGTTTGCTTACCCTCTTCTGGTGGACTGTATATTCTGGAGAACTGGTCAGCCAGATTGTGGATCTGTACTTCATGCAGAGCCTGGATGATGGCCTCCATAGCAGCATCGCAGCCTCCTTGCCACTTCTGTAGCCATAATGTTAGCAAGTGATGGATGCGCTGTGTCATGTCAGGGTAGACCTGAGACAGCTGGTGTACAATATCAGGACCCACACCTAGCTGATATCCAAACACCATCCAGCTCTCTTGTTTAAATTCATGGGCTAGTTGGTGAACAATGTCCTGCAACTGATCTTGGGAGAAAACTGAAATTACAAGAAGTGTAGATTTTGTGTAAACAATAATCAGTCCAATTTCCTTCACAGCAGATGTAACACCTTGGTTTGCTTGTCATTCACAACCAAAGACAAAATATCTCCAGACCACCACACTTTACCTGTCACCTTGCTACCCTTGTCTGCAATATAGTGCAAAGCAAGCCAAGTAGGGTATTGGCAAAATAAGATATAAGGTAATGATATAAGGTATAAGGTAATGAAGAATGGCAGTGTAACATGTGCATGCAATGATGCAAAACTCAATACATGTATGTTCATAATTTTAACTCAAACTGTTTAGGTTAGTTAATCTTAAATCTGCTATCAAATGATCATTCCATCCAATGATTTACACAATACTCATGAGCAATAGTACCTTGTTGTGTGCTTGTTGCAAGAGGATATTTTGCTGTTGCTGCTGCTGCTGCAGCTCCCACTGATGATCCAGGCAGTGTTACTGTGACCCCCCGGGTTTCGTGCCCTACCCCCCTCAACTGTTCATTTTCTGTAGCAGGTATCCTATTCACTACAGCAGGTGGCCTCTCTGCAACAGTGGAGCGGCTGTTTTTTGTGTTTGGTGGCAGCTGTGATGGCTGTGCAAGATGCTGTGGTGGAACATAAGGTTCTGATGTATCCATGCCTTCTTCGACATTAGCTGCAGAGTTAGGCAAACCTTTTGTACCTGAAACATTTACATGACATGGCCCTCAGGATATGATTTATTCTTTCAGAACTATCTGGGAAATAGATAATATTAATGGCCATCCAATTTCAACATGTTAACTCTTTCAGTGCAAGCCTTTTCATTAGGTCTGTTATCACCTCAATGTGTTACCTATAGTCTACATTGTAGTATTTAAGTCTACAATAACTAATACATTGAGTCTTACATACAATAATCTAAAGAGGGAAACTTGTGATATTTGAAATTAATAATTTTTATCCAGTATATACTTGGGGCAAATGTTGGAACATACACAAAACTTCTGCTGGTCTGTGGCCTCTATCGTAAACAAAGAAATATTTCCCAACAAGAAAAATTGAAACTACAATATGTAGAAAACCTACAATCATTTAGTGATTAACATAATTTACATACCTTCAAATTTACTGATAACCTCTTGGAGATCATTTCGATCAATTGTCCCCAAAAGTTGTTTGAGTTTATGAAGATTGTCTTGAGTTATTTGTTTTGTTTGCTCCAGATATGTTATCAAAGACATTGGATTAACAATTTTCCCTTTGTCCTTTTTCTTCATGTCTCCAATCAAATACATCATCTTCTGCAGCTCTTCCGAATCAAGATCTTCTGCCACTTCTAATAACATGTTCCTGTATTGTGATATTTGAGACTGACCTTGTTCCAGTCTTTTATCAATTACACTTTCATCAAATCCAAGTTCTTCCTCAAGTAGATCAATGCGCTGAATTTTTAACAAGCATTCTGCAAGATACCAAGGATTATCTTTTCCAAATTTCCCCACTTTTTCCCATTGTGTGAGCAACTCTGTAGCAGTGGTTATTCGGTCTAGTTTTCCTCCTGCCACATAATCTCGACTGATGAACTTGAGGGCATCCAAGTCATCATCATGTAAGTCTTCTCCAATGTGGAGCCCAACTCTTCTATAGTCTGGACCTTCATCTTCTGCATCAAATGCAAGTTCCTGGCCATCATAACTTGTGTCTTCATGCATCTTATTTGTCAGATGAAGTCACGTTGGGTAATCTTCAGTTCACACTCCTGCCAAAACAATGAGTTGCATAATGAAATATGTTTGCATTCTGCGCCATAAATATGACAACACTACAACCTGGAGAACAGAATCTTCACAATCATGGAGCAATAAAATGTGATTGGAAAATGTATAAAATTTACTTCTACTTGTCATGGACTGCATGACATGTCAAAGGGAGAAAAATGGAACGTGGTGGGGTGTCACACTCACACTATCTTTTAATACACAATATATGGGTCAGCCTATTCTTCCGTGTATCCTTGTTCAGTATTGATTACATGGTGTACAGCCCCAACTTTTCAGAGGATGGTTGGGGTCCTTACAGTTCGCTCGCATATATAGTATCTGAATCTGGGGAATCCCTAAAATTAATACTTTTAACAAAAGGGTCATGATGAGGGTCATTTGATTTTCTTGCTCAATTCTTTACTTGAGATTGTTTTTATACTTACTTACAATTATCATGAGCATGGAGTATCACTGGGTAGGTATAGGTGCTGACAGATCAAGCACCATAATATGGGCTCCAGGGATGGGTAAGGGACTCAATTCAGCACAAAGATGATTGCAGCAATCAATATTTAGACTTTTACATGGGTAACCACAGTGAACTTAAAACCATATTTCCTCTATCAAAAACTGTGAAGGTCTGGGTTAGAATGAATCTTCAGTAACCCATGCTTGTCGTAAGAGGCGACTAACGGGATCGGGTAGTCAGGCTCACTGGCTTGGTTGACACATGTCATCCGTTTCCATTTGTGCAGATCGATGCGCATGCTGTTGATCACTGGATTGTCTGGTCCAGACTCTGTATTTACAGACCGCCAACATATAGCTGGAATATTGCTGAGTGTGGCGTAAAACTAAACTCACTCACTCACTCCTCTATCAGCCACTGTGGGACTACACACCAGTCTCTAATTGATCATCTGCCCACACCAATAAAAAAAGAATCTATTCTGTGATATATTCAAGATTAACATGATTAAAAAGAAAGAAAGTTTCTAGCGAATGTACCCCTTTGTATGTGAATTGGTTCTAGTAATGTTGTGAGCTCTCACTGTACCATCATCCAATAGAATAAGTTTACGCTAAATAAATAGACAATTGGAAGTCTAAGAAAGGAAATATAGATGTTACGATTGTAACAGATATGTATGTCAGTATTATCTCCTGTACCTGTGTCGAGAATGACCATTTCAGCGGAAATTACGTAATAAGGTTCTCACATTGGAGTGTGACAATGTGATCACATGAAACCAATGAACACATAGGCATTCTCCTGTACACTAACACTTGAAAACAAAATATCATCATATAGGTTTTTGGATGCCATAGAAACATTCTATGTTTTCTTCCAACGCATGAACAACTTAAAACATCTTACTAAAATTATAAATGAAAACTTTGTGCTAAAAACAACCCAGCATTGTATATTTGACGATGTATACCATTTTTACGTATACAGATCTTTTATTTCTGTTCATCACAAATCATTAGTTTTCAATTTGTAGAAACTAACAACAAAATATGTGTCAGGATCCGAATACATTATACAGTTATCAGGTTTAATCATCAGCTTTATTTTGTTTGGTATGTCATGTGGCGATTTGGTGATCCATAAAACACAACCATGGGTCTAGTCTCCACGTAAGACAATAATACGTACATGTCTTTATGTGCGAATTGAATACAATAATTCTCCATGGTCAGTATATTCACCAAACAACCTTAGTCATCTAGCTGTCGTTGGTTTCACATTAATTTTCGACTCGCTGTGCGCATGCGTAGAGCGTGTAAAAATATCCACTGGTCAACTTCCGGTTTGGTCGCATTAGCGATATTGTAAACACACTCTAAATAAATGCTGAATGAATATTATTTACGCGTGACAACTGTTCATAGTTGAGTACATACATCCATTTGCCTATGCTTTTCAATAATTGGCAATTGGCATTGTATCAGAGATGTATTTTTTCACTTGTGAGAAGGGGATGTGCAGGAAGGACGGTGGACGGGTGGTAGTGAGATGTGTTTATACAAGAGCTTGTTAACAAACGTTAAGCTATTTATTTAACTAATTCCTGTCCCTTCCATTCATAAATGAACTGAGATTAGTTAAATTCGACATAAAACCATATATTTGTTTTGATTTTTGCTTTCTTTAGAGTGTTACACTATTGGTAAAGCTTACGACCAAACCGGAAGTTGACCCGTGGATATTTTTTACACGCTCTGCGCATGCGCACAGCGAGTCTAAAATTAATGTGAAACCAACAGTCAAATCAGAATCGTTATTGCTCCCCTGCATCGATGGTTGAGCTTCGGTTGATCGACCGTAAATACAGGTAGGCATGATTCATATGTACCACCTTCTCTACACAATGCAAATTACAGGTAAATATTAGCAAGAGTAATCAATATGACATGTTTTTTTATTAAAATTATAGTATAACACCTGCTCGGGACTGCGATCCCATGTGCAGTACTGTACAGTACTAGTTCACGACAGGGGTATGTACAGCACAGTTCATTAGCTATCATAAATCATTGATATCATTGTTATATTCCAGAATATATGTATATGTCAACGACAAAACAGAGAGAAAATAGGCTATCTTAACTGGGAATTCAAACTAACTGCCTAACTTGATTCATAAAATATCCTTTAATAACCAGTACAAATCTGCTGCTATAATGATCGATAATCTGTGAGACCAATGTTTAAGACCGCTTACCGTAAACACACGTAATCAGGTTCCAATCCAGTCTAAATATCCTAAACACCATGGTTTTACTCCAATAATGAATTTCTTCAGGGAATAAATATATACCATCCAACTTGCCATTTCTAGCGTAGCGAACTTGATTAAGGTTCGGATATTATCCCAGGCATAAGTATACGCCATCAACGATTATCCATATCCTGTAATGTGTTTAAATGGGACTGTATGCCCACACTTTGGGATTGCCAAAGTATTATACGTTAGTTTTTCGCAGTCATATTGACTCTTATGCAACATATGTAAACGGGAATTCCGTGTCTATTTATAGATCCACGTTGGTCGTTTTATGGTCAGTCACAATATCGGAATGAGGGGTTCTCCATCCTGGGGTTCCAGGGGTCTCCAGCGCTACACTGACAGTGTCACGTGACAGTGCATGGGAAATGGAGGGGGGCAGACGACATTACTGGGTGGACAGAGAGGAGTATGAAGTTACTGCAGGTCAATCAAAACGGTTAGTCAAAAGGGTCATAAGATGGACGTCTAGCTACTATATAGTGTAACATGTTCTACTTAAATAATCATACGCATTTATGAAATTCAACAATTCCTCTATGACAAAAACAACTGCTTTTTAATTACGCGACCACATGGTCTCTGATAAATGCTTGTCATACATTACATTACAAAATGTTGTGTGGAAAACATGTTCACTCGTGGTCATGCATTCATGATTGGATTATATCTGTTTCACAACGCCACCTAGCTATGTCGTAATTCAGGGGGGCTAACCTTGCAGCACATAGAGGTGCACATGAATGATATTAGAACATAAGCGATTCAAACGGCAGTAAAAAAACTACCGAAAATATTTCTACAAATGACAACGAACTCCAGACATAAAGGTGGTTATGTATACATGTACTCATGGAAACGAATAAAGAAACACATGAAAGTACAAGTGTTCCGGATCCTTTATTCATTCCCAGAATTTCACCCACAGTGCAATTCATACCTTGTGAAGAAACCTGGAAAAGAATAAAGGAACACTTGTACTTTCTTGTGTTCCCTTATTTGTTTCCATGAGTATATGAAAATGCAGGGTGAGTGAGTTCAGTTTTACACCGCTTTTTGCAATATTCCAGCAATTTCACGGCGGGGGGACGCCAGAAATGGGCTTCACACATGACTTGCGTGACTTGCGAACGCTTTAACCACTAGGCTACCCCACCGGCCGAAAATGCAGGGGAAATAAGAAATATAGCAGCAAAAGGTAACCCATTAATCGACAATACTTTATTCATGGCGTGGTAGAGTGATAGATTCACTGTATAGTATTTTGGATTTCGGCATCTAGCACCCAGAATGGATGTCGTTTTGGTTGTCCATATTCGCACACGTGTTCTTTAAAATTAGGGTGCATAGTTGAAAAAAGACCGCTCACATTAATGTACCTTTTATTAATGTACAGTGTATGAGGTAATTCACTTAATATACTACCACCGCCATGTATGAAATATTGCTGAGTGCTGCGTAAAGCAACACACAAAACATACACATTTAATATCCTAAATTAGTGACGGAATGATAACAACTCTACATGCCTCTATTCAATTTTTATCTTTTGAAATCTTATCACAGTCAGTGCCACATAGAAACATACTTATCAAAAAGGGCATTGCTCACAATGAACATTAATTGACATGATACTGAAAACATACATGAATGATTTTCACAGGTAAATGTGTTTTTCTGTAAATATTACCTTCTCGGTATAATATTAGTTACACTGAGTTTTGATAGTGTGTACGGGACTGAAGACCCTTGTAAATTCCGTATTTCCTGAGGCGCAGTAAATGTAACAAGAAAGCAGGCCGCATCTTTATAACATTGTTTCCTAATCTAGCGTAGGGGCTGCACTTCTTATCAAAACGTGTACTACCTTTGTAAGGCAATGGCAATGCAATGGTATTTTCCGTTGTTATGTCATGTTACAGAGCGGAAAGCCACAGATATTTAAGAAATCTTTTTATAATAATTTTCTGATGACGTAAAAATGAAAATATAAAAGAAAAAGGCACGGGCATGTTATGACATGTCACAAATGGAAAAAAAATCGCCATAGTTTTTGAATAACATTATAAAAATAAACTTCATATTTATCAACAGTAGGATTAGATCTTTTAAATGGTGTATGGGACGTAGTAGCAATAACGTTTTACAAACTTATAATTTCCTTCATAAACATAGGCTTCATCTATGACCTCAGAGTCTCGATAGTAAGGAAAGATATCAAGGGGAAGTAACTCGGTGCATATACTGTGGTTTCAGCAGTACGAACGTTTCACTATCCGAACGGGTTTTTTAAAAAACCAAAGTGTTCGTATTAACGAGGTCTGACTGTATTCGGTGATAACTCAAAGCACAAGCGGATGTTCACAGATTTATGACTCAAGATTTAAAGTTCAAATACACAAAGGGCGTGATTGATATCTAAAGTCACCTTTAAAATATCATCGTATATCTATCTATCTATCTAGTTTCCATATAAATACTAGTACTCCGTATAGTGTACACCCTTTCAGTAACGTCTCTTACAGGAGATAATGTATGTATACAGGTACCACGGGACAGGTTGATATCACTAGTTAAATAGAAAGGCTCGGTACCTCAGGATTTAGCCTGTCAAAATAGACATATAACAACAAAATTTCCAAAACCATACCTAGGCTGAGCAAGTTGTGTGGAAAATATGCGATTGTTTAGTTCTGCTCCGAAACAGAAACCTGACAGGACGGAGGGTGGACATTCCGATCTCTATATTATACCGTTTTTTAAACTGGCGGATGAAAAAGACACCATTTGGACGGTTTCATTAAGAAATATTTAAATGATTTCAAATTCTACTTTGGAAACGAAATGACGTATAAATAGATGGACATTTCGATCACTATAGTCCCTGTATCCGTCATGTATACGGGGAACAAATTTGACAACACCCATAGCAGTTCACCACGTACACTGTACATTACACTTACACAGGCTTTTATGTGAAAGGAATTGCTGTCGGACTTGTACACATTGCATCAAATACAATTGTTCATATAAATTGATAAAATCTAAATTACAATTGCAATCTATAACTATCCATCTTCGTGGAAAGGTTGGACGTCGACAGACAAAAATGGTTGCTCAGTATCATTATAGTAGCTTGAAACAGTTGTTGATCAGTCTTAGAGTTCATGTTTGTGGGATGCAATGCCACAAAAGTTGTTTCCACACAATATGAGTACATAACGGATGTGGTATGTCTTGTTTAACGAGGTAATTTAAAGTAAGTTGAAGGGGTAATCGTATCTGAAATACTGTAGTCAACATCACAGACGGGTTACTTTTATCTGGTAAAGACTCGTAATACAAGTAGATTCTAGTGCTTAGGTTTTCTGTACAGCAGCTGTTTTGATGTTCACAGACTATTTACTGTGATGTCATACGGGAATAATGTGTAAATGCTGTACACCAAATGAGTATTCCATAAGATTAAAAGTTCAAGATTTGGGGAAATTCTGAAAATTTAGATCGAAGGGTGATACTATTTATAACGATTATATAGGCTTGGGTGTTACCATGTTTTTGAAAATGAGGTCGTGAAACTAGCTTCATATACTACACAAAACTAAGTGTAAAAGAGGTGATCGGAAAAGGTGAAAAAGCGGTAATTACCGTTGGAGTAAAGCATCAGCGCATTATTTCAAGGCGGGGAAAACACCACGGGGATTCCCCTTAGTACAATTTCCCTACAACTGTTTAACACTGTTCGACAACAGCTATGTCATTGAGTTTCCTGACCAACCGAACGGAACCTTGATGTCGCTTATGTTATGGAGTGCCTTATGGGATCACTAATTGTCAGGTTGAGGATAGAAGTACCCAATTAATTTAATATAACCAGGCAATTGTTATTGATATAAAACAAAAACCCGACCACGAGACACGCACACGCGAGTCAGTATGAGAGAGAGCAACTGCCAAGGGGAATAACCCTGTACGTAACATGTAAAACTAGGACTGTATGAAAAACCTGAAATCACGATAGATCCTCGAAATTTATGTTATGTCATTACATGTGAATATTGTAAACAGACTACTTAAGCCCTTATTGCTTTTCTGTACCGCATGTAAGATCAATTTAAAATAATATATGATTAGTAAATCGTATCGCAGGATAGAGTTGGCATTAACAGCATATAAATTCCTTATGGGGTGTTACGACGTGATCTGTTGTACACGTCATTCTGTAATCTGACTACGCTGGCCATGTTGGAAATTCAGTTTCTTGATTCATGCCAATGACTTTGATTATATATTTTCACACATGGATAGTTATGTTACAATGACTGATACCGGCAGACGATAAAAGTGTAAACACATCCTCACCTTAGTCTGACTGATTTGATTCTAAAATCATATCGCTGATTCTTCACCGACGCCTGAAGGAAACACGATTGTAGAGAGATCAACTTCCTTGCCGGGAGAAAAAATACGGGGTGGGGGTGGGGTGGGAAGAGAACCCGGAAACAAATAGAGAAACACAACAGAGATCACAGGAAAATTCAAGTGTTCCTTTATTATTTTCCAGTTTTCATCACCACAGCCCTATTCAAAGCTGGTGATGAAAACTGGAAATTAATAAAGGAACACTTCAATTTTCCTGTGTTCCTTTATTTGTTTCTCTACGTATATCTACATGTAACATTGATGGATTCGCGATTAATGGTGATTTATAACATCACTGATTAGAGGGGATTACCCTTTATATCGAAAATAACATGCTGATGTGTCATAATTACAACGAATACATATGTTTTTTTACCAAGAAAATAAACTTATATTCATATCTGATTCAGTTCGTTTTCCGTTCCTTATACATGTTAAAACTTACTTTCATACGAAGTAATATCCTCGCTATCAAAGTGCATCTACCGTTTCTAAACTTAAGAGAGGAGATTAAAATTGTGGGAACAACTGAAATATACTAATGCTCACGGTGTATGGCATTTCCATTGCGATATGGTATATAACATTCGTATTAAATATAATAAACTACTGTTAAACAAAAGACACACTTAATGGACCAGCCAATCCAGTGATCAACAGCATGAGCATCGATCTACACAATTGGGATACGATGACATGTGTCAACCAAGTCAGGAGCCTGACCACCCAATCCCGATAGTGGCCTCGTACGACAAGTATGGGTTACTGAAGACCAATTCTGA